GTGAATAAGATAATCAATACAGTCTGCCAACAGGGAACAATCCATTGAAAAGTTAACAGACATCTTGGCCTGCATCTGTTCCAAGGTTGACAGACGATCAAAAATACTTTCAGAAAATCAATATAAGAATAAAAGCCGCTGACATCTTCTAATTATAAAGCAGGCTAAGATATAATGCGTTAAGTGAACATATCGTGAGAATGCAAGAAAAACGTAGATATATAGTAAATCAGGTTAGAGTAAGGCATACATTCTCCTGTCTTACTGACAGATTCTGTCACAATATTTATTCGAAAAATTCCATGAAACTATCTAAATTACTAGTAGAAACCCTGTCTATAGCAACCATCTGCCCCCATAGACCTGATTTTATTGTTCTTTTCAAATTTCAGTGATCGTTTTGACTGTAATATACTATAGATAGTTTTCTGCGAGGTAGTTTTCTTGATAATTATTCAAGGACGTCAAATTGTGGCCCATGAAGGGACAAGAATTTCAGAATCATTCTATTGTGAGGAAAATGGAATGCAAAATGACATTAACAGTAAATTAACAGTGTGGCTGGCCATATCTCAGGGTTAGATAAATATTCCCTCAGTAAATTCCTGCGTTGAGTTGGTCCCTATCTGACCCTGTCATTAGTTCTTGTAACAACAAAGGTGGGACTCACAAAACCCACCTTTCCAATGGCAAGAACACCTTTTTGTATGAACCTGGGACATTTTAGCTCATAACACCGTCCCTAGGGTCCTATTCTCAACACATAATCACTCGTCATGTAACACCTGATAACAGAATTATAGTACTCGTGAGTAATACCAGTAGTCAAGACTGTACAGAACACCTTTCACAAACAAAACTGAGCTCTTGGCATCCCAGTTTGTTTGTAAAAGAAGTCATCCAACTCTTGAGTGGAAGGAGACAAACAAGCAATCTTCTCAATCAACATTTCAAAATGAAAATGAAACCTCTTCCTGCAACTACATCTCCGGAAAAGTAGTCTGAAGCTCTCCAGAGTACCTAATTTTTGTTGTGTGCATCATTTAAGAATATTTGTCATAAATAGAATTGACCTACATATGGGGCACTACACAGGGGTACCATCAGTAACAGATTGACATATAGTTTACAGAAGTTTAGAAAGTTATTACTCAATTTCTTACTCAAACAAATCAAGATTAGACTGGCCCCGAGCCTAAACAACAGAAACATGTCACATACATATATTGATTTTCTTACAGGTAACCTCTTGTTTGATAAATCTAAAGCAGTCGTGACTTTGAAGTTGTTTATTTTGTCAAAAATACCAGGATGAAAGGTCATCACTGTGTCTAAAAAGTCCAGCAACTTCAATCCTCACTCCACTCAGGGGAAAATGAGCATTGTACCCTAAGCTTTGGTTAGGAAAGTCCTTTTCCCTTTTTTTGGATAGAAATTAATAATGTCAAAAGCCCTGTCAGAGAACTAAACTTCAAGCACGTAAAACTAAAATTTAAGCAGTGGTTAAGACTACCGGTACTACTATTTCAAAAGGCAACATATTCCTTCATTTTGTGACAACCATGCAATAGAAAAAGACAGTTATCAAGAGCAGCCTGGCACATATCAGCTGTGTTATCACAGTTGTAGTAATTCGTTTCCTGGGGCCATAACAAGTAGTCAGGGAGCAATATAGACAGAGTACTCATTACATACAGTCATATAACCCACTGAAGAATGTGTTTCACAAATAGGGTGTAATGCAATCTTTAAATCTATAGATGCTATCTAATAATGCTTTTCAATACATTATACTATTATATAACAGTGGCCTATCCATTTGGCCTAGTTTCAGTGACCTGTATCCATTCTATTGTATACTGTACTGTAATCTTGAAATGTATTTTGCTGTAGTCTGTGTACGAAGTGACATCTCCATTCTAAAATTACTAGTATAACACTGCAATATGCATTTATTAGTATTGTAGTAGGGAATTATTTCAACCACAAACATTCTGTCACCTGCTACTGTGAAATTTATAAATCCTTGTGAAAATAAATGCATGTACAGTACAACTGATGGCTGTTTTCCATCAATTTTCATCACCTTGTCACTAAACCAATGGAGGAAGTGACAGAAGTGGCTTTAAATTATTAGTTTAATTCAAAATACTTTGAGTTTGAAGTCTACTTGGAAATTCTACAGTGTGGGTGGTGACTTCTGATACTGGTATCCCCATTCAGGTACATATAAAGTATGTTGTGCTAGTACTAAAGCCAATAAACACTCAATATGAACACAAAATTTTTACATTTATCAATACTCATTAAACATATAAAAATTAATGCATGCATTCCAACATGATGAAACATGATTTTTACTAGTATGTAATTCTTCAATATCAATTAGTCATATAACAGGCCCCTATTACATTATAACCAATCTTGGTCTGCTGAAACTGAGACCACCACAACCTTGCCCTGTAGTAATGGTGTTTACATATCTGGCATTCCCCAGTAGAAGTTTCTACCACACTAGACATGCACTGAAGGGGATTAACTTTTATATGGGTGGGGTCACCATGTAACGTAACACCCCAACATGGCCGACAACCTCACTAAACACACAATAACTTTCAACAAACTTTCTTGTGAATGTAGCACTTGCAGGTGGTTTTTAAGACATATAAACAGTATGTCACCATACAGAAGGGAAACAAGTACATTTTCTTCATCGCACAGGGATGCCATTACTAGTATATATGCCATATATTATTTTGGTTGTGTTCACAGAGTGCCACCAGTATTAGTGTAACATTAAACTGCTAAAATGTTCACTTATTTCAACTTTCTATCACAAATTATTCAAGGAATTGTAACTTACCCTTGTGACGATGGGCATGTTTCCCGATTAGGCACAGATGATCAAACAGGAGACTTTAAAAATATATCTCTGCTACCTCCTGAAAAAAAAAGGGAGGGGAAAACGAGACCGTTACAAAAGTACTCCAGATGAAACGTAATCTTCCCACACACATTGCCACTATTGTCCCCCCATTATTTGTGAAGTCGACCGTTTGTCCTACAACACGTTAGAACACCATATTGCATGTCGTGTCGACCCTGCATATAGGCAAAGGGGGGGTCGCAGACGGTTCTAAAACAGGGAGTGATAAAATATTTAAAGTGCATCTGTCATAAGCCAGCACCCTTGTTGAGTAATAAATTGGCAGCTTAATTGATTGTGAGCCTTTCTTTGTGTTCAGCCAGTCGTCATGGGCAGGGCCGCATACTCACCCGGTGAAATAAAAGGGAACTCTATACAATGGAAAAATTGCTCACAACCATGACGTCTATGATTGACACTCAAACCTAAAACCTGGCATCAGAAATTCAATGGAAGAAGCACCAAAAATAAAAGCTATCGATCTTGTGAGCGAGTTTAATGTCAAAATTCTCATGCTAATTTTGGGTCATTTTCACATCAAACACTGGCATTAAACTGTTAAGTTTTGAACAATGGCAACACCTTGAAGGTAAATTGTTTGTCAGGTATCAAAAGGGATTCTGCAAAGTAAACACTTGGATTTTGACACAATATCTTTGGTAAACGTTTTACCTTTTGATATTCATTTACCAAAGCGTCAACACAAAAGGACCTGGGAGGCCATTTTGTTTGCTGATGATAGTTATGCACAATGCAGTTTATCACACCATAATTCTTCATAATAAAAAGACACATTTTGAAAGGTGGGCAACTGCTTTGATGGGGATATCCCCTCCATTCCGATAACTTGATAAAGCTGAAGATTCTTGTAGCTGAAAGATCCGCACTTGTTCAAACACTTGAAATCGCTGGAAAATATCGATCTTTCAGGGCATTGGAACAGTTCAAATTCCACCAGGAAAGTGGCTACCAAGAAGTCAAGTGTACATATTTGTGATCAGAAATTATGGTGACATTTAAAATCTTATCTACTAATCTTATTTCCCTACAAACAGAAAATCTTGATACACATTATTAATCTAAGTTGTGTACTTTTTTTTTAAATTGGCGGATGGCTAGGCCATATATTTTCTAACTAAACATGCAACACTGAAGAAGACCAGCGAAGCCGGTCTTTCACCCTGGAGTTTGTGTGCTAAAGTCAAGGTTTGTGACCTCTCGGACTAACTTCATAAAAGCTCCGTCCAGCCACAGTTAATGTAAAAGACATAGACGACGTTAAGTAGGTTTGTAGAGAGATGAATGATCTCTACGCCCAAGTGTAAAGTCGTCCCGAATACCTTTTCACACCACAGACCGGTGGTGCAAGTTACAGTTATTTTTGATCGATTGAGCTCGCCAACTTGCCGCCAAGTTTACGCACTTCTACCGAGGAAATCGCGAGAACAAACGAACTACCCACCTCATGGATGTGTTTCCCTGGGTCTGATGTATCTACAGAAGGCACGGGGTAACGACGGCGCCAATTTTTACAAAAATAATCCGACCGGCGCGCGATAGCTGAACGGTATAAAAACTCCACCCAAAGGTTGGTGACCCTCGAAACTCTTTGTGTGCTGAAGGCAGCAAAACGAATAAAAGCAACATTTTTAACAAATTTCTACCCTTATGCGTACAAGTTAAGACTTAAATGACAACATCATACTAATATATTAAAACACGCAACTTATTAGTTGTATCATCTTATTGTGTGTTTCTTTTTAAATTTCATAAAAGGACCTTTCCCTTACTTCCTGGTTTTGCATGTAGATGCGTTGTTGACGGATAGCACGGCTGCGCATTACGTCATGGGTCAACTACGCATACACGTGTAGGGGGTTGCGTTCAAAATTCCAACAGGTGGTTACATTTCATTCCCTTAGCAATTCTCCTTACTTTCTGATAGATAAATTTTATTCATTTCATTATCATCTTCGTATTATGGTAAGACCGATTTGTGTCGCATTTGGTACTTGATTTACAATTAAGTGAAATCATTACCCTTCTCAACTTTCAGCCTCCCTATCAGCCAGGATAGATGGTTTCTTCCAGTCACTCCTCTTTTTCCCAAGTGACCAGGTGATTCTGGGCAGACTTCTGATCTTCAGATCTCTTTTCGGAGTTTCATTTTCTGGCCTTAGGGTCTCAGAGGAAGAATATCTAGGACCTAGATCTATTGCTTATGCAATCAAACACTCATATCTACGATGTCGTCAGTCAATATGCTGACATGATGTATCAATTTCTCAACTATTAGAACTGTTATGATGAAAGTTCCATCCAATATTGTTTTGAACTTCCTCTAATTTGAGATGGTAGGGCCAGATCAGTCTGGTTAATGATATGTGATGCAGGATGAAGTTCTATGTCCACCGGGAAGACAACCCTCAGTACACAGTGGTGTTCAGCTGGGAAGAACAACATGAAGGAACTATTGGAAATCTTTTAGAGGTAAAGGAATATGGCAGAACACTTTTTTTTAATATCAAACATAGCAAAGATAAACAAATAACAACAATCAGTTTATTGACTTGGTCATCCTTATTTCTATTATCAATGTAGACTTGTTAGTTTCTTTGAAAGACTGTTGAATTCCTACTGATTCTTTTTTTCTGAATTTGCAATCTCCATACTTATACGTTAATTACCTTGAATTTGCGCCAGCATGTTAAGTGTTAAAATAATAATTCTTATTTACAGGAGCATTGCGTCAATAGCCTCTGCCTTTTAAGAATTAAGCTGTGTGGATACTAAGTTTCATAGTTATTTTCAGCAATTCATAGAGTCCTACAACCAGAAGTTCCAAGGTGTTTGTGAACTGGATGTTGAAGATGTTTTTGTCACAAAGTCTCCAAGGTGAGCAATTATCTTGAAGTTCATATATTTCAAGTAGTTAAACAATGGTTAAAAATGTACTTACCATGCCTTACTATTTGGTCCATGTTGGTCTTTTGTGTCATCTTTGTATTCAGAAATTTACTTACAAAATTACGGTAATTGGTTTACATAGGTTGATTTTTACATCATGTAAATTTATCATGTACAGCTCAAGGCAGGCTTTGTCCAATGAGGAACAAGTGTCCAGAATGGTGCGAGACCAGGAGGATATTTTTGTGATGTCCAAAGGACCACCTGCAGTTACTGGTAATATATGATATAAAAACTATTATAATGCAATATATAATGTAATAACTAATTTATTCTTTCCAACCTTTGTCCAGTATTGATCAGTAATGTCAATACTTCAACAAACACAATTTTCCATGTCTTTGACAATTAAAACATTTTAACACTGTTCCAACACCCTTCTAATTACAACAGTAGCTGTTTCCAACCCCTTACTCTCAATACTTTTCAACTCAAAGACTTTTGATATGTTTTGTTTTTTTACTCCCAGAGCCAGTGCCTTCTGCACAAAGCAGTCAAGTAGAAACAGAGAAAGGTGATGACAACATCCAAACCAGTACTTTGAGAGAAGAAGCATCTAATGCAGCTGAAGTGCCCTCTCGTACCCAGACTGATGATGACATAGGTTGGTATTCCTTGTAAGGAAATAACTGATCTGTAAACAATATCAGGAAATGGAGAATTTCATTTCAATTTGCTCTATCTGACAAGACTGCAACAATGGCCTTATAATGTTTCCATTCCACACAAAGTGAAACAAAAGTATACATTGTGTTATCAACGTTTAGATTAAAAAATATCCAAACCAAATTTCAGCTTGAAAGTCATTGCATAATCCCGGGACATTATATAGGATGTCATTTCACAATCTAAATTTTCCCCACCAGAAGAAGTTGATATCAAATTCCAATTTTGAAGAACTACGTCTTTCTCTTCAGAAGACTTTGAGGACATGAGGGACTTGCTTGAGGGGGAGTCTCCTGGAGGAGAGCTGAGGAGCAGCCCACAGAGGAGACATTCCTGGGAAGGGTCCTTCGACGACGTCTCCATAGCCAATCTACAAATAGCACAACTCAAGAAGGAAAGGAACAAAGAGTTAGTGTCACATCTGATCATGATTAAGTTCATCTGTGTTGGTAGACGTCATATATATATGCCGGATGCAGTGGATTGCTCATTCCTTGACAAAGACTGGAGAAAAATTTGGGTTCATTGAACAAGACATTTGAAATTACAGTTTAAACTTACGGCATAAATAAGTAGGTTCATGGTTGACACTATATGATCGATATCCTTGTTTCAACCAAGCAGGTTGAAACCTTGTTCTAACTGCACAAGTATGGCGTGATGTCAAAGTTCGAGGCCTCTAAGACATAAAACAAAACACACCTTGGACTTGGTATCAAGCATGATCTGGCTTATTCTCATCTTGTTCTTTAAAGTTTCTATGTATCTTACAGCATCTTTAAGTTTCCATGGATGTTTTTGTTGCCCCCAGGCTGAATACAGGACATGATGCCCAGCAGGTTCTGATTGCCAAGTGTATGCAGAATGCACAGAGACTGGTGGAGCAGAAACACTGTGACGAAGCCGTCAAAATCTATGCACAAATTGAAAGACTGTTCCCCCACCAGAAGGAGTGCCTGCTAGGGTTGGGTAAGGCTTCAGAATTACTGTAAATCTGAAAAAAATATCACAGTGGTCTTAAATAATGACACCACAAATGATATGTGTTTTGTGCTACAATATACCAGTAATAATTTTGACTACAAACTCAAAACACCACAAAATTAATTCCCTGTAAAAATAAATGAATTTACAGTACTTCACCATCCAAATCCAAACAATAAAGTAAGACAATCAAGAACATTTATTACTGTATTATGTAATACTTGATAAATTTTTCCTGGTAGCATCCATCTATAGGAATGCTGAGCGCCCTAATAAAGCCCTGGACTACCTCAGAACAGCCGTAGACGCTTTTCCTGATCATGCAGACCTCAAATGTCGGTACGTACACAACTAGTCAATACATACTTTTATTGTACATTTAACTCATCACCTCAATTCATCAAACAAAGAAAGAGATATCATGAAAGCTTATCTGTGTTGGTAGTAATCATACGTTTATAAAGAAAGAGATGATTAGACTGAGCCTTTGCTAAACAGTTCCAATGACATGACCTTGAACTGTGACATTTGTGACCTCTAGCCTTGCAGACTGCTTGCTTGAGCTTGGCCGTGGGAAGGAGGCAAGCCGACTCCTGTTTGAAGCTAAGGACATGATGGAGAAGAAACCTGAAACCAAACCCTCCCAGCTGTTTGATATTCAGGTAAAAGCAAGTCTCCCTATAAAGTATGGAATCATACTGTAATGTCAGCACCATTCGTACTTAAGAATTTTTTTTTATGTTTACCGAAGGAAAACATTTATTTTTTGCTCTGTTTCCACTTCTTCTTCTTCTCCAAACCAATAACGGTAAGGTCAATGACCTGAACCAGATGTCTGTCACCATGATAACTAGTGTTGGGTTACATCTGTTGCAATTTTATAGCAGGAAGGATTTAGACTTAGAGCAGACCATATGCGAAGGTAAACATTATGCTTTTGCTTTGTAAATGTTACATTTCTAGTGAATACTTGTTTCTTGTCTCTTTAGAATGCAAATTTAGATTCAATTTCAAGCTTAACTCCCAAAGGAAAGGTTTACCTGATAAAGATGTTAATACCAGCATTCATCACGACTAATGGTCACGTTGTCATTATTAAGATAACAATAATGGCAATCAGTCTGATCTGTTAAGCCAAATTGGGTTAAGTGATGATCCAATATGGCCGTCTCTCATTTAGGTGCAGCTTGCAAAGGCCTTTATACTGCTGGGGAAACACACAATGGCTCTACAGATGTGTCAGGTAATATTTCGCTTTTAGAATGATTGCAAATTTTTTGGTTATTCCATTGTCATCACGTAACAAGTCTGGAAGGTCAGTTCAAGGTTACCAGTTTCATGAGTAGGACTGGAAAAGCATGTCTTCTCTGTAATGTCAGAAACATCAATGTCATCATACAAAAATTGTCAATCTACTAAGTACTACTGCTTCATCTATAAACCCAGTAGCACACTAAAAGGTTACGGAAACTTCAACTAGATAGTAGTAAGTCTTTCATCGTGATGACTGGTTGTGTAAAAAAGACCTCTGTTAACCAACGCAGGCAGTGGTGAAAGAGAAAAAGGACCACCTGGAGGCTCTGTTAGAGTACGCCGAGCTGACGTACAAAATGAGTCCAATACATGCCAAGGAGGCTCTGACCATCGTCATGACCCTCATGGTCAACAAGAAAGACTGGATGTTACCCAGAGACCGGTTGGTCAACATGATGAAATACATTCCTAATGGTCTCAAGATACTAGAGGGGTGAGTTGAAGCTGTTGTTGTTCACCCCACTTACATGCTACTGCATAGAATTCATTGTCTGGGGCAAATACATCTCAGATCTGAGCTATATTATGTTGTGACAAATAGAGAATTAGTAGCCAAATATTAAATTAGTGTGCTGTAGGTTAAGGTTGCAGCAATATATACTTTGGGTATCTTAGGTTAAGATGTACACAACATGAGTCTCTTCACAACACACAAGGTTAGCTATTAATGTTGATAGCTTAATAGGCAGAGATAGCAATAAAAATCTGCCATTGATTCCTTCTTTCATACCAGGGAAATCCATGAAGCCATCAAGTCAGTTCCTGCTCTGGTCTTCTTGTCCAATGTCTTTAGGGACCATGGAGGTAAATCTTGTTGTATATTTTATGACTATTGCCTACTGCTATATTGTATGACCCCTTATTCCTTAACATAGACTGGAGTTGTACAGTCAAAAATTTAGGTAGGTCCAATTTCTTAATTGGAAATTACAGTGGAAGCTTGCTTCATAAAGTAATTTTTTTTCCACCAGATGTGTCCAATTCTGCCCAGCTCCTGGAGCATGCCATGCAGGTGGAGCCGGCCCACTGTACTGCCTTCCTCTCACTCATCCACATGTTTGAGGTGCAGGACAGGCACGGAGAAGCTTTCAAAAGGATAAGGTAAAGGAAAGTTTGAAGTTGAAGACACTGACCTAGGGCATAGAGCTGAACACACCTTGCATTTAGAATACAAACTATTCAAAATTGTGTAGCTATCATTGCTAAACTGTAAAAGTGTTAGAGGATCCCAATGTCAGATAAATGCATAAAGATTAGACAAAAAATACTATTACAGACTGATGGAATTAAATTCAGATTATATTTTTGTCTACCCAGGACCTTCTTGAAGCAGCATCCTGACATGTCCATCGCTGGTCTCAAAAACAAAGTGTTTCTGCCAATTCTGAAGGCAGTTAAGGAGGACATATATCTCCATGGTGAGCTAACTCAATTGTAGGATCACCACATGTTCTTTCTATGCCTCAACATTTTATCCAAAAACTTTTATACTCCTTGTAAGATGGGTAGTTCAATGGACTCAGGGACCCTGCCTCTGGATCAAGACGCAACAAATTCAGCTGTTATTTTTCACCCCTCTTACAAAAATGCTACTGCAAAGAGTCATAGTTGTTAGTTAGCACTGTTCATTGTACTTGTCAATGAGAGCTACAAACTGTAGGGAAATAATTTTAAACTTTGTACAATGAACCTGTACATAGTGTACATATCATCTGTCTTCAGTGGGCTAAACTGTTTCAAGATCACTTAAAATTTGAAATTTCCCGTGTATCTCTAGCCACATATCCCAGAGTGTCTGGGATCTCAGCTGATGTCCAGCCGCCCCAACAGAGGGCCTACAATGATCAGGAGCTCAACCTGTTGGCTGTCATGTTCACACTGGTGAAGATACTCTTTGTGAAGGGAGCCCTGGGGCTAGTGCCTTCTTTCACAAAACTGCTTGGTAAGTTGTTTAGTTCTTGTTGTTACGCCAGCGTACAGAGTTTTCTGTGTGTCTGCATGGTTGAGTGTTTGCTTTCTTGTGTTTTTCCCTAATATTTTGCGTTTTAAGTATGTCAGATTTTACGTTTGTCTCATCCATTTACATGCATGCCAACATTTACTTGTATCCTACCACTTCAGTACTACTTTTAACGCCTGATCTAAGCATCATTTCTCCTTACAGATCCAGCACATGCAGACAGGGACTTACACACAACTCTGATAAGAAATGAAGCGGCATATTACTCTACCATAAGTCAGGTATAGAAAATCAGTGATCTTATAAGATAGAATTTTTTTCACTGTTGAACAGTTTTGTCATTGGAAGAAAACCAAAACCAGGAAGTCAGCACCAAGGACAGGGACAGAAGTGTACTCACTTGGGCTAAAATAGCCTCTTGGAACACAATGATCTTAAGATAGACTTTTTACCATTTCACTGTTGTCCACTTTTGCCATTGGAAGGAAACCAAAACTAGAAATTCAGCACCAAGGACAGGGACAGAACTGCACTCACTTGGGCTAAAATAGCCTCTTGAGACACCAAAAACTGAAATTTTATTGGCAGATCAGTATTTATTACAGTCTTTTATCAATAAATATCTGTAAATAAAAGAAACCTTTTGGCATCATCTGTTTCATGGTCATAGCATGTATAGGATGTACACATTAAATAAAAAATGACGAAAACTTATGATTAGCCCTGCTTGATTGTACATATATACTGTATTATTGGCTCTTGATGTTTAGTAATCAATATGTTAATTTTCATTCTATACCCTTTACTTTTGGTACTACATTTGTATGTCCAAATGTCGTTGCCATACATTGTACCATGACTTCAGGTGACACCAAAAATGTCTTTCCAGGTGATGAAGATAAAACTGAACCCTGCCTGCCTGGAGAACAGCCCCCAGTTTGTGTACCTGGCTGGGGACAGTCACTGTATCACTCCTGCATGGAGGTCTGTTCAGTACAAGGTAACTCATGCTGCCATCTTTACCTTTAGGCCACACTGACTTAATTTTATAGATGACATCCTCTGAAGACCCCCAAACTAGTGCACATGGGCTAATAAAAAAATTCAGCCAGAAAAATGCTGCTAAACCTCAGGAATACAAGGCTAGCATTATGAATTTGCAACAAGCTGACACATGCTGGTCTTTTGCAGCATTTATGAGTCGGCACTGTACTACATGTAAGTTCTAGAGTTCCGTAGAGCTTCGGTAGCGTAGGTAAAATCCTCCATAGTTACCGCCGGCTTCCTATTGTCACTAGCTACCATGGACTGCAGAGGATGGCACCCAGGCCAGACCCTAAGAGGATTTTTTTTAGAATACTAGTAGTCAAAAATTAATGCGCGCGTGGATGTCATCCATAAAATTGAATCAGTGTGGCCTTACCTTTAAAATTTTAGGCTGGCTATAGAACACTGATTTACCAATGATCTACAAGTCTCATGTTTCCTCCCCACAGGGTTCCACCCATGTCATCCATCCCCTTCTGTCCACCGGCACAAAGATTTGGCACATGAGACCAGAGGCCAAATTCTTCACCAAGGAGAACTTCTACAACGTCATGAAGAAGGCACCGAGAAAGTCCACCGTGATCTTCGTGTTTGGAGAGATTGACTGTCGTGAGGCACTGCCTGTGTGCGTCGCCAAGTGCAGATATGACGTGAGTTTGTAAATCCTCTTTGAGAGGCCAAATATTAATATAGGTCTTGGTTTAAGGGTTGCTGACTTTTGAATCCCTAGCCGACTGGGATATTATGTCCATAGAAAAGACCAAATTTATTGTCTAATCTTTAAACACTGTTGAAAGTTTTGGTAGTCCAACAAGGACTGTTGCAATTGCAGGTATAGCACTGGTGGTATAGCCTTTAGTAACCCCCACTTTGAGATTAGTGAAGTGCAATTGTTGTATTGAATTTCTCTGCAGCTTCCATACTGTTGTGCTTAGTCAGTAGCCAGTAGCCAGGTTTGGTCGGTAGCCAGGTTTGGAAATGTGACAATTGTCTTACTTTGCTTGTGAAGGCAAAGCAAAAGTCATGTCTTTTTAGTTTGTCTTTACATGTATTTATGATTCTACAGACCATGGAAGATGGCATCAGCAGACTGCTAGAGATCTACACCCAGGCTCTACTGGTGCTGAAGAGGAAGTACAAGTTCACTGTGTTTGTTCACCCAGTCCCACCTGTACTAGATCTCACCAGGTGAGAAATAAGACATCAGACCATCCCAAATATGCCATTTCTTCAATTGTCCTTAAGCATGTATATTTGTACTGAAGTCAACTAAAATTTGAAGTAAGGAAAATATGTTACTATAGATGCACAAATGCTTCCTGGGATGAAAGAAAATAAAACTACTAAAAGCAGAATGGAGCCCTTAGCTTAGCGTCAGCAGAATGTACTGTACCTATGAAAAACCCATAACATATTGTGCATCTATAGCACTTCAGCAGAGTGCCTCATAGAAGGCCGTATTTGTATAGGGTTAACATCCTGTCTGTACTTTCCAAATGTCATGTCGGAAAAGATATCATCTGCAACGGGCAAAATTCTGAAGCAACATTGACCAAACATCCAACCGTGAAAAACGTGAAAAATCAGGGTTTTGCACAGGCGCAGTGAGTTCTGCAGACATGCTGAGCCCTTATGATATTCAGATGATTGATATTCACATTATGATGTTTACATTTCAGACAAACTGTGATGAAGTTTAACAAGGCCCTGAAGTCCAAGGTGGAATCCACGTCAGGTCTACACTGGCTGGACTTTGTGGATGAACTGCTGTGTGATCATGGGACCATGCTCGACTCCAAATTTGGTAAGTTTGGGGGCCATCTTGGTTCATATAATTTGTTTCCTTTGCATGTTTTTGCTCTGTTTCTTTTCCTCTTCTTCTCCAAATAAGGTCAATGACCTGAACCGAACGTCTGTCACGATGGTAACTGATGTTGGGTTACATCATGTTGCAATTTTATAGCAGGAGAGATTTCAACTCTTGTCACCATACATTTGCATGTGTTTCAGTAAGAATTAATATTTTCATGTCTTTTTGCATGTCTGTGAAAACCATAACTTTAATATGAAGTCATAGATGGATCTTTATGATATTTGGTTATAACGTTCCTGTTTATGAAGTTTGTGATCTTTCATCTAATCAAAAATCTTTTCATTTTTTTGTTGACAGAGTTTGATGGCACACACCTGCACCCTTGCTATGTGGAGAGACTTGAAAAGGCCTTGTCCGAGGCACAGGAGAGAAGAACCACCAGCAGTCCCAGGAAGTGACATCATAACAGGATGTGACATCACAATGAACTGATGACATCATGACAGGCTACTGACATCATAACAGGCTGATGACATCATAACAGGCTGATGACATCATAACAGACTGATGACATCATAACAGACTGATGACAACTTAATAGGCCAAAGACCACATAATAAGCTGATGGATTCACAAAAATACACAATTTATTAGGTGCAGAAGTATAAAGTGTTACCGCCATTACAGGAGAAACAGAGCATTAACTTCATTTCACTTAATTGATTATCAGAATAGAAAATTACATCACATTTGCATGGAAGGTTATTGTTATTGGTTCATTACATTACAGGGAATAATTTCACTTTGTTCTTTTGTGTTAGAATGAAGTTCTACTATGATTGTTTCTTCGCAATTCCTCTCAAAGCAAATTTATATGAAATTACCAAATATTGTAAAGATTCTTTTTAGGGCATCAATTCTCTAGCTATATGTGTTTTTATTGCCCCAATTGTCTGTTGTAATAACAATTTTACATTTATCTATATTCTTTTGTAAATTTTGAACACATTGAAAAAATAATATCATATATAATGTAAAGTGTAGTGGTGGGGCTTTCGGCCCGGGACCCGGGGGCCCTGGGTTCAAATCCACCTACTACATACCCCGATGTTGTGCCCTTGGGAAAGGCACTTAACACACATTTCCTCATACAGCCAGTCTCTGAAAGCTGTCAAAAAACTTTAGAGTTTGACGTTAGGAAGGGCATCCAGTCAGTAAAAACCTTGCTTCAAAAAAAAAAGACTTGCACAGGCTTGCTGTTGTGCACCTCAGCATGCTGAGGGGCAAAATGGCAAGCCCAAACATGCACCTGTGCAAGCACGTCTATACCCCCGAAATACGGGGAATCAATAGACGTAAAACTTGCATAAGAAGAAGAAGAAGAAGAAGAAGAAAGTGTCGTAAAGACATGTCAATTTCTATAGCAATTTAACATTGTGATGTACGTCATAGAATGAAATGCTATATAATATCAAGGGCATATAATGTCCTTACTGTTATGCATATATATGTATTCATGTAGATGATACATGTACATAATTATAAAGTTGCAACATTTAATGCCTTAAGTTCTACTATGCAACATGATGAATTTATTCTGAGTTTCTGTGCCTTTGTTTTCTGTCCTGGATGGTTTATTTAAAGCCTGGTGATGCACCTGTTTAACCTCACACAAAAGAGGTCACCAAAGGAAAATGCGCAGGTATAACGTTAATGCTCTTGACATGCCCTCATATCTGCAGTTTGCAGTATCTCCGCCTAGAGGTGCTACTAAGGTGACCAGCTCTGAGTTGTTCATATAAACCGCGTCGTTTGTCGGGCAGGGTCCAGAACGTGCGGCAATTTTGCAGGACACTTGTAAGTTTAAACTCTTCGATCATTTAAAAACTGTGCTAAATATCGTCAAAACTGCAGAGTGAGACTAGTAAGGAACGTTACAGTAGCTAGCTAGATCAACATAACAGGTTGTTTCACTAGGAACTAGCTTGCCAACCCGTTTCCTCTTTGAGCGATAGGTCAAAGTCCATTCCGACTCACCATGGCTGGGGGGGAATGTTCTAACGGACAAATTATTCATTGAACAGTTATTACATTAGAAATGTCGCATTAGCTGTATTTCGTTCTTTTACAATGCCAACCTGTGGAGGATCTTGCGTTATATATTCCTCTATAGACGAACGACGACATGGGTGTTGTAGGTGTTGTGACATGGCTGACGTCCGCCAGTGCCGTGGGCGTGGCGGTGTTCACGGCTTACCTGTACTCGTCCCTGCCTCCTGGCGTCACGGAACCGAGAAAAGTCTTCATCATCAAGGGCTTCGTGCGAACCTTTTACTTTCTTGTGAGTCTATTTTAACGTGCAACGTGTAGTGATAACTTGTATTGACTTTAACAAGCTTAGCTTATATATGGGCTATTGCTACAGAAAAAGGCTTAGTGTTGACGTTTTTCCATGTTTTTTTTTTGTGTGGGGGGGGGTCTAGTGCGTTACGTTTTTTCTCCTTTCTCACCATCCCACCCCATACTGTACACACACAAAAAAAATTAGCTGACCCTACTGCTTGGAACGTAGTCATTCTTTAGTCTGAACTCTCCAACAATACCGTTTAAAATAACTACAATGGATTATCGTGTGGTACTTGTGAATCGTCGTTCCAGGGATGGGTTCACCAGAAGATGGGCTTCGGTGTGAGGAGACTCCGGCCGCCGCGGCGGGCATCACACCCTAACCTGGAAGTTACGGACGCGTCCTTCGATGGCGTCCGGGTCCGAGTCTACAAACCACGGGCTCAGAAAACGGCGACGTCGACAGGAAGCAAGATGGCTGGCCTAATGTGGTTCCACGGAGGGGGCTGGGTGCTCGGCTCAATCGGTAGGTTTGGGAAATATATATTAGACAGCATATCAATATTTAGAAACCGCATTATTATTCATCTGAAAGTTTGAATAACAACCGTTGCACAGGACATCGCAATTGTTTTTAAATGCTGAAAATACCGAGAAGTCAACCTAAAACAAAGTTAAAGAAGTTCTGTAAGTATTTCTTTTTTGTAATTTTCAGATGAATGCGATGGACAAGTTGGACGTATTGCAAACAGATCGGGGGCTGTAGTTGTGTCAGTTGAGTAAGTATTCATGATTATAAATTATATGATATGTAGATAAAAGGAACACGGCGGCATAAAGTACTAAGCCTAAGCCTGTTGGATGTTTGATCGACGTTGCATCAGACTTTTGCCCGCTGCAGGCGATATCTTTACCGACAAAACATTTGGAAACTACAGTCGATTTCATCCTTAAATCGCGAATACTGTCAATGTGCTACGCACAATACATTACGGGCTTCATGCAGATGCAGTACGTTCTGTCCACGTGCTATATTATAACATATAAGTACATAAAATATTGTTGACTCGTTTCAGTTTGTCCTCCATCACTTAATTCTGTGAGTCATGAATAGTTTCATAATGTCCTGTCATTATATTCTAATTCTGCTGCCTTCCTCGGGGCAATTCTGACTGCTTCTATATGTTTCAGATACCGGCTGGCCCCTGAACACAAGTTCCCGGTCCCGTTTGAAGACTGCCTCACGGCGACCCAACATTTCCTCCAGCACGCCGCCGAGTTCGGAGTCGACCCCACAAGAATCGGCGTGGCGGGAACCAGTGCGGGCGGCAACCTGGCTGCCGCGGTCGCTCTGAGGCTCAAAAAGGAAGATACGCTCCCGCCCTTAAAGCTCCAAGCCCTTGTCTACCCCGCTCTCCAGGCGTTCGACTTTCAGACCCCTTCGTACACCAGAGGACGTAGATACTTCGTTCTTCTCCATCCTAACGCCATGATGACATTCTGGATACGATACCTCAACAACAACCTTTCCCTGGTCGACATGTTTTCAAACAACGGCCACACGACCGCGCTGAGGAAGTCGCGCTTTGCGTCTTATGTGGACCAACACTTTCTCGGCCACTCCGTGCCAAGATCGACACCTAACGAAGACGTCAGCGTGGATCTCCCAGACGACTTGAAGGATATCCTGAACCCCTACTTTTCCCCGCTGATGGCAGAAGACGCCGACTTGTCCGGACTGCCCGACACTTACGTCACTGTGTGTGGGACGGACGTCCTGAGGGATGACGGGATCATGTACGCCAAGAGGCTGGAAATGGCGGGAGTTCAGGTCCGACTGGCGCGCTACCCCTCAGGCTTCCACGGCGTCATGTCCTTCGCATCCAAACCGTTTTACTTAGAGGTCGGAAAACAGATGGAACAGGACTTGGCAACGTACTTACGCGATCACCTGTAACGTTGACATTGTTGTTGTTGCTTCGATCGTTGTTTATGACCTTAACCTTAGAATAGTATGATGTTGAGCTTGAATTTCATTACTTCACCAGAGGAAAGTTATTCGCATGGTAAGAAAAGATACGTTTGGGAATTAAAAAAAATCTTTTGGTCTGTTTTTATGCGTCTGTTCATTTCTTTGTGCCTATCGCTGGACAGACATCATCCACAGGTCTCATTCTCATTGCTACCTACAATACACAGAACCACCACAAGATGGCACTACTAACATGACCTATAGGTCGTTGACCCTTGACCGGCGTTGGCATAGTTCAAGATTCCAGGCCCAGAGATTTTCACTATCATATAAAACTGCAACTGTGTGGAGAGGCTATCGGTAAGAACATTTTGTAACATAAATGTTGCCCTTTATCGTAGTTGTGCGCACACTACTATGTAGTAAGCTACTGTAAGTCCTTGTAATGGCCTAGCGATCTACCTGGGACCGAGGGACTCGACTTCCGGGTTTGGTTTCAGACTAAATACCCCTCCCCCCCCCCCCACACACACAATATAAGTTGTACCAAAACGCTGCTAGGTGCCAGATAAGGATATCTTAAAATTTTGATCCACCTAGTCAATATAGCTCCCATTTGTCTCCAAGTCATATCCAACGCATGTTTTTTGTCCTTGTTCCTTATCATTGACTCGGACTGTCTGGCCTTTGTTCTTCTGCCATCTCTCAGGTAATACACCGTACCGTCAGGTAATTTTCTTAGACCGAAAGTTCCAGTGCTCTCCGGCCATATCTGCCCCTCATGATGGGTGCCTGTAAGACTGTGACCTTGCTGACGGCCGTGACCGCCGTGGTCCTGGCTGTGTACGTGTACTCCTCCCTCCCTCCGGACGTCACTGAGCCCGGCAAACTCGTCATGTTCAAGGCGGTGTTCTTCACTTTCAGCCTCATTGTAAGTGGGTCTGGTCAACGTTAGGCTTCGCTAGCCTTGTCGACGACTGTAAACTTTATCTTAATCACAACATCAGACTTCAGTCTCACGTACTGAATAGCAAGAGACAAACGAAGATACTAGTAGATTGAACTGTACCGGCGAGACATACACTGATTTGGTCTGTAGTTCAGAGTTTGTTTACCGCTAATTTACAGCCAAGAACAGTTATTATTATTAACGCTGTTGTTGGATCTGTAACGACACCTATACTAATTCCACTGGATACCCTAAGACCTCCACATTGAAAAATAAGAACGACATATCTTAATATATTTACCAGTACTAGTGCAACATTAGTAACCTCAAATTCTTAAGACATTCTTAGGCTAAGGAAGATAGTCTTCGACGTTAAGCCTTATTGTAAGTGGGTTTGATTTAAACGTTGCTTTTGCTCTTCGTTCCAAATATTGTCGTTGCTGACTATTCAAAATTAATGTTATTCTACAGGGTACCCTAATAATAAGCCAATTTGGAAAAGAAAAACTTGAAGAAAACGCGTTGAATTTTAGGATATCTAATGCATCTGTAGCAGCGACACCTGTGCTGCAATGCAATGTGAGTCAGTCAGAATTGCCCTGAGGAAGGTGACAGACGGTCACCGAAATGTCGGCTGAATAAAAGACATGGTTGTGTAAAGGAGTCTCTTTACTCAGTGTCTTACCAACCTCATGAAACTATTCACGGAAGTCTCAATCGACGTTTAGCCTCATATGTCCAATGTACGTTGCCTTTCTCGTACAGGGAAGTACATACGAGAAGCTGGGCTTCGGCGATAGAGCAGACTTGTTCCGCAGTATCGGCGTCAAACCTTCGTTCCTGGTGTCAGATTCTAACCTGGAAGTTAGAGACTCGTCCTTCAGCGGCGTTCAAGTTCGGATCTACAAACCACAAGTCCAGAAGGGGGGAAGCAAAATGACGGGTCTGATGTTCTTTCATGGAGGAGGATGGGCCCTCAGCTCCACTTGTAAGTTTTCGGGCCGCCGTTGCATATTTGTATTATGTCTACGCTCATGTTACGCTCATGAAATTTACGTTATGTACAATATCATTTAACTCATATACACTGTGTCATATAACATTAGATTGAAGTGCTGTATTGGACATTCTGATGACATTTGCAACCTTGCGATAATTCACTAGCTAAACATAATGACATATCGTTTTAACGTCGACGTCTTTCAGATGCATACGACCGCCTTGTGGGACGCATTGCACTGGGGACTGGAGCTGTTGTGGTGTCAGTGGAGTAAGTACCGGCTTGTTTTTGAATTTATTTTATTTCAAACATGCTCAGTGGCTGGCGTACTCTGTCGGTAACTTTATATACGATTACTAACTACATGAACAACATAAGACATTTTGATTTCTGCACATTTTCCAGATCCTTTTTCATATTCAAGTTTGACACCGACGATCCTCGACCGATCAGTTTACAGCTACAAAATGTACTACCTATTTTCAGATACCGGCTGGCCCCTGAACAAAAGTTCCCGGTCCCGTTTGAAGACTGTCTCACGGCGACCCAACATTTCCTCCAGCACGCCGCCGAGTTCGGAGTCGACCCGACAAGAATCGGCGTGGCGGGAGACAGCTCAGGCGGCAACCTGGCTGCCGCGGTCGCGCTGAGGCTGGAAAAGGACGACAAAAAGAAGCTGCCGCCCTTAAAACTCCAGGCCCTAGTTTACCCCGCTCTCCAAGCGTTCGACTTTCAAACTCCGTCGTACGCCAGAGGGCACAGCGTTTACGTTAACCTCCCTGCTAAGCTGATGATCGGATTCTGGGTAAAATACCTCAACAACAACATGTCCCTGATCGACGTGTTTTCAAACAACGGCCACACGACTGCGTTGAGGAAGTCGCGCTTTGCGTCTTACGTGGACCGGCACTTTCTCGACGAGTCCGTGCCAAGATTGACACCTGAAGACATTAGTGTAGATCTCCCAGACGACTTGAAGGACATCCTGAACCCCTACTTTTCCCCGCTGATGGCAGAAGACGCCGACTTGTCCGGACTGCCCGACACTTACGTCAGTGTGTGCGGGACGGACGTCCTGAGGGATGACGGGATCATGTACGCCAAGAGGCTGGAAATGGCGGGAGTTCAGGTCCGACTGGCGCGCTACCCCTCAGGCTTCCACGGCGTCATGTCCATGGACTTGGCTTTGAAGCATTTTGAATTTGAGCTCGGAAGACAGATGCTGCAGGACCTGGTAACATTCGTTCGCGAGAAGCTCTGATAGAATTCAAGTCTATTGCTTGACACTAATACTGAATAGGGCAACGCCCATCTCCCTTTCCAAAGCCCTTTATAGGCCGCACAGTCTGTTCAAGCACCTCATGCACAGTGGGGCTAGTCCACTTGTACCATGGTTGTGTGTATGTAGTAATATAAGGTTTCCAGCATAAGTAGTATGACTTTACATGTGATCCCGCCGAATTCACCGATCATTCGGCTGCTGCTACTCCACGACTACTGAACTATGCAAACAGGTTGTTGCATTATCCAAGATTAAAGTCATAAACGTAGTTATTAGCAAGCAGTGCTGTCATTACTGTGAATCTTATGTGTAGCCTTTGCAGTAGCAAACAAAATTGTGTACATAATTATTTCAATAGACCTTAATGGCTTAGCATGATACTAATGCCGTAATGAATGCATTAAACATGATTATCATATAGCCAGGTGACGTTGACCAAGCAGAAGGCTCCATTCCACATTCCTTATGACGCCGTAATGTCACAAATAGAGTCAAAATCGGGTATTTATTCATCCCAATCCATACATTAAACAACCCAAATAATCACCCGCAGAACAGGGCTCTAGTTCTAAAAAATCCAAAAATAACTTAAGTTGTGTTCCAATGACCTCGGCTGACTCCCATAAGAACACCTGTTCCCTGCCTGTGACCCAGATAGAAGACATAGAACGTGAACTCTACCCAGTGACCTCAGGTGACTCCAGAGGGAACTATGTTCTATGTTCTATTCAGCATGTGCATTGTATCACTTACTGCATCAGTTTGGATAGACTATCGTGTAAGCTATATGATAATAGTGTTAATGTCCCGCCCTTTCTCGGTGAATATGGTGTGATAAAGCCTTGTCAGTTGCTATAACCACCTCATAAAGCCACCTCGTTCGCTGCGCTCACTTGGTGGCTTTATTCTGTGGTTATAGCAACTGACAAGGCTTTATCACACCATATTCACCTCGGGGCGGGACATTAACCCTTAAATATTGAACCGGGTGTGCTCACCCATAACATCATAAAGTTTGCATTGAGTACGTATACTTTGTCTTCAATAAGTGTTCCCTGACAATTATGGTAAAATGAATAAATTAAAACGAAATCAAGGATCGTTGGAAAATCAATGGCCTGCCTTCAGTTTTAAGAACTTTCATCCTCATAATTAGTAAAAAAATAAGTAAAAATCCGTCACCGAAATAATAGTAGTAGTTGAACAGCCAGAGATAGTCGTTATGCCATATGCCGATCTGAAATAAGTTTGTGTAGGAGCATGGCGTTATATTACACATTTTCCATTTACTGGTGTCTATTTTAGTTCATCTATTCATTTTGATAAGAATGCGTCGATCCAAGTCGATCTAATAACGTCATTTAACCATATATAACACCTGTTATGAAAGGCAGGTAAAACCATAACATAACGTTATACGGGAGATGGTATACGTACTCGAGAAAATTCTACTTTTAATTTTCGATATGGTTTCGATATGTGGCCTTACATTAAATTGATCAGTAGATCTAAAACAGGAACACACAAAACATTTTTTCACACAGGTCAAGTGAAGAGGTCAACCCGGAAGTGCTTGCTGCCCGATAAGTTGTGACTTCCGGGTTGAGAATTTGACAGAAGCAGCCGAACGTTTGCGATGAAACCGGAGAGGATTTTGTGTTGAACTTCTGGTGACAAGAAAGACACAAAAAAACGCGCGCGTTTTAAATTCCAGGCACGTGCAGGCCCCCTCGGAATTTCAAGTGCCCTTCCTTATCATGAGACTTTGACGAAGACTTCGAAAACAACTTCCGTTTTTCGCTAGCGAGAAGTCCAGCGGTGCCCAGCGGCATGATTCGCGACATTCGTCGGGCGGTGAAGGCGCTCTCCCCCGCCGGCATCGGGCGGCATTCCGAGCTAGTGGACCTGCTCTACGCCCAGAAGGAGACACACGAAGCTCTCTGTAAATACATCACAGCCAGTAACAACGGTTAGTACGTAGCTGTGTGAGAAAACATAGCGAGAGCGGGGAGGGGGGCATTCCCTGATCACATAGTTCCACTGGGCAGGGTCATGGTCTCTAAACGGGTCATGGCCGTTGGTAAATTTTGTTGATAACGCTCTAAATAATTCATATAAACACCAACAACCGTTTGAATGTGATGTGCTATTTACCAGACTGTTGTCTTTATACTTCCTAGACGACCGTAGTCAAATAATTTATTTCATTCTATCTAACGGTACAGGGCCAGGGGTGGGTCTCTGATCAGCCAAACATGACGAATCATAAAAATATTTCTTCTACTCCTCTTTCCTTGCGACAAAACAGTCGGGTTTGTAACGGTTACGTGGATTTCTTGGCTTGTGTAGAAAGAGCAACGACTGGTCACAAATTAGATTTGTACATATCGAGGTGTGTAATCTGTGTGACTGGCTCCTTTGATCCCTTGTCAGCCCGTGCCCCGTGTATGTAAACAGTGACGTCTGTGGCAGTCCACTGTTGGGCACACTGTAATCAGGGACCGTTCTTTAACACTCGTGGGGGGATCGAGAGTGCAAAACACAAGCAAAAATCCTGAAAATAAGGCTGAAACTAGCATATTATCTACTTACGGATTCAATTTTCTGGTAAAAAAAACAATGTTGTGAACTTGTATAACATATTTTCCCCAAAGGTGCCCAGTGTAAGCAGGTATAAGTGGAAGTTCCCTTATTAAGTAAACTATTTCTCTAACCGTGACCTTTGCTGTTGATGTTTGTGATGACAGCCGCCATTTCATGCCTTGTGATCTTGACACGTAGGAGGCTCACATAGGGTTTTACAGCAGTATGTCATGAACGATGTTACACAAGTATAACATGTAATCAAACTTCATAAAATATCTTACAAATAACCAATCATGAAAAATCAATAAAAAAATCAATAAATTCACAATTGCAAACATTAAATGCAGACATTCCTTTCTGCTGACATTGTGTTCCTATCCATTGTTTCAATGATGACTTCTTGACTGACTCAAACTTTTACAAATTGAATGTGCAATTTGTGTTTTTATCTAATGTCTTTCTGAATTCCGTGTGTTTTCAGAGTCCCAACTTCTCCTAAAGTTCTCCAAGTGTCAGGATGACTTCACGATACGTGAGGTGTCTGTCAGGCAGGCTGAGATCCACTGGTTAGCCGACAAGATAGCAACGGAGTATGCTGATCAGGTGAGCACAAAAACCACATCTGGTCAGAATTCTGTCTTAACACCTTTGCCAAGAAGGCAATATTTTGCTTGCTTGATTCTTTATTAATAGATACAAGCAGGAGGTTTAAATTCAACGCCTTGGTAGAACTCTAAACATTATGAATAGATTTTTACTATAATGTGTTAATATAGATTTTCTATGGACAATACTTAAGCCTAAGGAAAATGTGGTAAAATTTTGGTAAGGAGAATGTGGTAAAATTAAGTTGATGCTACCCTTAAGCATCACATGTGCGAAACCTGGATTTTTCATGTTTTCCTTTGGATGTTTGGTCGACTTTGAATCACAATTTTGAAAAGGATATCATTTGTGACACAACATTTGAAAATTATAAATGGGACATCATCCTTGAATACACAAACACAACTTAAACAATACATTCTGCAGTAGTGCAATTACTGCTATATATAGTATATGCACAATACATTATGGTTTTTCCCATGTGCATAAACGTTCTGCTGACTTGCTTATTCTGTGAACCACACCAATTTCCACCATTTCCACAGTACCTACAGTACAGGAAGGCCTTTAAGGAGGTGCTGGCTGAACAGAAACTGCTGGATGACATCCAGAAAGTGAAGGAAACATGTGAGGCGAAGGTACTGAAACTCAGGAAGCAGACAGAGCACAGCAAGAAGAGAAGTGATGCAGCCAGGCTGGAGGCCATGCAGGCTGAGGTGGCTATGGTGAGTAAGGGCAGAAGTGTAGACTCTATCAGGCTTCAGAGGTGGCTGGAAAGAGTAGAAATTGGCCATATAGACAGATAACATGGCAGGGGAGTTCGTCGGCTAAAGAGTATGGTTTTGGGAGCGGCAAACTGTACTCAGTACTCGGTAGTAAACTAACACCCCAGCTATGTTATCTGTCTATTTGGCCATTAATGGCCAATGTCTACTTTTTCCAGCCACTTCTGAAGCCTGATAGAGGCTAGCAGAAGTCATGAATATGAAGTAAATAAAATATACATAAATCTTCAAATATTTGTAGTGGTTTTCTTCCCACAACTTTCTCATTAACCTCACTACCTCAAATTTATGACAGGAAGTAGGTAGGAAGACTTCTGATTTCTGTGCTGCTCCAAAGCAATGAAAGGAAGACTTCTGGTTTCTCTTTTAGAACTGTGAACTGGAAACGCAACATTTTGCCCCTAAGCTTTAGTAGCAAAATTCAATACTGATATGATACAAATTATAAAGAGTATTATTTGGTTATTAACTTTGCCAATGTAGTACAATGTACTTCATGACATGTAACGTTATATGTTTTCCTTCAGGCCGTATCAGCAGCTGAGGAATCCCAGACAAAGTACCAGATTGCCAAGACCAAGTTTGAAGTTTACAAGGTACGACTAGGAATATCAAGTACAAGACGATGTGTTTATGCTTGGCATACTTGAGCAATACTGACTGAGTGATTCCACTTCCTTTTGCTCATGCAGCAAACAAAATTTTTATTAACTCAATAAATATTTAGTTATTATTAGATAAGTAACCTGACTTAACTACTTTAATCTTAAAATGTTTCCAGTTGTTTTATTTTTGTGAGTTTGCTGCAAATTTTCTTGTTGTTTCAAAGCTTTGTTTTTCTATTTTTCAAATTGCACCTGAAATTTTTGCCGATGTGCAATTTTTCATGTACCTGAAAAAAGTATTTCGAGCCCTGTAAACTTTGGAATGTTTGCAATGCAGGCTGGGAAGGTAAAGGCAGCCCTGCTGACGCTGGCAGACAGCATGCAGCTGTACCACCAGAGATGCGGTAACCTAGCAACCACACAGCAGGCGCTGGCAGACTTCATCCCAGATGTACCCACGCCCATGACGCCGGAGGACATGAAGAGCAGTATGTTAAGAAATTTGTCATTTCTTTGAGAAAACAAGAAATCTAAACCTGTAAATTCCCTTTATGTCCAATAACTTCATTTTAATGTAGTACAGATTTCACCAGAAAAATTGAGATTCCACTAAAATTTGCCATTTTTTTAGAAATCAAGAAATGAAGTATCACAAACCTCTGTGAGATTTTTGTGAATCTCTTGTTTTATTGTGAATTTCTTGCTGAGTCTGATGCATTTTCCCACTGTCTTACATGAGGCAACCGACATGGATATACCGGTAGTAAGCAATTTAAGATGGGATATGACATAACCTTTTCTGGGACCTTTGATCTAATCTTATTCTGATCTCTTTGTCCTTTTTTAAGTGGATGATGAAGGAGTCCAACTTGTCAGAGACGTGGCAGAGAAACTCAACATGCAGAACCCTCCTAAGGAGGGAGGGCAGGAGGAAGGAATGACGCTCCACACCTACCGACCCCTCACCTACCAACCCTCCCTCCCCTCCACACACATGGTACACCCCACCTCTCCACAGGCACCCACAGGGCACGTGCAGGATGGTACCACTCCTGCTGATGGAATGGGGGAGGACAGGGCTAGCCCCAAGGTCAGCATTAGAAAAAATCCTTTTGATGAAGAAGAGGTTCCACCCACTGCTCCAGACGTTGAAGACAGTGGCCCACCTTCACCCTCTCCTCCAAACTCAACCCCAAGCTTACAACCTGAAGGAGCGACAACCGCCAAGACTACCCCAAGTCGTCCCCCTCCCCCTTCTCATCCCCCAGCTCACACAAGAGATGCCTCGCCCTCGACCAGAGATGACCTGGCAAGTTCGCCGTCAGAAGCCCCGCAGAGAAAACTGACCAGGAAGCAGTCAGGGAAGGCTCCTCCCCCCGCCAGGCCACCCCCGCCAAAAGCTGCAACTCTACCCAACAGGCCGCCTGCTCCACTGCCGAGACCAGGTAAAACCGCCTACATAATTACCCTCCATGAAAATGGGGGTACTGTTTTCAGTCTGGATTATGTTTTTGGTGTATATCTCAGGATCCGACAGACAGAATGGGATGATATTTGGCAGGTGGGTATGTGGGGTAAAGTGGATGGAAGGTAGACTTTCGGCCCCTGGTGATTGACCTCGGTACTGCAAAGGAATTTAAAAAACCTTTGGCGCTGAACGGTTTGTGGACGTGATGTGAAGGTGGCATATAGTTGTAGAGATAAGGGTTTAATGGTGTAAATTTGGGCCCCCTAGCTGTTTCCTGTGGACCTGCAGGGTTGTTTGAATGTCAATTAGCTGTGGAAAGTAGAATAAGTCATTGCCTTGAGGAAGGTAGCAATATGACTATTGAAATGTCAGGTATATCTGACACAATATGGAACTGTATGATCCTGAACAGTTAGTAATACAAACTGAAAAACACAAAATTACAAAATTCACAGTACTTCGCAACCTAATGTTTTACACACAACATGATTGTCCTTTTCCTTGTACAGATCTTACAGCCTCACATGCAGATGACAGTCTGGACTACAGTGAACCCTACGTGGACCCAGACGGCTACATAGATCTCAACGCCATCGTCACTCCAAAGCCTGAACCCCAACAGCAAGCTCAGCAACCCGACGATATTCCCCAGCAACCTCCCGACGTTGCCATGCCGACAACAGAGGTTGCCCAGCAGCCGTCAGAAGATTCTAACGCAGCTGAAGTCGGCGCAGAATCTTCAGAAGCTGCCAAGCAGCCGACCAAGCCGAGCCGGCCGCCCCATGGCTCGCTGGCCAGACAGTTGTCGGATGCCCTGATGAGGAGACAGGCATCGGGTGAGTCTGTGGGGGAGGAGTCAGCCTTAGAGAGGAGCACTTCAGTCACCTCCGATCACAGTTATGTGGAGATTGTGGATGGAGCACCACAGGAGGAAATTCAACATAATGGTAAGTAGCACGTTGGCAGAACGTACTGCACCTGCACGCTCCCCAGAGATCTGAAATCTCTGGTTTCTGTAGTAGTTACCATGTTTATGTATTGCATATCCACTCTTTATCCTGTATACCAACGTTATTAGATTAAAGTAAGTAGATCGTAGAACTTCATGTTAGCATATAGTTTTATATCACTACATTCTGTACTCAATGTGCTTGTCAATGTCAGGTATCAATTAGCCTTCAGGCACGAACTTGCAATTAAGAACTCTATAACTCTTGTTTTGTTTGGCAATGTCAGGTGATGGTGATAGCATCCAGCTGACACAAGAGGATCCTTCAAACCAGCCGCTGCAAGATGCACCATCCAAGGAAACCGAAGACCAAGACAGTGGAGGGATCACCTTTACTGTAGCCGGCAGTGGAGACACCACAGAAGACCAGGATACGGCCGGTGTGGTGCAGGAGAAGTGTGGAGAGGATGGGAGCAGGAGGAAGGGCCTTGATACGGACAAGTCAACCAGTGCAAACGGGAAAGAGGACGCTGAGGTCAATGTTGCAAAGAGTGGGGAACTGCTGCAAACAGGAACAGATGCTACAGAAGCCTAGTGCATCACAGCACAGGTGTTGATTTTTTTTTTTCATTTCAGGGGTTGACCATGACATTAGCTTGACTGGAATAATGCCCCCTAACATTTAGTTTGAAAATCAAAAATGTGGCAATATCATGTTTTGTGCCATTAACAAATTAGTGGTCCCAAGTATACGTATCCCTTGTATTTGTAATGCTTACACTAAGTATTTGCTCTCTACAGTAATAAAATTATGTATGTTATGTTATGTTATGTTACCATTTAGACTTTATTGCCCATGTTGTGGGCTAATATGTGTAGCTTACTTCTCAACTCTGTACTGGCCACAGCAAATGTTTGTAAGGAAGGTCCAACCATCTATGCACATGCAGACATACATGCAGCCTGTAGGTAGTTAACTCACAGTAGTCTTATAGTGATATGTAGTATTCAGTGCCTCCATTGAAAAAGTGGGCTTCAAACTAAGTCCAAGCCAAATTAAGGACTGTATAAGCAGAATAGGCATTCCTATGTGACTGATATATTAAAAGTTATTATCCAGAAACGATGATAAACTTCTCACTACACCCATGATGAATCCACAAGATCAAATAACAATCTCACAACATATCAAGTTCTTTATCCATAAGTTTGCTTGATGTAGCATTGGCACAGAATGTATCTTATATTTACATGCATTACTTTTTCTCAAAATAAGATGTAGGTTTTGATGTTCTCTTACTTGAAGTTGATTGCAAAAAAATGTTGTACAATATTATTTGAGTTTAGAAATGGTTGTGCTACTATGTACCTGTTCTATGTTATTATAACTCTACAGATGTTGGTACTAAGTTACGATCAAAGCTACTGTTTCAGTTTGATTTCAAATAATTATGTAACAGTTAAGTGCAGTTTTGTTCCTACATGGGCCATAAAATGAGCGACTTGTTAATTGAAAGCCATAATAAGCTGATGATATGTCAAAGTTGAAGGCTGATGAAACATTAAAAAACATGTCTGGACATGTATCAAGCATGGTTTAGACAAGAACTGTTCTCCAGATACAGGTCTTCAGCTTTACATTTGTGCATGCACAATTCAAACCATGAGATGGCCATGTGACCATGTGCAAATAAGACTCTAACAATATCCTTATTATGACAGAGCCATAACAGAACGTGTGTGTCCATTTGGGAGTACATACCGATGATGCCTGAATATATATTTGCAGCAAATCGTTTAGAGGAGCCCTTTACCTTTTGAAAGGCTTTCTCCATCTGTTTTGGCAGTTTGCCCTATTTGTATTGGCATAACTCAGATGCCTTGCTGGTATATTTCCTTTTAACAAAAAATAGTTGCCAGCATAACTCAAATGACATTAATGCCTGTTATATGCTTTATGTGCAATTTATACTGAGTCACCATCAGTGCTGCATTTTTTGGCCAGGGTATCCTTCTAGGCACAGTATATTGACACCAATCTTCCAGTTTTGGAAGTACATTGTTTCAAATGTATCCTATAGTGTTCTGTTTGGTAAGGACACTACGTATGTAGTACTTCTGGAGGTAGATAGAGGAAGTTGTTATAAGATCCTAAGCCATTTGTTGAAATGTAAGTGCATGTTTTGTTGTTTAGATACATTTGTTGCATTTACTGAGAAAAGTGATTCAATTTTGTAACAATTATAAACTTAAAGCCATTTGTATCAATGTTATCATCAATGATGATTATCAATGTTATATTCTTATGCCAGTTATGCATGAAAGTTGCATGATGTTGACAATATTTTTTCCAGAAGTTTATGTTACTGTACAAGAGAAACATGTTCAGCAACAAAGGCTGATCCATTGTAGATTTGCATATGAGTATAACCCTCTGGCCCATGTACCTGCCATTTGTTGCAGAAGCAAATCCGAGATAATAAGTGCAAATAACTTTGTTCACTCAACTTTAATGTTGTTTCAGCAGTTCATAACATTTGTACATTGTACAATTTTGCGTACTTTTACATGATAAAATCCCTAAAGTCAGCACCTTTGTGTTATGTTATCTGTATAGCCGGTATAACCGCCCTTCGGCGTAACACACCAGTTTCACAGGCACTCCGCGGCAACTGGTTACACCGAACGACCTGCCACACCTAACCTTAAAACTAACTCCCGGAGTTAAAGTTGTTTAATGCTACACTGTGAGGATGCATCTACTGTACTTGACGACAAATAAGTCCACTCTGCGATACTTTTTGAGAAAAAAAGATTTCTTGAACACATCAATTCTTTCTTTGTTACATGAAGAAGGTAGACTGATGCAGAGACGACAGACCCAGGTAAAACTTAGACCGATCCCGGCAGGGTGAAGTTTGACAGCCCACTCTCTCCTGCCGACCGGACCAGCTTCATCATCAGACAGACATACTCTTAACCTTCCCTTACCAATAAAAGTACTGGGTTTGGTCCGCGATTTTTTATTCTTTTTTTTTTCGGAGAGAAAAAAGGAAAGAGAAAGAAAGAGATAGATATAATGTGGGATCGGAGGTCCCCCAACCTCGTCCCAGACAGACGCGAGACAGACGAGTTTACTCTGGAGTACTGCGTCACAGATCATGTCTACCTCCTCCTTGCTTTATATCAAACAGTCACACTGAAGACAAGAGTTTAAAACCGCAAGTTTAGATCTAGAAGAACAAAGCAGCGTCGTGAACAGTGGAGAAGTCAACCACAACATACGAAACATCCTTAATGTGTTTGAAAATCGGTATTATTTTTTTCGGAAGCAGTTATCTATAAATCTAGTATTTGCAAAGTATTAACATAGTTGTAGTATGCGGAGTTCTATTTCTTTTCCTCTTTTGGCTCTTCTGCGTCTTTCCCTTCCTTCAACAAGAAGGTACAGAACCCTGGAAGAGAACGAAGAGATAAATGGTTAGCTGGATAATATTGTATGTTCATTGGGACTTTTGGTGATAATCAGTGAATAAAAGAGTAAATAAATTGAGGGGCACAACCCACCGCACGTGCAACTGCGTGCTGTCTACGTGCAAAAACGTGGGCAAATTTTGGGGATCCGTAAGTGGTGAGTACCGCCAACGTACGGACTCCAACGGATTTGGGAGCGTGCAGACACACCGTAGAGAAAAACGCAGCGGATGTCGCCTCCCAAAAAAGCGTACGGATAAAAAAACACGTACGGCGGGTTGTGCCCCTCGCTTAACCGCTAGTGTGGTACTGTACCGTCAATGTTGATCCTGCCGTCGCCGTCCTCAAGTCCAGACATCAGTTCTTCAATCTCCTCATCCTTCAGTTTCTCTCCTGGATGGACAAAAAAATCGTCACACAAAAACGTCAATCATCCTGCACACCCATGTGAGTGGATGGCGTTCAGCACCAAGGACAGGTGTACTAAACTGTGCGTGGATAGCGTTCAGCACCAAGGACAGGTACGGTGACGTAAGTTGATGGCGTTCAGCACCAAGGACAGGTACAGTAACGTGTATGGCTGGTGTTCAACACCAAGGACAGGTATTCAAGCTAACATGTGGATGGTGTTCAGCACCAAGGACAAGTATGGAGCACATTATGTTATTTGAAATATGCGTTTGTCTTACATGACTTGAATGGTGGTCTGAACACAAGCACTGTTGGTCACGTCAATCTGTGAGCTGTCTTCCATACGTCTTGACTATGTCCTGACTTTTCCTCACTTAATCTTGCATAAAGGATGTGACACTAGGTGATTGATAAACACTGTAACGTAGCGAAATTCTGCACATGTGGTGTAGGAGTCGTTGCATGATTTCTGGGCCCTGTTTTGGAGATGTAGAAAGACCTGGTCTGTCGTTAACAGGCCACTCTGCACTCCAAATCAGGGACAAGAACAAACACCGGCGTGAGACAGTCAGTCCATGCCGTCTGCATCCTCCACCCCCCTCCCACCCCGACACTCCCCAAAACAACAATTGTTCCTTCCATTCACTTCGTTTTCTTCTTCTGTTCAACTCTAAGCATGGATGATAGTGAAATGGCCAATGCGGTTTCGCTACGCCTTTTATAGCCAATAACATTGGGCTACCTCTATACCACTCTTCTCGATAAAAAAGAGTGCAACCACGAAGCCTGTATAGCCGACAACATTGTCGTACCGCATCCTAATTTAACATACATACATCACATTCCATCAACGTCCATATACGTAAGTCACGTGACCTGTTACCCATATAGCTCAGTTAACAGAATTTTTTCCGTTAAAGCCATTAACAGTCAAGGTCATTTCAAGAACACATGGCAATGATCTTTATTGTGTGTTCCAGACCCAATGGCTACTAAATGTAGTAACCGACTTAACTACATTGTACAAGCAAAATCACGTATATTATGCTTCATCCAAATCCCCAGTTTACGTGCCTCTTATCTTTTACTTAAACACTGTGTAACCCAGGCATGTAAATGATGCCCTACATTGTTTTATGACATTGTTCTCACAAGTAGCAGACCAGCACGCCCCAGTTCGCAAACGCTCACTGAGGTCATCGCCAGCCCAGTGGGTAGACAGTGACCTCCGAGAGCTGATGACACTGAGGGATGATGCTAAAAAGGAAGCTCAAACATCAGGTCTTACATCAGACCTCATGGTCTATAAAAGACTGAGAAATGTCGTCGTAAGAGAGAACAGAAAAAAGAAGAAAGCACATTTCAAACAATTACTTGAAGAACACAGCAATGACGGTAACACCAAGGAGCTTTGGAAGGTAATTAATAGCATATTGGGTAGGAACACTAGCAGGAATCCAACCTTCATAGAAACTAACGGCAAGTTTCTAACAAAGCCCAGCGACATAGCCGAATATTTCAATGAGTATTTTGTAAATAAAGTGTCACGTCTAACACAGGGAGCTGAGCCAGACATTTCCAGAGTTATAGCACCGATTGAGGAGCACATAATGGCGTCTAAGAACTGTACATTTTCTTTTGAAAAGGTATCTGTGGCCCATGTACATGATATGCTTACCTCTCTTCCTCTATCTTATACAACTGGGTTTGATAATATAGACAATTTATTACTACGTATCTCTGCTGACCACATAGCAGGTCCTTTATGTCACATCTTTAACAGCTCCTTTGAGCAAGCAATCTTCCCTAAACAATGGAAGAATGCCAAGATACTGCCTCTAATCAAGAACAAAGCACTTCCCTTGAATGGAGCAAATAGTCGCCCCATCAGCCTCCTGCCCACCATAAGTAAATTAATGGAAAAGATAAGTAAAAGCCAAATCCAATCTTACCTTGTCTCTAACAACATCCTATCCAATCGACAGCATGCATACAAAATGCACCACTCGACAGCTACAGCTCTCATTCAGATGTCGGATAAATGGCTTGAAGAGTTAGACAAAGGCAACATAGTAGGCGCTGTACTCTTGGATTTCAGCGCTGCCTTTGATGTGGTAAACCACAGGGTGTTGTTGGACTAAACTAAACAGTTATGGATTGACAACTCTGCCATTAGCTGGGTACAAAAGTTATCTGACCAAAAGAACTCAAGCCGTCATGGTGAATGGAAGTGTGTCATCTCACAGAGAGAGCTTGAGTGGGGTTCCACAAGGGAGTTGTTTGGGTCCCTTACTTTTTTGCATTTATACCAACGATCTGCCAACAGTTGTTACACAATGCAGTATGGAGTTATATGCCGACGACACAACCCCATCCGCTTCTGGCCCAAATGCTTCCATTGTACAAAACAAACTGCAGTCCGAACTCACAAATATACACAATTGGATTAAAGAGAACAAACTCATACTGAATGTAGATAAAACTAAATCTATCATCTTTGGTAGTCGCCACAAGCTAAAGCACAACCCCAGCATACAGCTTTCATTGGATGGCAAATTGATAGAGCAGGTAACTCAGGCAAAATTACTTGGTTTCCTAATGGACCAGCACTTGACTTGGACCCCACACATTGATAAAGTGTTAAACAAGATGACTGGTGCCCTTGCAGTACTAAGGAGATCTAGAAATCTCCTTTCTGAAGGACCTTTAAAGACTGTAACTCAAACATTAGTCTTATCTCACATGGATTATTGTTCTTGCTTGTTGTCCACTGGCCTACAAACATCCTTAAACAAACTACAGACCTTGCAGAATAGGGCTGCCAGACTTGTTTTAAATGCACACTACACAGACAACACCAATGACATGCACAGGAGACTACAATGGCCCACAGTTAAAGAAAGATTATACACTGGTACACTGTCCATGTTCAACAAACTTTTAGACAACTAAGAAACCTGAGGCTATTTACAAAAGATTACAAAACGTCAACAACATTCATGACCACAATACTCGTTTTGCAAATGGTGGCGGTTTCAGATTACCTAAGCCTAAGACAACCACATTAACACGTACTTTCTTATACAGATGTTCCAAATCATACAACTCCTTCCCACCACATATGAAATCGACTACACCTTCAAATTTCAAAACACATATCACCAAGTGGATTCATTCTAAAATTGACAGAACTAGGCCTTTACAGAACTGGTGGTAAGCATTCTTAAACCAAGTCTCAGATTAAATGAATTTGTAGGGGTAATTAATTAAACTTATACTGTTGTAAATAGACGTTAGTATTTTCTTAGTGAAGTTTGGGTTTTAAAATTATCATCAGGTGGCATCTAATTTGTTAATTACTCACTGTTATTATTATGATTTGCAGTTCTGCATCCACTTGTTATTTATTTATTGTTATTATGATTGCTGTTCTGCATCCACTTGTTATTTACTTTTGTTATTATGATTTGCAGTTCTGCATCCACTTATTTATTTATTGTTATTATGATAGCTGTTCTGCATCCAATTTGTTATTTACTTATTGTTATCATGATTTGCAGTTCTGCATCCACTTTGTTATTTACTTATTGTTATTATGATTTGCAGTTCTGCATCCACTTGTTATTTACTTATCATTATTATGATTTGCAGTTCTGCACCCACTTGTTGATTTACTACTGTTTATGGTTTGCAGTTTTGCAACCTCTTTTTGTAACAGTTTTTGTTACATTAATCATCCATGACCTCTGACCTCTCCCCGTTCACTTAAGTTCAGATTTCAGTTAATGTTGTGTGCGTTATGTTATTTTTTTGATTAAGACTCACACCTTTTGTTATGTTGGTTTACTTTCATGTACATTTGTTTTGTTCTGTTCTGTACATTTGTTTCATTGTAATTTCGTGACTCCAGGAAGAATAGATTTCATGTAAATCTAATGGAGATCTAATAAACAAACAAACAAACAAGCGCAACAATTTTTCAGCATGACAAATAAAACAGGTATGATTATAATATTACCATGGTCAGTCGGTCTTACCTAGATAGGAGAGTCCGTGTCTGAAGGCAGCGCTGTCGATGACTCCTATTCCGTCCTTGTCGTAACACTTCAGACACTCCTGGAACGCCTCGTAGTTGTCAAACGGGTCCCTGAACTTCATGGCCTCTCCCAGGTACGGCAGGAAGGTGTCAAAATCTATCCGCTTGTCGTCTGGGGGAGCAAGGGTTGGTAGGTCAAATGAAGGTAAATGGATGGCGTTCAGCACCAAGGACAGTGAACGCTAGCTAACGCGCGCGCGTGTTTGGATGTCGTTCAGCACCAAGGACAGGTACGGTAGCTAACGTTTGTGTGTGTGTGCGCGCGCGCGCGTGTGTGTGGATGGCGTTCAGCACCAAGGACAGGTATGCTAGCTAACGTGTGTGTGTGTGTGTGTGTGTGTGTGTGTGTGTGTGTGTGTGTGTGTGTGGACGGTGTTCAGCACCAAGGACATGTACGCTAGCTACCGTGTGCGTGGAAAAAAGTGCCTTTTAGCTTTCCCAAGGACGAATCGTTTAGCCAGGTATACCGGGAATCGAACCCATGACTGTGCAAGCTAGCTTTACTACAATTCGGCCGTGGAGGCCACCAATCAGTACATGAACATCCTTTACTTTCGCCCCCTCCCTCGTATTCTGTATAAAGGCATGGAATGACTTCATGATGTATTTATATCTCGCCAACATATTTGGTGTTTCTTTAACATATCACACGTCAGTACAATCTGATATCCGTCCTGCTCTAGTTCGGCTTTACTAGCCTCTGTTCGCTGGCCGACCGAATATCATAGGGGCGAACCGAAGATATAATTATCGACATACCTCCGATCTCCTTGATGAACTGATCACACAGCGCGACGGTGGGGTTCTCTCCGAACGACCGGAGCACATCGCCGATCTGCCGCCCGTAGATCTTCCCGTCTCCCATCTCGTCAAACAACGTGTACCAGTCCTTGAAGTCTGTACAGGAGGGAAGCGAAGTACACTTAAAATCAACGAAGGAAAAGAAGGGTCGATGTTTTATTAGATATAGAGAGCGTATCAGCCTTCATTTGATTTCTTCGAATCCATTGTGCAATGTCACACGTGCTACCAATGTGTACCAGCATGTGGAGTGGTACATTATAGTGAATTTAAAATCAAGAAGAACAGAAGAAGGATCGATGTTTTCTTGAAGGCTTGTAGGTATTGTTTGCTTTCAACATTTCACTACTGATTTTTTGCGCACTCCGCAATATAATGTCACCAGCTATTACCTACTACTATATATTACCTAAAGGGGAACAGGCTCAGCATTGACGCAAGCCTACATACATGTACATACCCGTGCACTACAGAGGTCAATTTTTGCTTTCAAAGACTAGCGCTTTGACAGATAGCGCTTTCACAGAAAGGTACGATCAAGCAAAATAACATGAATGTGTAGTGTTCAGGTTCTAGCTTCATAAGCATTAAATGGCTTTCATCACATGTTTTAAAACTTAAAGATTCTACTCATTCTATACGTACATGTACGTATTAGCAAAATGACGAATATGTCTTATATGGAGAAGATATGTGGAGTGGGCTACTTGCAATACTTCACGCTACAAACCGACATCTTTCGTATGATCCATCCATTGGGGAATATGCAATAGATACATGTATGTGGAGAGGACTGACCGATATCTTTCACATGCTTGGAGGATCTACCTAACGAATTTACAGATGTCTCTCTAAGGCCCACTTTAGACTAGAAACGGTATACCACTCCGAAACCCCTCGAAACCGTTTGCCATTGGTAACGGCTTGTCTTTAGACAGGGGTGGAAGGATAGCAGGCCACCCGTGCAGCATGGTGTGGGTTTTTCTTTTTAAAAATGATCCAAAAGACTTACCCTCCAGGACGCCTTCGTCCAACTTGGGCGCCTCCCGTTTTGGCGGCGCTGCCGGCTTGGGTTCTTCCTTGGGAGGCTCCTCCTTCTTGGCAGCCTCTTTCTTGGCTGCGGCCTTCGGTGGCTTAACCCGGAGAGGGAAGAGCACGAAACGCGCACTTTAATCATTGTTTTACAACATTTTCGTTGTACATCCTTACACCTAGCCCGGTAATCATATCACTCATCACGTAACGACAAAAGTCTTCCTTTCAAATATGACCCTTCTAGGTGCTAGTATTCGCAGGAATTTTGTGTTTAAAAAATTACGGTGTAAGCTAGCTGGCGCGAACTGCTGCATTGAACGGACATCGATAATTTAAGCTGAAGCAAAATGAAGGTCAAACTAATGTCAGATGACCTTGGAACTGTTCTCAATATCCTACCGTACATGTAGCTTCATCATAGGGCAACCATGTTGTCTTCTTGAGTTTTGTAGGAATAAAAGCAATCAAATCTGACAAACGCAACGAGTCCTGGTGTAAAACATCACAATGAAGCAAGTAGAAAAGCGGAGAAGTCTTACCATGGTGGTTCCTGTCTGCTGGGCGACCTGGTGTGAGAACCCGGGGCTGTCCCGGCCAATTTATGCTTTGGAGAAAATAGATTTTCTCATTTTGGTCCGATGTGCCAAAATTGTAGGTTCCCCTGTACCCTTTTGACCTCCCCTTACCATATGTGCGCCCGGCTCTGGGCGGCATTCCTGTGGTCCTAGTTTGGTCAGGACAGTTGTCGTCTTCACCTTTTACGAAGATATGCGATCACTGGAACATCCAAGAGTAGGGTGACTGATCTATCCTCGGGGATACTGATTTGTATGGGAAATGCAATACTAGTATGTTGGTGGAAAGTTTTCTGGTCATCAGTTCATTTTTATTTTCTCCTATGTAAGATCATGTAACATTATCTTGTCGCCACTCCTAGGATCCCTATGTCTTTTTTGACATTTTTTTTCATACTCCACTAATAGATATGTTAAGTTAAATGCCGCTCAATTACTCCGGATATGTAATGCAATGTTGGCTATTTGATACGGTGAGTAGCCTCTACCAGGCTTCGGTAGCGGCTGAGCTGAGTAGAAATAGACAGATATTCCAGGGGAGTTGGTACTATGTATCTGTCTATCTGGCCAATTTCTACTCTTTCCAGCCGCTTCCGAAGGCCTAGAGAGGCTCTACGGTGAGTGGGTTGAAAAAAATGTGTCCCATGCATCTTCAGCCTGGGAATCCATCGCGAACTTTAAGACTGCACTTTTAGTATGTATCGCCAGGTGGCGCTGTGAGACCGTCCGAAGACGAGTAGGCGTGATAGAGGGGTTAAAGATGGCGGCGAGTGGCGAGAATGACGTCCAGCAACCTTTGGTCAAACCGACGCGAGAGTAAGATTTTACACTTTTCGTGGAAAACCACATATGTCTGTGCAAATATGTAAAGATAGCGGGCCCTTTTGGCTCAATCTGCGTTGTGTGTGAGACCTAGAAAGGCATAGAAAACACAGGAAAGTTGGTCGGTTTGGGCGCAGGAAAAAGCCGGTCGTGTCATTCATTCACAATTTTTGAACTCCTGGAAAAAGATAACCTTCTGTTGATTTCAGTAACTGTACTGAGCGATCGTACAGGGTGCTGGAGGGTATTATCTCTCAAATTAAGATGCATATGTAAAAGTCACCATTGCCGGTGCAATTGGTGAATTGAAGAGGGAAAATGTGAGAATTTCCTTTAGATTAGAAAGTGAGAAAAACTAGAGTAACATAATCCTCGCTGACAGGAGGAGGGGCCATTTAGTTACAGAGTTCCAGCTAAGAAATTCTACAGAAGTATTCTTGCCGTAAACATACAACAAATTAGGTTTGATTTGAGACTTAGACGTACAAAAATCGCCCAGAAATCGTTTGCAAACTGAGTCTTAGCTCAGTCACCAGTTAGTTGTTATTTGGGTCATCATTGATTGCAGTGCTTTTGTTGTTCAATTGGGCGTGGTTTGTTACATTACAGGGTGTAACTTCAACAGACTTTACAAGTTACAACAATCATTTATTCACTTTCTGTCCTTGAAGAAAGAATACAACTTCAATTTCATGGCTAATTCAGAGAGAAGTTAAGTTTGCAATTTTCAACATAAAATGTAGAACTTTATTTAATGAATAATATGCAAATATTTTTTGGGAAATTGCAGCTTTTCATAATGAATTCTTCCAACACTGCTAAACTTTGAAGTTAGAATTTTCATCTAGCTCAAATGTTTTATAAAAAAATATCTAGATTAGCATATATCATTCTCCCTGCTGCCTAACCATGTATATGTAAGTTTTGATTTTATTAGGATAAGATGAATAGCTAAATTGCTAAGTTTATTTCTATCCTGACCACGTGACCAGTCTATAACCGTAGATGTAGCTTTAGAAACAACCAAATACAGACCAACAGCCACATAAGGGCACATCCTGCCCCAAAATAGCACTCAGAATCTTCATCAGCTACCGGGTATATGACAGCCTTTTGGGTTTCATAAAATAATGTCCTTTTTTTTTATGGCACATCAGATACTAGTATTTGGACCCCATTTGCCTTCTCACGAGCAATGGTATCAGAAAAAACATCATAAGCCCCCAAAATGGCTTGGAGTTGTTTTTTCAAACATTCCTCCTATCTTCAAAATTTTAGTATGCATAATGCCACAGATCTGAAAACATATTGCTTTTGCTCTGTTTCTTCTTCTTCTCCAAACAAATAAGGTCAATGGCCTGAACCAAACGTCTATCACCATGATAGGGTTACATCATGTTGCAGTTTTATAGCAGGAGGGATTTAGACTCCTGTCACCTTGTATATCATATGAATGTGTCTGAGAAAGAATTAACAGAACAGACCATATGCGAAGGTAAACTTTATGCATTTGCTTTGTTAATGTTACCTTTCTAGTTCATTGTTGTGTCCTCCTGCAGGAAAGTTGACACGTATGGGTTCACTCGGCCCGAGGATTTTGACTATGAGACGTATGAAGAGTTCATGGCGGGGTACCTGTCTGTGCTGGCCAGGAGAGCCTCGAGATGGAGCGGACTGCTCAAGGGCAGGAAGGCCATCAACAGGTCCTTCAAGGGTGGGTCATGCTCGATGATGTGTTTCAGACCTTAAGTTTTAACTAGGATTTTTTTGTTGGGTGTCCAATAAGTCATTATCTACTTTGTCCTAAAGTTCACTCATTCACTCTCAGACACATATACAGGCACTCAGACACTCATCCATTCCTTCATTCATGCATTCATTTTAAGTTGCCAGTCATTCATTTTCATTCATGCCTTGTGTTAAAATGATAAACATGTTAGAATAGAATGTCTCAATGATTACTTTCATTCTTGAATTCATTCTTGTATTTATTCTTAGAAACTTACATTCATTCATGCATGCATAATCCATTCATTCATCATAAGTTGACAATCCCTCATTTTCATTCATGCCTTGTTGTAGAATTATAACTTATAAGAAATACATTTGTACCTTAAAATTCTTCATGTTCTTAGGCTGAAATTGGCAGAGTCCTAGTCCTGACATTAATGTGTGCTGTTCTCTGTCCATCCAGTGAAGAGATTTATCAGAAAAGGCATTCCTGCAGAGCACAGAGGCACGGTAAGGCAATGATTTTTCTCACAAAATTAAAGCCCCTTATAATACTAGTATATAAGATATGTCATTTCTTTATTATTGTGTCACTGGGCCAAACTTCATTGACAGACCATTCTGCATTCTGGCTAAACTGCATTTGATAAAAGAAAATGTCCAGGCTAGTAGATGGAATGAAACATGGGTAGTAACTAAAGTTTTGCATGGTATATAGTACAGGGGATTCATTCCTCAAGCTAACCGACATCTTGCACACGCAGTCGTCCCTCAGTAAGACATCTGGAGCCGCATAGTTCCCGTTTAGAATTTTATTCATCCAAATAAACATGGCATCATTGAAGACCACATGTTACCTCACTGAATTGCTATTTCGTTACTTTGAACATGTGCCTAAACCTCTGTAGCTTTACATGATATTATGTTCAGGTATACAGTCCTTGTACTAGTATATTAAAGGCGTTCCAATGGCCACTGACCACTAAAATTTAGGCTGGGACAACTAAAAAGACACTATGGGACATTTTGGGGGCAGTAGAAAAATAATCAACATCAGAATGTCAACCCTTCTTTTGTTTATCAGGCATACGTCAAATTGAAGTCATATAATACTTCCTAAAAAACAGGTTGGGACAGTTTAGGACAATTGAAATTTATTTTGGGGACAGTGCTGGGACAATAGGAAGAAAAGTTCATTTCGAGGCCTGCCCAGTACTAGTATAGAGGAGATATAGAGTCTGTTTCCTTTTGCACCAGGTTTGGATGGAGGTCAGTGGGGCACAGCACAAGATGGAGACTAACCCAGACACCTACACCAGTCTGCTGAATGGAGAAAAAGACCAACAACTGTTGGACACCATCAACACAGGTCAGAACGCAATAAAGAAACTATCAACTACTGATGTTAGGCCTAGGAAAAAAATGCGGTTTCCCGTTTCAGTATGAACAAAATTAGGGTCAGTAGGTAGGGATTATCTTTTTTTCTCGCAGGGGTTCACACAAAAAAGGCTATGGTTGGCAGTTTTTTCTAGGATCGGTAGGGAAACAGGAAACACAACTTTTTTCCTAGGCGTTAGTGTCTGTTATGGTCCCATTCGAGTTTGTGATTTTGACCTCAAACTAGTGGGAACCGGTTCACAAAAAGATGAACTACCAATGAGAGGCCAGTATGCTATGCAAACTCCAATATGAAACAGAAAACCTGAACACATTCTTAATGTGTGACTGAAAAATAAGTACTAGTTATTATAATATTGATGTTTCTTTTGTTGTGTTTCACAGATATCCACAGAACGTTTCCAGAAAATATCTACTTCTGTGATGCCTCCAGGGAGAGTAAGAGAGTGTCGCTGTACAACATCCTGGTGGCTTTCGGCCACTACAACAAGTCTGTCGGCTACTGCCAGGTGGGTGGGACTTTTTGTTGTAGTATGTCAGCTAGAAAAATAAACTGGTTGATATGTGCATGCCATCTACGGTGTATCTAATTTTATCTCAATAAAGAAAAGAAGGAACAGTCAAAAGTTATCAATCCAGGATTGAAGTGAGAACTATTAGAGTGGATTTTTTTGGTCAAATACAGTAGGAACATTCTCACTAAATAGCATTAAATGACAATGCTTGAGAGTTATATGCAGATATTAGTATACAAATGTTAGATCAGTTGATGTAATATAACCAGCCATTGCCACAAGCCTACAAAGTTGGTGTCTTATGCAAAGGGACAGTACCGACGGCAGTACTTGCTATACCATCATACAGATACATGTACACACAATCCATACATTAGATATCAAAAGTTTATTGTCTTATTGTCCCCAGGGCCTGAACTTCATAGTGGCCATCTTCCTCTTGATCCTGAAGGATGAAGAACAGGCCTTCTGGCTGCTGGTCACTCTACTGGAGGACATCTTACCTGGTCAGTTCAACTTTCAACAGCATGTCAGCAGAATGTACTGCACCTGTATGAAACCTGGATTTTTCAGTTTTCAATGTTTCGTCAATGTTCCCTTTTTGTTGTATCAGAATTTTGTCTATTGCAGATAATATACATTCTGACACAATAATTAAAGAACTACATGTATAGGGCACAAACACCCAGTACGTGTACTTGGACTGTGCTAGTAGCATAACAATGATGTTTTTTTGAAATACCGTTTCTTCCTATAGAATATTACTCCAAGGACATGAAGGGACTGAAGGTGGACCAAGAAGTCTTAGGAGAACTTGTGAAGTAAGTATATTGTTTATTCTAAGAAATGTTACTAAGGCCACACCAATTCAATTTGTTGGTTCTCTGATTTTTTTAGAAAAAATATGAAGCGACAGGGCGAAAAAAAATAAAAGTAAAAACAGGTCTAGGCATCCTATTATAGGCTTAAATGCTACAAAATGAGCCATGAAGTCAACAAAAAAGGCTGGGTTAAAATGTAAACATTGAATTTTGAACTTTTAAATCAAACCACTGCAATGATAGATGGGAAAACTGTAACAACTAGGAAGAAAATGACTTTCCTCAACTGTTGGGGGGCAAAACATGAGCATTTTTCAGTTGATTCAGGACCAGAATCAAATTTTTTTTTTGCAAATCAGAAAAAAACGAAGAGGCGAATCCGAGAACCAACAAATTAAATTGGTGTGGCCTAATTGTAAGTTGTATAGTCCAGTGCAGTGGAACAGTAGCTCAACTATTCATTGTTTTCAGTAGTTTGAGATCAATTTTTGCATTTTTAAAAGTTACACCACAAGTTTTTTGTTGCATTGTTGACTGAGTGTGTGTTTATATATGGTAGGTTGAAGAACCCTTCAGTGGCAGCAGTGATAGAGAAAGAAGGCATGCCATGGTCCATCCTGGTCACCAAGTGGTTCGTGTGTCTGTACATTGACGTTCTGCCCATAGAGGTTAGTAAAAATCGGACACAGCTGCAGTTTTTCTGCAGTTTTTCATCAGTCTGCTAGGGGGGCTTAAAGTACAGCCAAAACTGCCCAAGAAGGCCACACAGGGGACTGAGATAAAATGGTCCTCTTGGACAGGTGGCCTTCTTGGGCTGATGGCTTATTGCTTGTACCGGTACCAATTTAAAGGAAAATATTCTGGGCCAGAAAAGGGTGGTAATGCCAAAGTTTGCAGAAAACTTTCAAGATTTCATGTATAGATAAAAGAAACTACAATCTTCTTTTTTTCATGGTTGACTGATACATGGACTATTATAAACTGTCTATTACTATCTAACAAATGTTTGTAGAAATTCATCAGTGACTTGTTTTGAAAGGTAGAAACATGTACCTCCAAATGTTAGATGTCTACTGTACATCTTCATCACTGTTAATCTTATGTGACTGATGAACCTCCTCAACAATAACAAATGTTCGTATTTTCCCCCAGACTGTGCTGAGAATTTGGGACTGTTTGTTCTACGAAGGGTCGAAGATCCTGTTCAGAGTGGCCCTGACAATGATCAAGCGGAACGAAGCAAACATCGCGGCAGCGACGAGCTTCCCGGGCATCCTGGAGGCCTTCAAACAGTCTACCCAGGACAAGATCATCACAGACTGTCACGCATTCATGCAGGTAAACATGGATTTCTTTAGTCGTTAAGTCCTTCTGTATATGTTTGGACCACATTGTAGATACAGTTCCCTATAACCACAAATGTGTACATATGTAAATATAAATTATAATTTCATTTGGGAAATCCGAATGCATCTATAGCAGTGACACTGGTACCTGTCCTGCAGTGCAATGTGAACCAATCAGAATTGCCCAGAGGAAGGTGATAGACGGTCACCGAAATGTCGGCTGTGAATAAATTACTAAGTCTTGGTTGTGTAAAAAGAGTCTCTTTACTCAGTAACTTACCAACATGATGGAACTATTCACGGATGGATTTCTTACTCTGTTCATCAGAGCTGTTCTAGAGTGTCAAAATCCTGCATGTAATATGCAGGTTAGTGAAGGTAGATTTGGAGCTGTGCAGGTATTCCTGCCTGCACTGATCCTTGCAGCTTTGTGTAGGAGTTGTAAAGTCAAGTTACTTTTGGAATCACATCATTGCCACTATGTCACCATGTAGTAGAGTTCTTAGAGTCTTTATTAGAATGGTAGCTGAGAAATAACTGAAACAATGTTGGCAAATGAAACCCATTTGGTTGTGTAGCTGAAGAACCCAACATGTATTGATTTACCAACCTGATGGAACTGTTCATGTATTTCTGCAGGCCATCTTCACAGAGACAGGGCCTCTCCCCATGGCTCAGATCCAGAAACTCCGACTAGACTGTGCAGCCAGGATCAGCTAACCTGGGAACTGGTGACTCCGATAAACCACCCAACAGTTTGTTAACCTTCTCCCTGCTAAGTAGCCTTTTGGCATCAAATTTGTACTGATTACATTGTTAGGCAGCTGGGTTAAGGTTAATGTCAAGTGGTGATTAACATTTAACAAGGTCCTGTGGGCACCTTGTTGCTGATGTCACAAGTGTTAAAAGCAGCCCATTCAAATGTGCAAACTACAAGATACAAAGGCACTCTAGTTCCAATCTGTCTCATTCTTCTGGTAACCCCCACCAATTAACAGTTAGAGAGTTAACTTTGTATTGTGACAACCAGAGTCACAAAAAACTTGCCATCAAACACAAATCAGTTCAGGGAAATGCAAAATTGTTTAAAATACAACAAAATTGTTTAAAACACAACAAAAGCCTTCTTTCCCCGTCTTCCTTGAAAGTAAGTCCTCACGAAAATGGAATAACTATACAGTAATTTTAAGAAAATAATTTGTTAGCTTGCCATTTACTTTCCGTTTAAATGACAAAGTTAGCTTTAACTTGGAAGTAAAATCTGGAAGAAGCCACATGACAACTGAGACAACTGGGATTGTGCAATTCACTCATACTTAAATCTAGTCCTGCACATTGTAATTTTGATACAGTAATTTTGTATCATCATATGAGCAACAAAGTATTTGGTATAAAGGGTTATAAGGGCAAACTTTAGGTCATATTGTCAGAAATTTGTGTGGAATATGCAAGATTTCTTGGTATCGAAAACAGTACATACAGTATGTATCAAAAACATCCTAGAAAACCTGTGCAATACAAGTACTTGGAGACAAAGTGACTGAATATTGATACATTCCACCTCAACAGACCTCTAGCTCAGACAGAAGGAACTACAACTTTTGCAAAACAAAGTACAAACCTGGATCATTGACCACGTCTCCCTTAGACTATTTTCCCGATAAAACCTTTGAGAATTCTGCCTATAGAGCGCCCTGTCTATTATGACCACTTTCAAGTCCATTGACTGGTCAAAATAGACAGGTTCGACTGTACACTTAATCTCAAATGATCAAACATACATGTAGGTATGTTACAGCACTGCCATTCAAAATCCCATTTTATCACTCTGTCCAACAATAAGAACAAGTCTTTTTAGGGGTTATGGTACATAATTTTTATCTCTTCAGGGGAGGGACCAATTGGGTGCATATAAAGAAATGAATATCAGCTAACAGTAGTTTGTTAGACGTATAAATATATGGACTTACAATCCTTTTTAGTTTAGATATACTAAACATAGGATAGAGGAAACTTTTTAGTGTCATTGCGGAGCAATGGACACTTCAAACAATCTACCTGATTTTAGATATGTAGTTTATAGTACATTTTTTTAATGTATATTATTAATCAATGTTTTTTATTAATATTTTGATCTTCACTTTATCTGTGTGAAAGATTTGTATGATATGTTATGATCTCATGATATGTATGCAACTTTTGGATGTAGTTAACCATGTACTTTCCACAAGCACAAAATCTGGAAAAAAAAGGAGAAATATGAAAATGTAAACCATGTTTGACCAGGACCTAATTATATAAAAATAGTCAGATATTGTACTTTCACAATCAGGAAGACTTGCCAGTTTAGCTTGATGTTTCCTGTAAATAATATACACTGTAATCATGTACATTATTAGTGTAGATGATAATTAATAAGCATGCCAACATAACAAATATTTGGAACTTGACAATGCCATGAAGAAATGACTTTTGACAACATGTATTATACATCACAATTGCAGCATAAATGCCTTTAGAATTAGAACCCATCATTTAAAAATCATGTTAACAGTGATATACCCTCAATCGTGAGTGCACTCCTGTAAGTAGAGTTTATTTTTATTGTAAAAATTGAAACTCCTGCATAGCAAGGATGTTCTTCAAATAGGTGATGTAGATCTTTGGCTTTAGGAATACAATTCATGCAGAATTTGTCTTCTCATGTGACCAGTGGGAAAAATTTCCAACTTGTAAAGATTTAACCGTAAAATTAACCGAATGCATGATCATGAGCCTAACTAATTAATAGTGTGTGGCTTGTATCTGTATCATATGTGGAAAACAGCCTGGTTGCCATTCTGGATAGCCATATGGTTACCTTCTATGTCAGTCACCCGTACAAGGTTAGAGGCCTTAATTTTACCAGGATTTTAGCCATGTATCATAAATCTTTAGATTGTTAGCAGTGCTTGCTATCTTCTATGCCCTTGTAGCATGTACGCATCAATATATATGCATCACTGTACAGAAAAACAATGTTAGACTTAGAGGCAAAACTATTGCAGCCAGCTAAATCTTGTAGCCAGGTATCAGCAATCTTTAGATGATGCAGCTATGTCATTGTAATATGTGCATGTCAAGAAAAATATGCATCGTTGTACATTGAAATTGCTGTAGTTAGAGATCTTGAACAATCGTGGATTTAAATTTTTTGGTGGCAATATATGACGTATCAAACTATTGGTAATTATGAGGTGAGAAAACTTGCATGTAATGTGTCTGGTAATCATCATTGTTTATAAAGATATGTAATTGTAACATTGATGTTACAGCACTCAAATATATTTTGCAATAAATGAATGGAACAAAAGCCTCTTGTTTTCTGTTTTTTTTTTTGATTTAATGATTTAATAACATGTTGAAGTCGATATTAGGACTGACAGTAACTTGTGTCACCACTGACTGCAATATTTGTTCTGCCCCCAGTACGAATTCAAAGTTATATTTCCCCCTGTAGCAGGAAGTTACAATCCTATCAATTTTTGTTGTTCACAACTGTCAGCTTTTTTGTGTGTTTCCTAAGCCACCAGAAATGACAATAAAAATGGTCTGGTCTCAGTGAAGGAATTGGTAAGTACATTTTTATTGTTGTAATCACGAGGTAGGTAGTCTTTCAGAGAGATGGCATAACAGTACATGTAACATGTTGCATGTATTTATTTTGAAAGGAACATTGCATCTATTGACAGACAAAAAATGCATACTTTCCATGTCTTGTTTCACATCTTAGGTCCGAAATTTGTACTGTCATACTGAAGGAAAAATAAATGCGATCAATTTCAAACATCTGTATACCTGGTCTAACCGCCCTTTGGAGTAACAGACCAGCTAACACTTTTTGGGTCCTCCCCCCAATTTCCTGGGCCAAACCTATACTACCATAGCATACACAGCAAGAGGTTGTCCTACTGGGGAGTAACTATCGCCTTGGTTCAGTCACTGTATCTACTGCCGCCTCCTTTTTCATCAGTTTTTCCTGTCTCTTCTTCAGGACCCTCTCCCACCACCCAAACCCCCAGAAATGCTCCTCTGTGAATTTTGGGGGGTCCCTTTCGTTCATGGTCCTCCTTTTCTTGTCCATCAGTTCCTTCTTCATGACATCTCTGCTCCAGGTGGTGTAGCTGGCCTCCTCCTCCCAGTCTCCCCAGTCGTTTTTCATCATGGGGGTGAGAGGCACGGCCTTGTCTGCCGCTGGGTTGGCCTCCAGTTCCCGTTGCCTCCTCAGTTGTGACATCTCCTTCCGACGGTTGTTGCTCTGCGTGCGTTCTGAGTCCGTCCCGACGTACGGCACAAACTCCTGAGGGGCGTGCGGACGGGCCTGGTAGCTGCGGCTCTGCATCTCATTCAGCCGCGAGATCGCCCGGCGGAAGGAGAAGATCTCGTCTCGGCCGGACAGGATGGGGATGTGTCGCGCGTCCATCCCCCTCAGCAGCTTCATGTCGAACGCCATCTCCCCGATCATCTCCATCTCCATGGCCTGGGCCTCCCGCCCCTCCCCCTCCGACGGGATCAGCAGAAACAGGTCCTCAGGTCTAGCCTGGGCGGTGCAGAAGATTTTGGTCCTCGTTTCGTACGCGGCGTCGATGAAGCTCAGGAACCTCCGCGCCTCATTCTTCTGGTAGATGGTCATCTGCGGGATGTGGTCGATGAAAATCGTGCTGAAGTTGTTGCAAATCGTGAGGTAGTCGGCCGGTCCTAAGGGAGAGCGACAGAGTTCAGAGAAGGTGAAGCGAGCCACGCCTGATTGAGTTGAAATGGGGACCTTCACCTTTCTCCCGTAGACAGTGACGCTTGATGGCGTCACGTCCTCCGTTCCCACTGCAGCCTTGAATGCCTGGTCAAGCATGTCTTCATTCAGGGGGGATATGGGATAAAAGTAGGCCTGCTGCCCTACAGACTGGAGCAGCCGATAGTCTGTCCCTGAGTCGATGTGTACAATCTCACAGCTCTCGCTAAGCAGTCTACCTAGGTTGGACTGGCGATCCTTCGACTGGTTCTCGAGGCTGAATGACGATGCTCCCAGACTGTGTGGGTCCCGGTTGGAGGTAGCAACAATGACGGCGCCGTCGGCGACCATGTGAGCAAACAGGCCCTCCAAGAGAGCAGAGGTCCCGTAATCACTGAACTGCATTTCATCGAAGCAGATCAGCCAGGCGTCCCCGAGGATTTGACGAGCGATGGTCTGGATGGGGCCGTCCTGGTCCAACTCCAGCCCGTCTGTGCAGAGGCTCCACCTGTTGATCTCTGAGTACAAGTGCAGCATGAAGGACTGGAAGTGGACACGCCTCTTGGCTTCTGTGGGTGCTGAGGCATAGAACAGGTCTAGAAGAGCTGTTTTCCCACAGCCCACCTCTCCATGAAGGTAGAGGCCTGGGGGTGGTCTGAACAGGGGAGGGGATTCACTCGACTCCAGACTGCCTTCTCCTTCTGACTTTGTCTTATCGGCTTGCTTTTCACTTGCTTCATCTGTTATGAAGAGAAAGACAGTATTTTAAATATCATCCATCATAACAGCTTTCATGGAATGATGGAAGGAAAGAAGGAAGGAAAGAAGGAAGGAAAGAAGGAAGGAAAGGAAGGAATGAAGGAAAGAAGGAAGGTAAGAAGGAAAGAAAGAAGAAAAGAAAGAAGGAATGAAGGAAGGTAAGAAAGAAGGAAGGAAAGAAGGAAGGAAGGAAGGAAGGAAGGAAGGAGGCTCATCACTCTTATGGGTACCTACTGCCTGATCTTCAAGGTGAATCAAGGTGAATAATAGACTTAACTGTGGGAGTAAATAAGCCATATTGTAAGCAAAAATGACCTTGTGTTGCTTCAGGTTGGGGTGGTTGGTAGTCCTTCAGTCTGTTGTACAGACCCTGCATCCTGGCCACTACTGCCTGCTGCTGGTCATCAGGCAACAAGTGCTGGTGCTGGAGGGCCTTGGTGTAGGCTTGCAGGGGACCTGATGTGAGCAGGCGACACTGACCTGGAAAAAAAGTTATACGAACTGTAAGTCACAGTGATTCTTGTTGGGATTCTTTTAGTGTGACACAATCATGAGGGAACTGGGATTGCCATAAATTGGCCCACATCTTCCTCAAGCTCGTACATACCCTTGGGGCCCAGAAAGGTAAGCCTGGTCTGGTAGCCTGGATCGTAGACAGCACGGCCTTTTCCGTAAACCTTCCCCGGAGCCCAAGAGCTGGCCTGTGGAGGCCCTGGCTACAGTCTGGCTTATAGGGTATTCTAGGAGCTACCATAACTGTTGCTGACAAAATGCCCTTCGACCGATCGACCATAGAAATGTCACTCTCATGCCACTCCGCTAGTCCGCCTGACCTACATGTAACGTTATAACTGTTAGCCCAGAAAAACTAGGTCACGATCGATCGCCATCAAGATATACATGTACAAAAATTATCCTGCCGGCACCCGCCCTCCAGACAAAACAGCAAGTGCTTCCGATAAACTACGACACATGAAATCTGATAAAAACTTACCGTTACCCTTTGTGTAAGATGTTTGTCCATTAAGTCTTGTTTACGTGAACTTACCGGGAAAATATAGCAGCAGATCGCGACGTCCTCTCACCAAGGTCGGGACGCTCTGCCCTAAAACCCGGCAAAACATGGTTCTCAGAACGTTAATTTACCACAATCGTCAAAGAGGATGACCAGTTTCGTCAGAGGAGTGCCCACAAATGCAGCGTTCACGAGATCTTTCTGCAAACGCTGCCATTACACAACACTGTGACCTCGGCTGGACGTCGTCTGCTATTATATAACAATCACTTCCGGGTCAAAACACCCATGATGCACCGCGCGGATAAAACTTTGGCGCTCCGAAAGTCTTCGTCAAAATAAAAATTAACATTTGAAGATGGCACTTCACAAGAAATATTATCTTCATCGCTCTGAAAGCTCTAGGAATTTAAGTTTCTCAAGATGAGAGCACTAAGGGATCATAGAATAAACGTTCAAATCTCAACTACAACTTCTTATATGTTTATCTCAGGTTTCAAAGTTAGAAAGCAGTCTTGGGCTGTTACTCAAAAGATGACAGGTTACCAAGAAGCCATGACACCACCATGATATTTTACTGAAGATATCTTTTATTCACTTAAACACTTTTCAAGATACAGAACTTCTCACTCTTTGGCAAGGCAAACAATCCGCTGAGACTTAACTTAGGTACAGTAACTCTTACATCATCATATCAAATGTTGAACAATCCGAGAGGAGAGGAGGTGTAGAGACAAAGTACAGGGTTCCCGGTTCTGAACGCTTGTCCAGCCAGCTTGTTGGGAAATTGCTCAGCACTGTAGTGCAAGTGGTAGCAGCATTTTTTATAAGGGCTCGGCCAATAAAACTTCTAAATGTAAATGACAGTTTTAACAAGCCAGGTGGAATTGTCTACATTTCGACAAAGTGTCCTACTATGGCACTTGCACTGACAAGACTGAGCGCACATTGTTCTTGTTTTCTGTTTTGTATTTAAGTGGCATTTTTTCAATCCATGACTATAGTACATGTCGAGCCAGGATGAAGAAGGCTATTGCCATAATTACTTGTCCATGACACAATCGTACAAGGGAACAGCCATACAGTCAACACACTCACACACACACACATACACACAATCGTCTATCTTCAACATAACACCTTTTCGTAACAACTCCAATATGCAGGATACTCTCTACTCAAAACAGTAGCCACCATCGACAAAAAAGTACTGTCAATGGGGAAGACATAAGACAAATTACACCATGCCCATGATTATTAACGTAATAAAGATTGCATGCAACATAAGTGTCCTTCAACACCTGTACATAGGAAGACTGTGCAATGGTACTGTATCTCTGTTAGTGTTTTGCTTTCAGACAAGTCTCCCATGCAAAGATTATGTTATTGCAACAGAACACCTTCTAAATATCTGTGTGCAGGAACTGGAACTACACTGATCTCTTGGTTCCTTGACTAAAAAACTGAGATAATACTGCAAACGTTACCTTAAGAAACTGGTATGCTAATATAGATCTGCCAATACATACATATCCATCATATAGCCAGGTGATATGCACTGTGACTGTTCTACTTCAGAGGTTCTGGATTACTTGTTTTTCTTCTTGAGTGTTAGGTTGATGAACCAAGTTATTTGTTACAATCAGTGTGGCCCTGTTTTACACCAAAACATATTCCAAACCATGCATGAAGATGGTAAAATAACATTACAAGCCTGAAAAGAAGCTCCTTTTGCTAGTTTCTACAGAGATAGAACCTTTCATATAAAATTTTGGATCAAAGATATCATATGTTTCTACAGGTCAAACTCATATGGCTGCAATATTTCAAGGGGACACAGACATAAGCATGGATACCATCACTACTAAGCTTCCAGCAGCAATTCATACAACTGGGTATCCATATATACCAACTAAAGAAGAAAACCTATGTTCCCTTATAAATCCCATGGCTTCAATACAACAAGAAGAGTACTAGTATCTTAAAGATATCGTAAACTAAACAAAAGCGTACAATGACCAATAAGGAAAACAATACCTTATAATGAGGTTACAGTGTTCTCTCTTTGAAAGTCTCCACCAGAAACATTTCAAGAATACTTTTTACAACTACAATGTACATATCTTGATGGAAGTTCCACGAAATGTTTTTTTTCCTTCTTTTGTATTTTTTTGTTGCTATTTTTGTTATGTTGAGAACAATGGTCAAGTCCAAGGTAGAGGTATTGGTATGAGGTTTAGGGTTCTGTTGTGATTTGAGCAACAAGTGATCACTGTAACCATTGGCAAAGAACTCAAGTAGCGAGTTCTACTTTATACTGTACTCTTGTTTCACACTTCACAGTCGCACGGTACAGAAAAAAGTGTCATGGCCAATGTCTCACACAAGTTTGACAGCTCTGTGGTTGTTTGTTCCAGATACACAGTGTTCCACATCACCTTGGAAGCCAGGGCCTACACAGGCCACCCAACAGCTATCCTCAGAGGTTCCAGGGAAAGACTTCCTTGGCCCTAGAGCTGGCCTGTGTAGGCCCTGGAAACAGTCTGACTACCAGGCTGGTTCCACATCAGTTTGACCTGATTGCCAACATTAGTATTACACAAAGGGGACTGAAAAAACTTCTTCAGTAACATATGGACAGTCCTCGCTGCTAGTACTCTTTCTCTTAATTTGGCTGCTTGTCTACCCTTTAAAGAGAAAAGTTTAAGTTTTCTTGAGTTCCACTGCTACTACCCAAGTACCAAGTGTAATAATGCATATTCTGAACAGTATATAGTGGTAATTTCAATAATTCGAAGACACTTGAATAAAGCTCTGCATAGAATTTTTCACAGTTTTTTCTTAGGCAGTCCCGTTGACTAACTGCTGACTGTGTTCCTGGATGCCTGGGCCCCCGTCCCCGTTTATTGCACTTTTCTCGCTACCTCCCCTCTGTCTATCCCCCCTGGGGCCGCGTTTGGATCGAGACGGGCGTTGCTGCTTGGGTGCGTCAGGCTTCTCCTCGTTTTCGCTGATCATTTTCGAGGTGTCCGTGGACTTTGCGGTTTCGTGCCCTGAGGTTTCCTCGGCCCTGTCACCCTTGGCGGCCTCAGGGGATTCCTTCTTGAAGTTTTCGTTGAAGATGACTGTGTTCTGGCGTTCGCGGCGCCGGCGGTTCCGTCTCCTGCGGTTCTTCCCAGCGCTATCTTTGTTACCGTCCCTGCTAGTGTTGGCCTCTTCTGCAGGCAAAGACACAAACACATTAAAACATGCATAAACAGATGCATCAGGTTGGTTTTACAATACACATGGTTTTCTCTGCCAGTGTTTTGGCTATCAACTTCATCAGGGCACTATGAGTAGAATATTAAACTTTCATTTGGGAGACACAAAGTCACCATGATAAGAAACACCCTTAGGAAGGTACCCAAAAGGTTGGAACAGAAAATCACATGGCTGGGTTGTAAGAAAACTATGATGTACATTAAAACATGAAAAAGAAACAATTATATCATCTGTAAAGTTCTATCTCAATTAATGATTGTTGTTGGAGTTCTTGTTGGACAAAACAGTACCTACATAACTAAATAAAGGGTTCTCTACAACTTCAAGCAAAGGTCCCAAAATAAGTATGTTACAGGAAATCTCCAGATGGGGTTGACATCTATAGTTTGTGATGCTTACATGTATATACTTAAAAACAAAATAATTTAAACTGAATTGAGAACAAACTTCAACTAAGGAAACCATTTTCAAACAAAGCTAGCTATAGTCTAAACAGAAAGAGAGGTGGTGGTCAGAAAGAAAATGTATTCACCAAAAGAAAAGAATGTTCAAACTTGCAAAAGTAAGACTGAAGTATGTAGCACAACACAGTCTTTGCCAGCCTGATGTCTTCGTGGCAAGAACTGCCTCAACTCTCTACAAGCCTTAAGAGTGACAGACCAAAAGCCAGAAAAAGAAGTCCCTTGTGGGTAAGAAACGGAAAACTTGAGCTGGGATCATCAAAGAGTGCCTCACAATTATTGAGCTGTTGTATCCTTCCGTGGCACGATCCTGTCAGAGTTGTTGTGGGCTGGGGTCTTCTTTTTCCGCCCTGGAACTGGCGCAGAGAAATAGCAATCGTTTTCTCTCATTTGACATTGGCCAATACCATTTCAATAATTTGTCAGAACGTTTGTTTATAAGCACAGGCCCCAGGAATAATAGTCTTGTTTCAGTCCATCCTTGTCTCAACAGAAAATGCTTCAAGTTCCTCTCAGAATCTGACTGATTCTGAAAGGACTCATGACGGATTCTGTCCTGTTGGGACAAAGACAGCATGTCTAATATTGTTCCCAGGGCCTGTATCTAACATAACCAACACCTCTTCTTAATTCCACCACCAACTCAAAAAAGCCCAACCACAACCTCAAAATGCATATTTCAGCTGCATAGATTCACCTTCAAGCTTGCTGTATTGTGTTGTGCTACACTACAATGGATAACTGCGACACTGTTTTCCACAGATAAAGTGTTACCAGTATGTATATATGTGAAGTCTCAATAAACAAAGCTTCCTAAATATTGCAGGGATAAATGAAACAATGGAAGCCACAGGGAAAGGTAAGCAGTAAAGCAGCCGGCTGAAAGGAGAGATAACTGGTACAAAATTGAGCAATACATTCTGCTATCATGAAAAACAACTTACAGCATTTCTGTAATTTCGTTCTCTGTAATTTAAATAAAATGCATTGTCAACATTTTGTGATATCTATGTTAACATGGATCTGAATCATACATGCATTATAATATTGGTTTTTATCACATAGAATGCCAATGATGTAAATACAACATTTTCAGTCCTTTCTTAATTTTGGTTCTACATAAATGCGACAATGCCAGCACACATGCATGAAACTGACGAAAGCAAAGCACAAAGTACATAATGGAAGGAAAAAACGGAAAGAAAAAAGTCAACCTGTCACAAGACAAGGGCACTAGCAATACCATGCGAATGTGAGCTTTTGAATTTTTAAAAACTTGTGAAGATCAATAGCATTTATCGTGCTTTGTGGGGATCTCAAAACTTGAGTATTCATTTTGTATTGTCATTCTTGAGAAAGACGAATAAAGTTGAAACCAGTTGAATTCCGACTCATCGCTGTCATTATTCCAATGCTACGAATGACATTTTGCATTTCTACGTTTTGCCAGCGGGCTATGGGACCTGTCTAATGAGCGAGCAATTTCACGTGAAGTAGTTTGCATGGAGTGCCCTTGACTTTATGAAAAACAAGATGAACACATAGGCAGTGCAGACCCACTGATGGCGTTCCCCTTACCCTGCTGAATGTATGAATACAATGTCACGTTTGTTCCCCTACCCCGCTCGTTGTTCGTTTCCCCCTCCGTGTCGAGCACCGAGTCCTCTTCGTCGTTACGCCTCCGCCGGTCGTTTTGCCTGCGGTCCCTGTTGCGCCGCTGGGGACGCCCGTTCACGTCGCCATTTTCGTTCTCATCTTGGTTGAGGACGTCGAAAGGATTGTGGTTGTCACCCTGGCGAACTGAAACAAAATGTTACAGCAAATGTTTACAGTGCATTCAATAGTGTAAATTAATTCATATTCCTGGGGACTTGATTTTGCAGTTACTGTAGAAGGGGAAAGGGGTTTTCACTGTGTTTTAAGTATGTAGTTGAAACAGTTCCATCGATCGGTGTAATATAGCCAGCTGCCGCCGCGCCGCATGCCCGCGAAGATGGTGTGTTACACCGAAAGGCGGTTATACCGGCTATACAGATACAAATACAAAGTACTGTATTGGAAATGCCTATTCACAGTGTCATAAATTTGTGGTGGAAACACACAGTTTCCAACATTCTGAAGCAATTTGAAAAGCTCTCCTTGGGCTGAGGCAGTCAATGCTAATCCCACAAGTTTTGTCACCATGCAAACAATTCCTAAAGGAACATCACAACTTCACGAACAGTAAACATTGCCAACCAGGCCACACATGCCTTATTAACTGCATTACAGAAAATGGGCGTACCCTCGCGGTCAAAGTTAGGCTCGGTGTTCATGCGAGGCCGGCGGCCGCCCCTCCCACGGTTGCCAGAGTACCGGCTGCCGCGTACACCACTCGCTTCTGACATGCTGTCCTCTGTTACCGCAGACGACCAATCACTGAGCTCGTCTTGCTGACGGCGATCATTCTCAGGGCCAGCTAGAGAAATTTACAAGAGACACAAACGTTACAGACCTATCATCCCAGGGTTGAGGTTTAAAAAAAAGTGTTTGGGAAGCCAGTAATAGAAATAGATAGATGAGGGCCTCAGAAAAATATTCAACCTCTTCAACAATGTTCAAATGCAAAGATCTAAAAAAAATAAGCAAAAGCTCAAGACAGTACATCACCAGAGCAAGCATTACATGAAGGTGATATTGCCATACCAAGAGGCCCTGGGCCACCAATCTTGTGCCCTTGGGAAAGGCACTTTACACAACTTTCCTCACTTAACTCAAGTGAAAATGAGTATTGTATGTCCTGTATTTGTTTCTATGTGTGGGACACAACACCAGCAACAGCTGCCTGTGTCTCACGTATGTTGCACTGTTGCAATTTCAATAAAACAAACAAACAAAGAACAAAACATTCAGTCTTACCGTTGCGTCCACCCTGGTACCGCCTGCCCCCCCGGCCTCTGCCTCCCTGGCCCCGCCCCCTGCTGCCACCGCGGCCCCGCCCTCTGCCGTACGCCTGACCCCTGCCCCTGCTAGTGCCCTCCGTGGTGTCGGACGTGTAGTCCGTGCTGTAGCGACGCTCGCGCGGCGGGGGGAAGTACGAGCCGCCAGACCCGCCCCCGGCATTCCGCAGCTCTTCTGCTATCTGTAGGTTCTCAATGCGAAGCTGCTCAACTTCCTGAAAAATCAGTAACACAGATAACGTTATTGCACAATAATTGTATAGGATACAACATGGCTACATAGGGAAGAGACTGTATACATGCACAGTCTTTGGTGGAGTTTCTAACACTTAGGCAGTTTTTATTAACTGTTCTATATGATATGATCATTGTTTAATGTAGGTGGCACTATCATTCTTCTCTTGGTTCAGCATTAATTCAAGAGAAAGTCATCCCGATGAAAAACTGGGAATAAAAACCAAGCTAATCATGGGAGGAGGGGTTACGAATATGTAAATAAAACAATGTTTCAGGCACAATATTCAGATTAAATACAATTTTATGTTGACACCAAACACAACATGAAGAAAGCACTTGCTATTTTCTTCTTGCACACACAGGTGTCAACATAATTTATCTTGGCAAAGGTAAGAAGTACAGACCAAGTGTCTCTTGGTTAGATACGTACCTTTAGATGTGCGAGGTGATAGTCCAACAACATGCGGGCGTTGCTGTTCTGCTCTATGGTTCCGATGAAGATCATTGGCACGTGTTCCTATGAAACAACGCAGACATAAGAGTAGCCCTTAATCAAAGGCGGACTGCAAAAGACGTGAGAATGTGAAAAGTACCAAAGTCTGGTGGTTTGTTACTTACTGGGACAGAATCCTTTGCCGATGGATCCTGTACACAACACAGGGTGTCAAGTGGGTTTTTAGGGCTTCACATCACAAACTTTCATTTACAGGTATCAATTATATATACAGGGGTAGAGTAGAACTAGAAGTCCACTTTGGTTTAACTTGAAGCGATTTTAGCATGGTATTATTATATTACAGTGAAAAGGCACAGCATAAACATAAAATCAAGACTAGAAAGGCAAAGCAAATGCATAATGTCTACCTTCGCATATTGTCTGCTCTGTTAATTCTTACTTAAACACATTCACAATCATATATGGTGACAGGAGTCTAAATCTATAAAATTGCAACATTATGGAACCCAACACCAGTTACCATGGTGAGAGACAGTCTGGTTCAGGTCATTGACCAGGTCAGAGGTCAGTGTTTGGAATGGAAGAAGAAGAAACAGAGCAAAAACAAGATGTGCAGTAGAAATCTACATACCTCCTCCCTCTCTACTGTGTGTTCTTTCTCGTTGTCCCCCTCAATTTTCACCCTGACTACCCCAGACTTGTCCACAATCTCTTGGATAACACGGCCGTTCTTTCCTATTACTCTTCCTAAGGAAAAAAGATTACATCATGAAGACCAGAAAAGAACATGAAACAGCCTTCAAATATCAGAGTTATCAAACAAAAATTGAGGTGTACAAAAACTTGCATTTTCCAAAAACTATCGTAGAGTGGAACTCTCTGCCAACAAGCAGAGTTAGGGCCAGAACATCATCACTAGAAAGCTTTAAACAACTCCTGCAATTAAATGTGCAAAGATTGGGTGTAACAAGAATACACGATGTTAACCGATACCGACACAGAAGTGTAGTACACAACTATCAGGGCTTGAAATAGCAAGACTGCACAGCAGAGCTTTATACTGTGTGAGGTTGAGTATCCAGACACATCAAGCATAGGGGATGTGACGGAGTCGTAAACCTCAAAGTCAGTCTGGCACACACATTCCCCCAGCCTGGAAGGAGAAGCCAGGCTGGCCCTTGGTGTACCATACTTAAAGGCATCCAGTGCAGTTCTTAGCAGTTCAAAAATAACAACTTGCCTATGAGATTTCTTGGGACTTGGACAACGTCTTGTTTATACTCCAGCATACTCCTGGCTTGCTGAACTGCCTCCTTTGTCTGGAACAGGTAAAGGTAGAATCACATCACCACAAACAAAGTTACAGAGCAGGAACATTTAGCAAACAAATACAACAGTAGATCTGATATCTTTTGTGACCACTTGTCTAAGTCTGGGGGAGCGCTCTGTGGTTTCTTTTTGCATCAACAAAGAAAAAGCGAACATCTTACAGTATACAAATAATTAGTTAGACTTTCACAATATTTCTTTTCAGGCAAAAATAAGCATTAATACACTCACACAAATGCACACACACACATACATGCAAACAGACACGCACAGTCGCACACATAAATACTAACACACATACATGTACACGTACACACACACACACACACACACACTCACCTCTCCATAAATCTTAAAGGTGCATGTTTGTTCTTCCAGTTCGATGGCGGTGACCCCCTGCAGTCTGCGGGCCTGCATGATGTTGGCCCCGTGTGACCCGATAGCCAGCCCCATCAAGTCCTCTCGCACAGAAAACTCCTCCAGACACTGCCGCTGCATGGCTTTAGTGGTCTGGGAAAGATAAAAACTCTATGTTGTATTTTCAGATTCAATGTTATGCATGTAATGCATCTGTTTGGTCCATACACGTCTGTTATACTGGCTCTGAATAAGGTAGAAAAAGGACCTATAGTATATATAGTATGTGTACTGAAACTTTGGCAACCATTTTTTTCTGTCTATACATGGTCCCAATCCTCAGCTTATACTTGCCAGGGTGCTGTGTTACAAAGAACAGTATCATCTGACTGTGAACAACAGAGTTTTTCCACTGGAATTCAAACTTAAACAGATTTGCTTCACTTCAATTGAAGAAGATTTGATTATATGTTGCAGTAACTTGCCATGAAAGAGAAGGATTTATTCTATCACTGCATTGTGAGAATGCTGAGTTGTAACAATCTTGTGTGACGTGTAACTGCTAAAGAAATGGGATAAAATGGTACAGTTTCCAGCAGGACTCGAAATACTGGCTGCATAGCACCCTAGTGCACCCAAATTTGCACTAATATTTTTGTAGGTTTACGTAACATGCAAAGATGTTAAATGGTATACATGTAGTAGTATCTAGGAGCTTTAAATTGTGTCCTAGAAATAATAAAATTATTGTTGTAGTATTTTTCTTTAGAAATGAAACAAAATTAGTTTGCTGACATTCTAGTTAGCTGATATTCTAGTTATTCTATTTTATATGGTGGAGGTTGGGTGCAACAGAACACCTATTCCGAAAAATGAATTTCGAGCCCTGGTTTCCAGACTCCTCACCTCGAGCTGTTGTTGTGCCTCCTTTTTCCTTGCCTCCAGCATGAGCTTTGTTCGTAGACTACGGAAGTGCATGTCACTCAAAATCTGCGCTCTCTTCACCGCCGCCTCATCGTGCGAGATAACTACGATTGCGTTCAGGTCCGTGTTGTAGACCACGGACGCTGCTTTCAACTTCAAGGCCCTCTTGAACTCATTGTGATTACTTTCTACTCGACAACTGTGGAAAACAGGACATAACAGAAGATTAGAAGCTGCATTATTTCAATTTCCACTTGAGAGATTTCAGTGAAAATATTGTAACTGCCAACATTTAAGGAAAGCAGACAAAAACCAATCAATCATGTTTGAAAGAATTAAAAGATACAGTAAATCTCGAAATGTTCATAGTTATCATTTCAGTAACCTCTCTACAGCAAATTCATGACATTGAGAATATGGATTTCCAATGTATAATTACTTTACTACAAAATTTTTTAAACCACAAACTGAATACACAGTGAAATCCTCCAGTCCCCTTCTATGACAAGATTGAATCACTGGCTCAAATTGTTACTCACCATTCCCTGAGGTCTTCAGGCACATCTATCGTACACTTGTGGAAGGAGTTCTTGGTCAATGGAGGGCTAAAAGGAAAGGAAAGCAGTGCATTTAGAAACCACTACTAGTATACTACCAGAACTATACATATCAACATTCTGCAACTATGTATCTGTTTATCAGTTGCAGGTATATATTCAGATTTTACCCATCGATTGATAATGCCGCATAAAACAACTTACTTTTTGTTTGCCGGGCGGATTTTTCCTGTGTCTATAATGTCCTTAAACGTTGCCTCCAGGTCGAGGTATTCCACCACACAGAAGGCTCCCTTGCACCTTTTTACCCTGCAGGGCCACCAGCCACACGGCTCATCATTCGTCTCTGCCAACGCCTGGGGAAACACAAATCAGAGTCACTTATATCAGAATTTATTGCACAAATAGTAATACTGGCTTAGGAAAGACACTGCGAACATGGGCACCTAAATCAACTCAAAAAGGCAGATATTTCCCATACAATTTACCGGTACATCAAAAACTGGTAGTGACCGGAATAAAAAAAAAAGTCAAGCAAATTTTGAAGTATACCCTTCCATGCCATCTTTGGTATGTAGCTCAGTGCCCATCTGTTTCTATAGCCCTTGGACCACACAAGTACATACAGTTGTGCAAGCACTACAGGAGGGGGCTAGTCCACTGGTAGTGGTGTGTGTCTAACAGTAACACCAATACTCTTTCCATAAGCACTGAGTGCTAAGCAGCAAAAGCACTACATGTGAATCTTTTTTAAAAGTGGGCTTTATCCATGGTTCCCCCACCATTGAAAACTTGAAGTGAAAAACGTTAAATGCAGAGCAAAGGATCATCACTTTGCACATACATGTACCTCCACTTCATCGCCCTCCTGTGGTTCGTAATCGTCTACGGGGGTCGGAGGAAGTCGCACGTCCTGGAACGGGACTTTGCGTTCTGGCTGCCAGCTGAAAATGAAGGAGAAAAGACAGAAGACAATGGATTATTATTACTTGTGAGAGCTGTTGCTTCCATTTTGAGCCTTGATAGTCAATTATTCCATCTACACCAACCTCTAGTAATAATGGAATTGCAGTTTATAAGATATTATAATGGAATAGCAGATAGGCCTGTCCTTTTTAAATCCACTCATAACACCACATGGCATACAAGTTTGTTTATTTCAATGTTAATTGGACTAATAGGCAGTCTTGAATCTGAGCCATGTGTTTGCCATGATATTCTCTTACAAGAATGTTGTTTTCCTCCGTAAACAAATGTATGCAGCCAAACATTCAGGCTTGGTTTGAACGTAGAAATTTCTTAGTTATTAGTGTCTTCATCCTTGCATTTGGAGTTGTTGTGAAATATCTTGAGCGTATTTACAATAAAATAGAATGGTTTCTACAACAACAACAACAAGTCAACAACAGTATATCATGTGATGTCAATCATGTCATTATGAGAATGTGTTTACCCTCTATAAACAGAGTTTGTGACCTCAGATTTATAGCAATAAATTACAGTGATTTAATGTAAAATATTTTCAATCTGAGTCTGCTATAAACAACAAAGGAATGTTGTTCATCCTACACATTTGTGATTTGTCTGGACCTGGGAAGGTTGGGATATGAGATTGTCTGCTAAACAGACCCCTCGAGGAAGACTGGAATTCATACAGGCTCCAGCGCCAAGGATGTACATTCTATATTTGAACCAAAGGGTCACCCTTCGTCGGTTTAGTGATATTCATGGCTGCATAGCTTATAGAAAAAGACTGGGTTTGAATAGTTGGGGGATCTGGTCTGAATACCTGTCCTGTATTTGGAGGCAGAGGAATTCAATAATTGAAATACATCTACCATCAGCTGTCAATTGTCTAGGGGATAAATACATGCTCATATGCCTACTACGCATGTTGTAAAGATATTTGTTGACCCTTTCTGAATGCTCTTTGATAACTGACAGTCATTCTGGAATTATTTACTACCCGCAAAGAGATTTATAGGAAATATTTAAACAGTAGTTGCCAACATCTTTTCATGTAAATACTTTTAAGTGCATACCTGAAATCAGTGGTACCAAAAGTAGGTGAATTGAGTCTGAACAATCACAAACTAGTTGCCCTTAATTTAAATGCAAAACAGCTACAAATGTGATACCGACTTCCAAATTATGGTAAATTTTTGGAAACTGTTGACAAAATAAAAACTTGTTTTCTTAGGTACTACTTTTCATATTTTCAACAAAGTACTAAAGAATACATCTGTCTTTTTCCATATGCATGCACAATTTGACAGCGGATTTAGACAGCAGAATTCAAAGAACTTGTTGCCACAGCATTTCTTCAGACGTGTCTGTACACGTGTATGTTCTCCTCCAGTGAATTAGTGTGATCATAACTAACCAGATTTATAGTTGTAATCACGTCAGAATATGCTAGAAATTGGAAACAGCCAGTGAATGCACTCCTGTGGCTAAATCGAGCCAGAGGGCTTACGTTCACATCAACCCATTCTGGCCCCAATCATTGGAAGTGGCAAAGACATTATCTTAGCTTCTTTTGTGGCAATACCAATACTGGGTAATGAAAGACAAGTCATTGACCTTCTCTCTTTAGCCATTCAGGAAGGCATGATACACACTATAGCGAGATGTTCACCATAATTAGCCCTATTGTATTGTCAGACAACACATGAATAGTGTTGTTTTTTGCAACATGCATATTCAATTTATGATAACCCATCTTTCAAAGGATGTTTGTGGCAGTGCTAATAAAAATCCTACAAAAATATACAATAAAATAAATTTAAGTGGAAGTTTAAGTGGAATGATTTTTAATGCACATATATGACTATAAACCAAAATGGGTCTCATTGTCTTATGTGGTAAAGGGAACTTTTTACTTTTTTTAGTGCAAATTCAAATCATTTCTGCTTGACTATTTATGAAAACTGCAAGTTGATAAACTGCATGATCAAGAGGTTGTGATGACACCTTTATCAACATCATGTTGCCTTAAATCAAGTGATACTTACTCATTCTCAAAAGCTACTGTCACCTCTTCCTCATGGATATCTCTTATATAGGCCTGGAAAATAACATGAACAAGTTATTGGTTTGTATTTGTAAATAAGCACACCAAAGCTTTATTGGCTAAGTGACATGGTTTGCATGTACATGTACATGCGTTAGCATTGAGCAGTGAAACTGAAAGAAACAATAATATGACAAGGTTGGTCAGCAGGTTCTATCACTGGTACAGGGCTTGAAATACTGGTTGCATAATTATGCACCTTTAACTTGGCTTAGTGACCCAAATTTGGAGCTGTGCACTTAATTTTTTTCTGTGGGTGCTCCAGTGCACTGTGCACCCAAATATTTCTGTAGGTTTACATACTAGTATATGTAACTTGTGAGTGTCTGAAAAATAATAAAATCATTGTAATACTACTTTTCTTTAGAAATGAAACATAATAAGTTTACTACTTATATTCTCTTTTATGGAGCACCCAAAAAATTTTTGTTCACCTAATTTTTTTAGGTTGGGTGCAACAGTGCACCTATTCACCAAAATGAATTTCGAGCCCTGTGTAGTACCGGTACTACACTTTCATATTGAAAATTGATGTTAAAATTGAGGACATGGTTATTGCAGTTACTTTCTTTGAAGAAGGGCCTTGAATGTAATCAAGGACAGCTGTATCAAATATTAATTTCCATACAAACTACTGCAAAAGATAAGTGATGATAATGATTGATGTGACATCATTACCACATCATGTGGTGGACAATTTTGGTGCACAAAAGTGGATATGCATCCATGTACAGTATTTTAGAGCTTTCGGTACCTAACTGCACTACAAATTAGTACAATATAGATTCTGTTTGTTTTTGTTTGGTGCCATAGGAATGACCATGGGTGTTCCTTATGCAGACATTGGCAATGTTGTAATAGACTTCAACCAGCACCTGGTCACATATCGCCACCAACAGCTGGTATAGCAATGATTCCATACTGTCAGCTGGCTGCATCTCTCTAATACTTCAAACCTGTACTGGTCTAGCACTGTCTTCAGCCTACACACTAGTAGTACTGACTCATCGACTACACTGCATGAATCTACTTTGGCATTTGCTCTGGGGCAATCAGTCACTTCCAATCATTGAACTTCGATAAAAGCATTGCTCAACAAACACACACAGACATATGACGTCATTTGGGTCCCATGTCACAAAACTAAAGCAGTCCTGAACAACGTCACAAGACGATTTTGCATCACAACTCCATCTGTTTCCACTGCTATTGATTAAGTCCTTGTGAAAAAAGTGTAGACCCTTGCCGAGACGTAATTTGCTTCCATATGCAATATTCAGGAATGTTCAGCCTTTCATGTGAAGGCTGGACAAACAGTCCAGGACCTCCTAATGATGATTATGACAAGACGAACAGCTGAACCATTTTATGAAACAATTGATTTGTGGGTTGCATAAGCTGTAAATATAGTATGGTAGAGACAAGTATGCCTACTAGCTACTATGTCATTTTCATCAAGATTCTACATTTTTGACAATTGAAGCATTCAGTTTCCATTTTCATTTTACAGTTTATAATTATATTTTACCAGGAAACACCCTAGCATACAGTCAGGTTTCAAACTCAATTCAATGCAGGTCTGGCATGAATTTTTAAATCTGCAAATCATAATATAAAATTAAAAATGCTGTCTTATAAAGTTTATATTGACAGTACCCATACATAACAATTGGTCATTTATAACAAAAACCACTATTGTCCTCATATGACCTGTCCTCAGACTGTTTTTGCCATGGCAATGAACTTGATACCAAATTCAAGTTCACATGTGCTCCACTTCATCAATTTAACAGAAAAAAACAACAACCGTCAACTCTACATGTTTATCTTTTCTTTCATGGCAATGTAACGTTAATCACAAGATAGTGAAAATTTCACATCTTGGTACAATCTACAATGTGACAAATATATATAATATCAAATATGATTGTGGACTACATTTTGGGACAGTGCACAGCATGCGCTATAAACAGTAAATTTGGTTTGTCCAAATACTGGGCCACAATATATTTCTTTGACTATACATGTATTCTAAAAAGACCTTGAACTTATGCATTGTCCTCAACACAAAAATTCAAAATGTTACATTTGTGGTTATGTTCAAAATAACAAGCAAAGTTTCAACTAAGAGGAAAAGTTATTCTGTGTCATTCCACTTTATGTAATTAGTCTGAGAAAAATTTGTTACACAACATGTTATACAACAGGCAACACATGAAATTAAAACAGCAAAGCAAATGCCGCTCATCATAATGATATCTTAAATGATTTTTCCATCCCCTGCCAAATTATGTCTGAAAAGGGCATGGCTACGTGTAGGTACGACACACCCAACCGATGACTCTTGCTGGTAACAAATACTAGCCTTTAAAACGTTGAACACATCTCGTGGCTTAGTCTTACACTCTACTAGGGTTTCCATGCAAGTATTTTTAGACAGGGTTATATTTGGTCACACACAAGTACCTGTCACTCTCCTAGTACATGCTGGTGATGATGTTCCCAGTTATGCAAGGATGCGCTTGCAAAATTTTAAACTCTAGCCACAAAATTTTCTTCATGTTGAAACGCAGAAAGGATTACGGAGAATGTCACTGATTTTAATCAAATCTATTATGAGGAAAAATTGAATCTGGATCAGGAACGATTGTCATGCCGTGCTATCCTAAGCGATCACGAACGTCTGACGGCCTGCGCTCGACTACCCATCCCCCTAAAAACATCACCATAGCTACTCAAACCAGTCCATGACCCGGTCAGATTTTTGCACAAACGGTGTCTAGAAGTAAAGTAGAGCGTTATCACACGAAATTATTCCGTGGAAATGGTAAGAAATGAGGAGTTTTACCGTATAAAATGCGCCGTTCTGACCGCACACCTCCACAGCAAGATCCTCCATCTTGGACTCGCGGGGAATCCTGGGTTGGGTGCGGAGATGTCGTGTGATTCCCGAGGGGATTTTCGAGCGGGGGAGAAAATCTGAAGCAAAACGGCTCCTCAAACTGGTCCAATTCGGCTCAAATCACGGACTGGGAATGGTTCGATTCCTGTAGTATCGTCCCTGGTTTGGAAAATTCGTGAAGACTGCTCCAATCCCAAAATCTCGACTTGTTTCGGACGAAAATATTGAAAGTCTCGTGAAATCTCGCGGCGGAGTCACCTGCTAGCTATGTTTTTTTAAGATATAGGAATCATTTTTGTCAAAATCGCGACAAGAAGATTAACATATGACCAGGATGACAATTTGGACAGCCTATTTTTTGTTAAGAAATTGATTTCATGCATATTTTTGTCAATTTTTGTGAACTCTCGTTTGCCTTGGAGTGCGAGACTTCAAAACCAAATATGGCTGCCAGGGATGGAAGATTGGCCAATCTTGTCAATACTTTGTGTCAAAATAACCGTTTTTCTCCCCAATTTTAACCATTTGTGAACGCTTAGAAGTCACCCGTAGAGAAGAAAACCTGTAGAGATCCAAGATGTCGTCCGAAAGTGATGATGAGGAGTTCTACGACGCTAAAGAAAACATTTCCCTGACGCAAAGTCCAGCGCAGAGGTAACGTCATCCTAACACTTGGGTGGGCAGGGCCGGTTGACTTTGTCCTCTAGCAAATTTTATCAGATTGTTTTCCATGTTGTATCCGCTCAGACAACACCTAATCTGTGCAGCACACTTTGTCGTTCGAGCTGTGGTACATTTACTGACTCTAAACACTGTTCTAAAGATGTTTTTGTGTTTGCTGACATGTTTGCTTATTCGGTACGCATAGTGTTCTGCTGTTGGCAAACCTAAACGTTGCTGTGGGGAGGGGGGCGATTTGCATGAACCGTTATAAATATTGAGTTGTGGAAGTCGGTCTCGGGTTTCCGCTACAGCCATGGTATTGCATGCAGAAGTAGGTTGGTGTCCCAAGTCTTCAGCAAACACAATTTGAAGAAGTTTATGTCGGGAATTCTGTTTTTATAGAAAAAGAAATGATTTCACAACCAAGTGAAGGGAGTTGCACTGTCAACATCTGGAATGTTGATTCTTGTTCAATTTTTTTGTACATGTATTACTATTAGATTATATCATAAATAGAAGGTGAACTGATCAAAATGTTGCTTTGGATGACATTAGAATGCAGAGAAAGATATCAGTGATATCCTCTACAGCTAGTTAAACAAACAAATTTAAAGGGCTTTTAACCATGTCATGCCCCACTAGGTCACTCCAGTCTCATAATTTTAACCAATCATGCACTTCAAGTTGTGTGACAAAAAACATAATTAGAGACACATACGTTAACATGTCCCTTGTATTGCTAACAGGGCTCAACAGGCTCAAAAACCTGAAGTTCCTCAGCTGTCAAAGAAACAGGAAGAACAGGATGAACTTGCCAGACAAGAGCAAGACAGGAAAGCTAAGGAGGAAGAGGAGAGGAAGAGAAAAGAAGAGGAAGATAGAAAGAAGAAAGAACAGGAGGTATATATGCATATATTTTGTCCCTGTATATAACTAAGAATAGATAAAAATAGATAAGATTGTTATTAAGAATGAAATACTAGTAGATAACAGGCTAATACCAAAGATACACTGGTAAATATATGTATTCTTTAATTAAGACGGCAGGAATGACTATTGTTTAACTAGATTTCTGTCTATGCCCAGGCTATTTAATTCTGTAAGCTATAATGATAGTTTTAGACCTAGACACTATTTGACACGTCATTTCTCTCCTGTTTGTATAGGAGCTGGAAAAGCAACTGGAGGAAAATGAAAGGAGAAGAAAACGGCTGCTTGCCATGAGAAGACAGATGGAGGAGGAAGAAGAGCATGCAGGAGACAGCCCCCAACCGGATGAAACCGGCTCTGAAGAGACTCCCGTTGACACTAACCCGGTTCAAACCAGTGAGGAACCTCCTGAGGCTACTGTGGAGCCAGAAAAACCTGAGGAGAAAGACACAAGTGAAGAATGCGTTCCAAGCCCAACACCCAGCCCTTCGCCAAGTCCAACCCCAGAAGCAGGGGACGGCTTCAAAACAACAAAAGACATCTCTGAAATGCAAGCAGACTCCGAAGTAGAGACCATCCTCGAGCAGAGAGTTGAAAAAGAGAAAGAAAACCTACAGGAGATACTCGAATCACCTGATAAGAGAGAGGAAGATGCTGTAGATGAACCCAAACCAATGACCGTAGAACCAGATATAGTTGCTAGTACCAAACCTGACATTGTAGCTGTAACTGTGAGTAAGGAGAGACCGGGTAGTCTGAAGGTGCCGCCGCCACGCCCACCACCTCCTGTAGCCCCGCCCAGAAGACAGAAGAAAAAGTCAGCCAACGAAACCCCAGAAAACGAAGTGAGTATTCTAAAGTACTGATTTTATTTTTTGTGTTGACCTTTCTGTCCCAAATTTATGACATTGCAATATACATTTCCAATGTACTACAGAATTGTTTTAACCATGAACTTCAAAAACTCCTTTCCCCTTCTACTTGTATTGTAAAATTATAAGTTATTAACAGTAGCGATCTTGGTATTGCTCAGATTCTATAGTAAGCACTTTTCTTCTTGCAGGCCCAAGAAACTCCTACCAAGTCTTCCCTTATTGAAGGAGAGAAGGAAGAACCCAAGGGTCTCCTTACCCCAACATCTGAGGCTATTGAGAGTCTGACTAAAGAGTTAGAGAGGTCATTGGACATGAAGGGGGCAACCAGTGGGTCCACCCTGGTCAAGATTCAGGTAAAACAATGTCTCTAGGAAGTTGTTTAATTTGTTTTGTATAACGAGTAAACCACCCGGTAGAATGTAGGGTTTGATTAACTTACACATACTGATAAGTGTGGTGGGATCTTTAATGTGCCAAGGTATTGGCAAAGGCATTAGACAGGAGGGCCAGACCAGTCTGTAACTGGTTTCATCTACTCACATTGTGATATCACTAGCTCAGGTTGTGGCAAAGGCATTGATGATTGATTGGGGGCAGGATTTGAACCCAGAACCTTTAGATTGTAACCCAACAACCCCGAACACAATACCACCTTGCCACCTCATTGACTTGACACTCATGTTGAACCTTTGACTGAACTTCTCCGTACTCTAGCATGATGATGAGTCGACCAAAGCAGAGCCCACCCCTCCAACCTCCCCAGCAGACAGCAAGGCTGAGCCCAGCTTCAAGCCTGCAGAGGAACCTGCAGCTGGGGAGAAGGAGAACCCTGCTCTACCCCGTCTCAGGTCTGCCTCAGGTCGACCACTCACTGATGAGGTAAACGTTTTATTTTTGTTGACATGCTCTCGCGAGCAATAGCTTTAGAGACTAGAAATGTAAAGCAAATGCATAATGTTTGCCTTTGCATTACCTTTGCATATGGTCTGCTCCATTAATTCTTACTCAAATCACATTCATATATGGTCAGAGAAGAGTCTAAATCCCAACTGCTATAAAATTGCAACATGATATAACCCAACACCAGTTACCATGGTGAAAGACGGTCGTTGACCTTTTTGATTTGGAGAAGAAGAAGAGGAAGAAGCAAAAACAATGCGTTTTCCTTCGGTAAACATAAATAAGCTATAAATGTCTTTATGTCATTCCAGCAAAAAGCAGATGTCCCTTTTGAATTCCCGTGCAACTTGGAGAGCAGAAATGTGTTTCTATTATATTTTTTTATTTCCTTTTGTTTTAGGAAATCTTGGAGCAGGTGATGATAAAGAACCTGGATACAGGAGAGCTGGTTCCCTTGAGTCAAGCTGAGGACAAGCTGCCCAAATGTATGAACCCTCTGTCCTTACATATCATCAGGAGGACCAAGGAATATGTCAGGTAGGTAATATCACAAGAAAATTAAAGCCTTTTTAAGACCATAGGGTCCGTATAAAAGTTTGATGACCACCATAGAGAATGACAATGCACCTTCTTGTTATTTTCATTCAGAAAATACACACTGAGAGTTGATGACATGAATTTTGTATCTGTTTCTGCAGCAACAACAGCCTGAACAAGGATGACTCAGACACAGAGAGCGTGGAGGGACAGGCAGACAGAGGGAAGACCATGCACCAGGCTGAGGAGAAGTTAAAGAAGGGAACGTGAGTTATCACACTGCTACCTTTTGGGGGGAAAAAAAGTCAGCCTTCAGTACACTGAAGTAGCAAAGTTATCTTCCTAGTAAAATAGATGTTGAGCAGAGTTGAGTTGTTTCAGCATAGTAAAGATTCCATGTTGAAACTGATGGATCTGAAAAGTCTGGACCAGCTTTTACTCACAATAAAGAGACAGGCATACCTCCTGGCAACTTACTTTGAAACTGCAGGTTGTCAAATAAGTAGTACATCTTATTCTCAGGAAACAACTGAAGAAGCTGTTTGGAAAAGCTGTGGAGAAGTCGGTGAGTAAGATCAAGGAGATCAAAGACGAGGTGTTCGCCGGTGAAGACAGCTCTTCTAGTGACGATGAAACAGACACCAGAACCATCAAGGTAAGAAATATTCAACATGAGGATACTGGAAATCGTTCAAGTTTGTGGGAACTTATTTTTTTCAGTAGGTGGGGAAGGTAGGCATTTGCAGTTGAAACAATGTAGTACTAACTTTGACAGAAAATGTTATTCTTTTCTCCTTTCTTTTACCAATATGCTAGTGCAGGGTAGTCAAAGCAAATTTCCTGTACTTGTATTTTCAGATCAAGTCTTCCTCCAGTAACAAGGGTCCATATGAGTTTGACCAGCTGAGACTGGTACAGGACCTGAGTGGTGAACACACTGTAAGTACTTTCCTTTTATTTCTGCACCATTTTGACTTTCGGATTTACTGATTCAATAAAGGGATCTGCAAGCATTTTTCTTCCTTCCTTCTAGAAGGGTGATTGAATATCATGTTCTTGTTACATTAGAACTTAATCACAGTAGCATAATATTTTATTCCCAGTTACATGGTAGCTGTGATCCTCAGAATAATTTGTAATCACGTATATAATCAAACCTGTGAATGTCACATTGCAGGGTGCAGTCTGGACAATGAAGTTCTCATGTTGTGGACGGTTGTTGGTAAGTTCTCCACATAACTTATTGCTGATTTACATCAGTTCACTCTTATTCTATGTGTAAGTAAAATACCATACAGTGTTCATGATGCTTGTTTTTTGGTGCTTGTATTGCGCAAACTAAAGTCTCCCCATCTTCTTTATACAGGCTACTGCAGGCCAGGACAATATCTTGGTAAGTGTCTGAAAATCAAGCCAAAGATTCAAGATAATACAATGCATTATAATCAATCCATTAGAAGACACATTGCTTTTGTTTATTTAGTTAGATCTAGATTACAAGAAGTTGAGGCAATCCAGAAAAGCATTGGTACAGGGCCTGTGGTTGAACATATATGTACATGTACCTGTCAGCAAGTTTTTAGACTTCATTAAAGCATTGGGAAGGCTTCCACTACCTTGATTTCTTACAGAGGCTTTACACAGTAAAGACCGTATCTTGACATTCTATTTTCAACCTCCTTACAGAGAGTGTGGGTTCTTAAGGGTGCGTACAGCTACTTTGACGAGATGAGACACAAGTACGCCATGGAAGGTACAGTGATATGTCCTGTCTTCTGTAAATTCATTTCAGTTCACAGGAAATTGATTTAGAGGGAAAGCAAGTGTTTAAAGTGTTTAAAAGTGTGCAGTTGAAACAACCATACAGTAGTAATGCAAAGTCAAAGCGTAAGTTTGTGGCATGATGAACTGCAAATATAAAACTACTGCTAATATTTCACAATTTATAGTACATTGTTACGGTGTCTCTGATTGTGAATGGCAGACAATCTCTGTGCAAAGTTGATACAGTTTGTCAGAATGTCTTTTTGTTTCTTGGTGGGTAAATTTGTTTCTCTGAACATGTAAGACCGGTCATAATCATTATCAGTTACAAATATGTCACATTGTGACATTCCATGTTCATACATGTCGCTGTCTTTATCTACATTACAGCCAGAGCATCCCCATCCCCCTCTCAAGAAAGTGTCAACTCTCAAAACTCCCAGAACTCAGAGCCTGGCAGTACAACAGAGGTAAGTGTTTTCCATAACAAGACGTGATGTTGGTAACACCTCAGCAGAAGTATGGTGAAATAACTGAGTTTATACTATGTTTGAAATGGTGGACTTTTTGCTGGCTTGGTAAGTATAGCAACATGCGATTTACGTTTTGTATTTGTGTCTCAATGTCTGTTGTTCTCATATGGGTTTTGTGTTTGTATTCTGTCTGTGTTTTTCTCTCTTTGTGTGTGTGTGTGTGTGTGTCTGCCCTTCCCTAATTTGTTAGAAGAAACCAGTCAATGTGACCCCCAGAAGTAGCCCCTTTGTTAAGAGATGTCTTCAGAAGTTTAGGCCCAGGGTAGGTTGGCAGGACAGTAAGAAAGTACTTTGCCATATAGCTGTCTTCTCTACAATGCTGCATCATCCCTTTGGCTTTGCGCAATAAATATGATTGTGATATGTGAAAACTTCCGAAAAATAATGTACATTGTTCATGGCCTTTCTAATATTAGGTAACATGCCTCTGTCATAACTACCAGTCTCTCGCTTTTTAAACTGATCTCTCTCACAAAGCCCTATTTTTTTTTAAACTTACAAATTTATGCACGCGTGGATGTCATCCATATAATGAAATCTAAATACAGTGAAATGCACAAGAAAAATATGATTTTGCATATTACCATATGCATGACATGTTTTGTGACTACATGTACATGTATACTGCTGCAGTCCCCAGCCCACAGCCAGACTGGATCAGGTACTCCATCAGAAGAACCCGTGGAACACGAGGGACCATTCCGACAGATCCCCTTCTGTTCCTACCGCGGCCACACCGCTGACGTTCTGGACCTGTCCTGGTCTAAGGTAAACATGACCTTCATAGTAAGAGTCAGTGATTGTCTACTGCCAAGAAACTGAACGCCGATAAATTAAGCCTGTGTAATTCCAGTTTAATCGAGAAGGGAGAAAAAAAGATGCTTAAGCAAATTGGGTAAAATCAACTGGATGGAAAAGTTTCCATGAAAAAAGAAAATAGCTAAATTACCTCACACTACTGACATTCGATATTGATAAAATTTATAATCTTTCAAACAAGAGCATTAGCAAGAAGTCACAAGCATCATTAGGCTTATGATAGAGTATGACAGACAATTAACTTGTGTAGTGGTAGGATTTTTTAACTCTTCATTCTACCATTTTCTTGCAGAACTACTTCATCCTGTCTTCCTCCATGGACAAGACGGTGCGCCTGTGGCACATCTCCAGGAGGGAGTGTCTCTGCTGCTTCCAACACATCGACTTTGTCACAGCCATAGCTTTCCACCCACGGGTCAGTTGGTCTGGATGTCGTCGTTGCCATTGGGCCTTATTTATCCTTGATTTTTTAGGATGCCATTCGATTTGCTACAGGATTTGCCCAAAAGTTTCGCAAATCTGAAAGCACCCAGGCTACAAATTTTTCTCTGCACATTTCCTTCCCCTTTCAACGATAATTATTCTGGCTAGATTGAAATACCGACTGCCAGAGAAAGATCTGTAATATGACTATGAATATCACATTGCATACTGTTTGGAGGCCTTTTTTGATTCCTTGTGTGCCATTTTTCAAATGGTAACAGTCAGCTCAGTAAACAAGATCCACATGCACTTGCATGTACAATGCCCAGCACACAAACCAGTGCAGGTAGACATTAAAAATGCCTACACCGCTCCAATTTTTCTGCAGGTGGTATTTCAAACCCTGCATAATCTGATCCGCAATATTCTTCCTCATACCAGGATGACCGATATTTCCTGAGCGGGTCTTTGGATGGGAAGTTACGTCTGTGGAACATTCCAGACAAGAAGGTGGCCCTGTGGAACGAACTGGACGGGGACATCAAGCTCATCACTGCCGCAAACTTCTGCGAGAACGGCAGATTCGCCGTGGTGGGGACGTACGATGGGCGCTGTATCTTCTTTGACACTGAGGTATGTTGATCAAATCTCTTAAGCAAATAAGTCAGATATCTTCGTATTGATTACAAGTATTCTTATCTTATGACTTACGTTTTTTAATGATCCATACTGTACTTGTTCAACATTTTTAATTGTAACACTGTAGCTGTTTTCATAGAAGTCTTTATTTTGACGATTATGAATGTTTCAAATGCATGTGCAGTGCTAGTAAGGTTCTTAATAAGATTTTTGGCTTATGAATATTGCCCTAGATATAAATGAGACATTTACTTGTACATGTATTCAATTAACACTTAAAATCAACAATTGAAACATTTTTCTATTCCAGCATCTGAAGTACTTTACCCAGATTCATGTACGCTCCACGAGGGGAAAGAATTCCAAGGGAAGAAAGATTACAGGGATCGAACAACTACCAGGGGAGCATAAGGTACAGACTAGAACACAACATTTGGCAATCTTGAATTGTATTGTATATTGTGGGGTTGTGTGGTTAGGGTATTTGGGCCAGAGCCCAGAGATTTTTGGATGTTCTATACTGAGCTCTTAGCTACACAACCAAATGGACTTTATCTCTGATGTTGTTGTTTTTTGTTGCAGATTTTGGTGACTTCCAACGACTCCAGGGTTCGGCTGTATGACCTGCGAGACTTGTCCCTGTCCTGCAAGTACAAGGGTGGGACCAACACCAGCAGTCAGATCAAGGCTAGTTTGAGGTGAGTGTTCGTGGATCCAGAATTAGAGGACGGCTTTGGGGTTGCAGTCGTCCTCTCAGATGGGGACATAAATTTTGATAAAGCTAGCATACCTGCATAAAGGGGAGCTTTGATGGTGAGCGTCAAACCACTGCTTTAACTTTTCTACCAATTTGAGGATGTTTTTTTTTTTCTATTGTATCTTAAGTACATGTAGAAGTAGTAGATAGCTTTCAGGCTTATGCTCATTGCTCATTGCATTATACCTAGTGGTAGCCATGAAGCGTTTGATTCTTCACTAACACTAACAGACAATCTTCTTCCTGCTCAGTTACAATGGGAAGTTCATCGTGTGTGGGTCAGAAGACCACTACATCTACATCTGGAAAACTTACTACGACTACAGCAAGTTCACGTCTGTCAGGAGGGACAGGAACGACTTCTGGGAGGCCTTCAGGGGTAAGGTTTAGACTGACATGGGCATTCATGAATAGTTTCATCAGGCCACACCAATTTGATATGTGGGTTCTCTTATTTTTTCAGAAAAAATATGAAGTGACAGGGGAAAAAAAATAAAAACAGACCTAGGCATCCTATCATAGCCCCAAAATCTACTTACATGAATGCTATCCTTGGGGGAATTATTTTTGGCTACACTTACACTTGACTCATAGCAGATAAAAACATTGTAACTTAAGGTTTTGCAAAAGAGCTATTTTGAGCAATATCACAGTATTTTATTCATGTTTTAGATAATATTTTTCTCACATGTTTATGTTCTTTACAAGTGTTACAAAGGATGTGTTTAGGTAGAATTATGGATATGCGTAACTTTTAAAACTGTTTTTTCTCACCACAGCCCACACTGCCGTCGTCACCGCCGCCATCTTTGCATCCAACCCGACCGCCATTTTCTCTTCCATGGAGACCCAGTCCTCGGCCAATCAGGAGAAGGAGGGAGCGTCCAAACCGGAGCCCGGGGAGGTTCTAGTGTCCGCTGACTTCAGCGGAGCCGTGAAGGTGTTCGTGAACCGAGCTGCAAAGACCAAGCAGCAGCGCGTGTCAGAGGTACAGGCACCAATGCCGACTGCTGTAACCCAGCCCAGTGAAGCTAAACCAACCGAGCAAGACACAACAGCAAAGGAAAACGCCGGCGCTGTTCAAACGAGCAAGGCTCCGCCGAAGCCCCCCAGAGCGAGCGTAAAGGGCCCCCCTCCCTCACGCCCACCACCCCCTGTCCGCCCACCACCCCCTGCAGTGCAGAAAGCATCATCATGAAGGAGAAAAAATGTTTTAGGCTAGCTGTATGTTGTTGTTTTTATTGAGAAAAAATAGGCTAGCTTTATTGCAATATAATGGTAACCCCCTCCCCCCCACACACATACTCTTTGCCATACATGCATATGCCTGTTTTAGCCATTGATAGAATCATAGGAGTGTGATAAAAGTTTCTCGGTGGCCCAGTTTTTCTTCCCTACCTGTTTTTGTTGGGCACATTATCATTTTGTTTCACCCTCTGTCAAGCAGCCCCAAACTAGAGCAAAGACCAATGCAAATGTTTTTGAATCTTCAGTGAAAATTTCCTTTCAGGTGCCTCTATGTATTTACCAATTGCTCGTTTACACAAAATATTAGCCAATGAAAGTATAAGGCAAGGATCTTTGAAGATTTCAGAATACTAGCAATGTTAGTGTACATGAATGAAGCATTGAGAGGTTTTGAAATCTGTGTGGTTTGTGAATGATTGTATAAAGTGGGCATCTCCTGCCAAGTGGTAGACCTGTACAAGATTGATGTAATCATATGGATGTATCTCCAGCCTTTGAAAATATGTAAGACTTCAGATAACAAAGTGATGAATGTTCTGTATTGCTCAGACGTAATTGAACATTGATAGCATAAACTCCTGTCATTAAAAAAAAACATGTACAGAACATGATATACAGCAAGAGAAGTGAAATGTATGAGATAATCAACATGTAAAATACTAATAGAATATGTACAACAGTGACCGTGGATGATTTTATATGATATTAAAGCTTTTGTGGTCCCAAAGCCAGGCTACTGTACGATGACGTAGATGCATTTTCCCCATGTAGGTATATTTTGTGTTAACAGGGGCTTCACTATTATAAACAGTTGACTATTGCACTGGGAACAAGAGTCACAGATTTTTTTTCTTGGTTAAATCTAAAATGGGAAAACACGGAAACAGTTTCCAGTCTCATGATTATTCCTAGAACTGTGTGAATCTAATTCTTTTGCCCATTTGTTATTGAGTGACTCTGAAAACCAAGGAGACAGATTAGTGTGGCCTGTAAGAGGCTGGATAGCCAACTTGTTTCACACTACATTGTATGAATACAGACCCACCCCACTAACTACAGCTAGTAGCTGTTGTGATGTGCTGTGGTAAAGCAGCTGTACATGTATCTTTGTGTGACATACTGTCCAAGTGACCTCAACTACATTACAAATGGTACTTGACTGTGTCTCTATGACATGAATTTGATACCTTAATTTACAAACAGGCTTCTTTTCATGATGGAAACAAGGTCACCATTTCTGACCAGATTCAGTACTTCCAGTAATTTGTTGCCTCAGTCTTTCAGGCATTTACGGTAGCTTTATCTTGGGCTTTTATGTTTTGAAAGCATTTAATAGTTTGTCTACATCTAGATGTAGGAATGTGCAATGTTGATATAGGGGCAACCTTAAGTCGTATCTTGAGCTGATAGAAACATAGTCAGGCCCTCAGATATCCTTTGTCATTGTTTTCTCTACAGCACATAGGTTTGGTTTATCACAACTGTAGAGACAAGTCACATGGTAATTGACATACATGAAGAAGCCTTTTGACATACAGTCATACTATGTTGTTCATACGAGAGTCAAGGACGATGCTCCCAGAATTATCTTGGACAGTTTATAAAATGTACAAGTCAAGTAATACATGATTTATATTACTCAATTGGTTAACACTATAGTCATAATACAGATATGATTGACCTGAATAAGCCAGTTAATGGTTTAGACTGTGTATGTATGAGATTGAAGATGATGGTTCCCAACTTGCAAACAGTTCTTGTAACTATGATGATACTACTCTCCAAGCAGAGGTAGGGTTTTGGGGTATTTTTAGCGTGTTTTTAGGCTTTTTTATCGGGGTTTCTTTTTTGCACTGAATTTTTTTTTCCACCAAACCCCGCAGTAAAATAGTAAGGCCCTAATGACAGTTTGATGGTTCCCGGGGAGGGGCACTATCGCCTGTTTTGAATAGCTTTTAATAGGTTTGCCCCTCCCCGGGGTGAGTGCCGGCAGAGGTTGGGTTTGGTGGAAAAAAAATTCAGTGCAAAAGAGAAACCCCGATAAAAAAGCCTAAAAACACGCTAAAAATACCCCAAAACCCTACCTCTGCTTGGAGAGTATGATGATACCATGTTTTTGACTTGGGGCCTTCAACTTTGACATATTACCCACAATGCATCACATTGCATGCACAGTTTAAACCCTGAACTAGCTTATTGAAACTATAAAGTTTAAATTTTACATACTTTACATCAATATCAACACCACTTTACTAAAACATAATAGAGCCTGCATAATATTTTTCATTGCTGGACTATGAAATGATTCTGTAGACTAATGTGAAAGCTATATTTTAATGTCCTGGTACATTGTATGACTATAGCTTAAAGTAGGATGAATACCATTGTTGCTTTCACACTATGTACTAGTATCAGGTTTTAAGTTGCTGCTTTTACATAGTAGGATAAGTTAATTTTATGTTAGAGAGATGTGAGTCTGAAATTTGTCTCCATTGATACTTTCAGAAACCTTCAAAAAACATACAGGTATTACGTCTTTTCTGTGAATGCTGTTTAATTCCTTGAGTACATGCTGCATTTTTCTCAGTTTCTGTTGCAAATGAATAAAGAGAAATACTGATCTTACTGCCATGTGTACATGTACATTGCTTTTGTCTTCTTCCTCTTCTTCCTATGTATATCGCCAAACAAATGAACCTTCTATACATGTAGTACTACTAGAATCATACAATAACAAACATTGGGTGCTTCACTAGTCTTGGCCAAGAATAACTTTTAATAAAACAAAGAGAATTTTGTTGAATTAACGTTCTATCATCGACAAACCTCCCATAATGATAAGGCATAAACAGCACACTTTTTTGGTAAGTCTATATCTCTTTTATTCCTCTGATCTATTGAGAATCTAATGTGTGCATGAAGAAATATGATACAAATAGAGAGCATTTACAAACATTAGCAATGAGGAACAGTGACATACTTCCACATACAATGCAGTTAGCATGTATGTTAGCATGGTAGCCTACATATCTTTACATGTGCACATCTTTGTAACATGATGAGATGAGCAGAAATAGACTACAAAAATAACAAGACATACATACAATGAATAACAAATGTGGTACAAACTTGAAAGTGAACTTAGATAATACATGTACACCAACATGTACAAGTATGTAGCACCATAGCTACGGTCCAAAAGACTAGCTTGTATGTACAATGATAGAACAAATCGACATGTAAACTGGAGGCTGTGTAGATGGCAGATGTTCCATAGCTTCCCCCAGCTGGACTCAACACTGCTAGGAAAGGTCCTCATCATCAAATAAGTCATCAAAGTCTGCAGAAAGGAAAGAGGGCAAACAAACTTTCTCAGAATTTCAGTCATCATGATAAAAATCATGAACATCTAGTAGTACATAAACTGATCTTTGAAAGGTAGACGGAAAGAAAGAAAGAACAATATAATCTATACATCAATTTGAATAGAAGAAATGCATAAAAGACCAAACAAATTGAATACTAGTATTGTATTTTACATGCTTTATTTTGACACCTCTACAGCAAAATGTCGTGCTAAATAACAAATTATGGTCTAGCCTCACCATTGAAGAAATCTGAGTGTACTGCCTTCTCATTGGCTGCCAGCTCCATCATCAGACCACCCGACCCACCCGCCTGCCAAATATGGAAAAAAATCATGGCTGTTGCAATAAAAGGTAATCACATACTAGTAGTGTGGAAAGTAGTATCTGAATTGTATTAGTCATCTATTTGCTCAGAGTCACAAGTAGTATCTGAATTGTAAACTATTAGTCATCTATTTGCTCAGAGTCACTAAGTAGAAGATCAGTCCAGTGATGGAAAACACTCAGAGAAAATCACATGCAGGGGATACAGGAGGACAGCAATTTCTAGCACTAGTAGCAGTTACAAAAAATTTTGAATGAAATATAGCCCTTTCTTATAGAAATTGCACTGATTTACATGCCATAACTTACAGAAAGGCAACACCAGAGAGCAAGTGTTTCGATCAGTTTGGAATGAAGACCATCATTCATTTTTTTTTGAATCTTTGAAAGTCTTTGAAAGTTTGAGTTGGTCTTCGTAAATATCAAAAAATGTCCACATTTTTCCTGTTGGTCAACAATAAGTCAGTTCACAGTGTACCAACGTATTCCAATGTCAAGTACAGTTCCCTTGGAATTACTCATTTTTTACTGATGAAACCTTTTTTTTTTTAGATGTCAATAAGTGACTTTGCTGAGATGGAGGAAAATTCAGGACAGATGCCACACCAAACAACATCACACCCTGACACAGTTGTACCTGTGACAGTACACGTTCTTGCTCCCTGTAGTTGCCCTCTCTAGTATCAGTATGATCTCTCTCTCCTGTATCCTCAACAATCTCTTGTCCTGAGTTTCCCCTGAGTTTCAAGAGGTTCTCGAAGTGTTCGGAGGCAAACGTGGTTATATCTGTGGGCCTGTTCCTGACCACTTCTGCAGTCAGACCTTCCAGTAGGTCCAGAAAACCCGGGGGCACTCCGCGGAAGTTCATGGCTCAAATTTCCTTCGTTCAAAGGAAAAATAAGAGTTGTCTGGGAAGTAGCTTGCTTTTTTTATGTCCCATATCAATTGCACGATGTAACATTACATAATGCCTGATATCCATCCAAGTCACAAAAATAGTTAAAACTCATCTTCCAAAATATTGTCATTGTTGACACCTACAGACCAGGAAAGACATTAAATACATGGATACTTAAATGTTTCATGAGTATCATAAAATTTATGATATGATCAACAGGCTAAGTGTGGGAGGGGGGCTACTGTGACATCGACCTCTTGATTTTTGTCAAATCTTTTGTTTTCAGAACACTTGTCTTATCTCTGAGAGAAATTTGTTGCACTGATGACTAGGAGATTAAGTATACTTTTTGCAAAGGTTGGTCATAAAATTTTGGTTGCTGGTTTGATGTCGCCCCCCTCCCCACAGTGATTTTCACGGAAGTTTCGTAATATATTCCCGTTTTTAACTACTTAGTGGGTCTATTTCTGTTCACAAATACCTCTTCCAGATCCATGAAGGACCCAGCTCCTTCTGGGAACATTTCATCGGCTACAACAGCGGGCTTCATCTTCTTCATAATACTTTCGTGGACTGTGAGTGTGATGTCTGTATGTCCGCTAGGCGTCACACTGTCGGCAATGTTCGCCGCACGTTCGGGAATCTTCGTACGATCCCGACCCAGTCCGAACTTCCGATCGGTAACTTTCGGGTCCAACTTGGCCTGAGATACTGTAGCCTGAGACAATCAATTAATGATACATACGAAATCACTTTACCCTTTGAAAGGAAAAATTAAATGGATCATCACTATGAGTTACTTCTTAACTGATGCCTGACGCCCAAACTTAAAAAAAAAGTTGACAGAAATCTGCCCAGAGATGAAAGATGGAGTTTGTTTGTTTTCATCGGCAATGACCATCTAAGTACAAAAAATGTAGTTCATGTTTCTAGTAATTTTTCCATCCACTAACGACATCATGTGTGTGCCAGTTTCGATACTACTAGTAGTTTCGTGGCTAGTAGGCCTACTAGGGATAATGTTACCAGACATAGGCTAGTTTCACAATAGCATGACCTTTCTGTATTTCTCATTGCTTGTCTCGGTTTTATTTTGTTTTGTCATATAATTGCAATATGATTTGGCCAAAGTGGTAAGAGATATGACTGAAAATAACCAGTAGCAGTGGCGTTCTTAATATGACCGCTAGATGTCGCCACTGCATATGTGGGCAACCATGTGACGTAATCATCACCGTCACATGACAGTCATGGCTAGCCGCTGTTCCAAGTATTGACCTAACACAATACTTCCCAGTATTTCTTTTATTTAAGATAATTAAAGGCATAATACAGCACCTATATTATATAACCAAACCTCAGTTGATATCAAGATATGTAATTTGTGAGTGTATATAACTATATCGTCATGATAATGAAGTTTTATGGTTTTTAGAAAATCTAAGGGGAGGGAGGACTGATGTAAGAGCCACCCAGCATCCTTTGCTCCGGACTAGGCAGTACTCCTGGCAGGTAGTGTCGTACCAAAGGGAAGTGAAAACATGAACTTCAAGACGATTTCCGTGCTCTTGGCCATCGTCACGGCGGTGTGCGGTAAGGAAGGATACCCCTTGTCTTAAGGCGAAGGCGTTTTTACAAATCATGAGAGCGTATGCTTGAAATTCTGCATTTCGCACGTAGAGTTACGTAGCACATTTTCACGTGACAAGGCGCGCTCTCTGCCAAGAAGGGGGAGGGTGTGTGTGCTGTGCACATATGCAATCTTTGCAAGTCAAAAAGTCAGCAATTTAGACATGTAGAAGTGGACAACACGAACGATTTGCAGTCGTCTCTTTCTATTTCTTTGATTTCTGTATCTCTGACTTGTTGACAATCCAAAATGGTGGAAATGTTGTAGGTGTGGGGAGGCTAAAGCCCTTTGAACTTTTCCATGTCACATGGTCTTGATGCAACTCTATATGTAATAGCAGGTGGGGACAGTCCGTTATTCGTACGAGAGGGTGTGCCCAACCGTCTAAATGAGTGATAATGAAGAAACCCTTGCCCAAAAGTGCTATAACATGTACATGTACTTGATTCATCAGAAAGTTGTATTATACCTTATGTGGCTTTCAGATGGAAGCAAAAGTAATATATGCATTGGTCTAGTAGTGATAAATAGGTTTGTGTACAGGCAGACTTTATACAGGTGGTTCGCCTACATTTGTACCCGTCCACCGAAAGCGTACAAAGCACAAATGCCATCCAGTTTCGGTGCTAACTAATGACAAACCTCTGTCACTACTCCGAATTCGTCTGAAACGCATGCCTGTACTATTTGCAGTAAAACAACAGTCTTAAGTATACTTGTACTTTGTAGGATGTGTTTTGGCAACTACGTAGCCGTGTGTTACTGTGTACTATGCAAACCTTGGCAAAACGTGAGGTCAGAAGTACAGTCAGGGTGACAAAGTCTGATTTTTGTGGGTAGACACAGTGCAACGGCAATGACTGTCGCTGAAAATTATTAGATCAGGACAGGTTGTCTTTCTTGATTTGTAAAAAATAAATGGTTTCTTGTGCAATGGCAGCTGTTGGGTTAAACTTAATACCAAGGAAACTACCATAAAAACATCCACACACCAATTTCCATTGTCGGAAACATTTTCTTAACTTACTACCCCCAGAAAAGCTGACTAAACCAGCAAAAAGGTCTTTTTTGGGGTTTATTAAAAGAATTGAATTTAACATATTTAGAATCAAAACTTTACTTGAATTCTTTAAGCTATGAACCAAGGTCAGCATACCATGGTACTAAAAGTAGTAAAACCTTTCCAGACCTCTAAATCTGGCCCCTATCCAAACATTCTTACTCATGCTCATATGACTGTCAGCTAATTGCAGCTTTTATGCAATGGTCAGGATAAATTCATTACATATTTACCTTCAATGGATTTGCTACCACATGTGCCAAGCCTTTGAAAACATAGATTAGTCTACTTGTACATTACTCAGTAGACCCTTAATCATACAGAAGTCTAGATTAATGAAATTATAATAGTTTTCTCATGACTGAGGGCTAAATTGCAAGGGAACACTTCTATGTGGTACCACTACTACTAGACAATATACCCCTTAAGGACATACTGTCTAGAGGTAACTCACAGGATATAATTTTGATAACATTATCAAGGGAGACCATTTCTACCTGGTATATTTGTTTGAAAACACCTCAGGTTTTTGTTTTAGATCCTTGTTCCCCTATAGAACATTTGTCTTCCTATACCAGCTGTCATGAGCAAATATTGTAGTTCCTGAAATGCTGTTTACTTTGTTTTCAAGTGAAAAATGACCTGTTTTGTGAGGACTCAAATACCCACCTCACCACCTGCAATATGCCCAGAATTCTTGACATTGCAGACAAAAGTATAAAACTAAATAAAGTACTTGGAATTTTCCGACATGAGAGAGAGTAGCGGTTTACTAGTACCGGTAGTAGTAGGAATCATGTACTGTAGAAAACAGATGTATTATATAAAAATGTATTTATCTTGACCCAGAAGGTAACGATGTGTCACCTGCCTAGTCATGTGAAAGTGGTTACTGACCCAAAAGTACTAGTACTAGTTCTTACAATTAAACACAGACCTCTCCATAAATTAATGCCATACTACTGTTTCATAGATACTTCATAAGTGATCTGTGATAATTGCTGAGTGTCATAAACTCATATTAATACGGTAACTTGTGTGGTTGCCTGTCATGTTTGTCATCAGTTAAATGTAGATGTCTCCTGATATATGTCAAGGTTTGAATTTAGGGGACATGTTACAATATGTTTGTCCTTCAGACAGACTTACTAGTATGTTTGTTTCCAACATTTTTAACATATTTAAATGACTGATTATACAAATGGTAATCAGTAGAATATTTGGATCTTAGCTACTATACGTATGTTATATTGTATTCTAAAGTAAGCCAAATTCCTCCAAAGCATTTTGAAATGACCTTGGTTGAGCTAAGTACAACATGTATATCTAAATAATGGCACATATTTTTCTGACACAGCTCAAGCAACGACCAACCCTTATGAACTGAAGGATGGCGACGGCAAGACGTGCTTGAGAGCAGACATGGCCCTCACCATCCAAGTCAACTACACCAAGTCTAACCAGCAGGTCAGTCTAAAGAGTGGATCAGTCCTCTGTTCTTCAGGCATAAAGAGTAACATACATTGAAAGGTTGCATAAGTAACACTAAATAATATCCTAGTAATTGGTCATTAGATAATTATCCTGATGAAGGCAACAGTGTCGTTGAAAATTTGATCTCTGTGTACCCATTGTGTTGGAATAAAGTTCAACATTTTACTATGATATTATTAATATCCTAGTAACCTATGGTCTTTCAAGACTTGCTTTGTTTGATAACCAGAATTTTTAATATACAGACAAACTAGTTGTTGAGACCACTTCTACTTTTGGACCATCTGGTCACTTAACCCTACATGTATAAAGAATAAACCCATCACCTCTCTACTGAGACCATTTTCTTAAAGTTCCTTGTGGTTGCTTTTGGACTGGCTTGCCTATACTAGTTTACATATAATACTGAATGGCTGTTCATTTCTTAGGAGCCTGCCATCTTTCAATGGGCGCTGCCCGAGTACAACGCGACCGACCCCTCCACAGTCGTCGTCGGTGGCAGCTGTGCAGCAAACGGGACAGCAGAGCTGACGCTGTCCACCCCTGCAGGCAGCACCAGTGTCAGCATGACCTTCACGATGGAAGGTGATCAGACCTACCTGTCTGGTGTTGAGCTGTCCTACACGGAAGATCCCGACGTCTTCGTCAACACTACAAAACCAAGTAAGGAGTACATCTGTGTGTTCCATTTTGTCCAAACATGATTGAAAATGAGCACCATTTTATAATGGATTGTACACTATACAATGATAAGCGCCTATTGCTGTTCACCTTTCTTTCCGCTTGTTCAATTGATTTCAATACGTCAGATGCTATAGATAAATGCAACTACATTCTCAGGGGAGATAACCAATACAGTGTTCAAATAGGAAAATACATTAAAGAATGTTTCGATCTTAGAGACCACATGTTAGAGAATAGTTAACCTTTATTGTTACATCATACATATACTCTGTACGTAAGATGACGTTATCCACACATGTATTTAGCTTTGTTAGATCTTGTAGACGACCATACAAAAGTCTCTGTACTTTTTTGTTGTGTCAATAAAGAATCTCTGTGTTTCCTGAGATGACAAGATGTTAGGAAAAAATTAGGCCTAGGAAAATGTTGCGTTTCCTGTTTCAGTCCTAAAAAAATTAGGGTCAGTACATAGGGATTATCTTTGTTTTATTATTAGACTTTGGCAATCTCTAGTGATCCAGCTTATATTATACAAGACGGTTTAACAAAGTATCATGATCATGAAGCTAGAAATGGTCGGGCAGCTTGAAAAATTTATGTCCCTTGAAGGGGTCCACCCGAAAAAGGATAGAGTTGGCAGTTTTTCTAGGGTCGGTCAGGAAACAGGAAACAACTTTTTTCCTAGGCCTTATCTGTCAGTACAGAGGTTTTGTTTTGTGTGTGCCTGTTTGTGTGTTTATTTTATGCTTCCATATAGTTATTTCTACATGATTCAGTTTTCTGCTATAAGGAATTCTCTTAGCCTATGGGAGCTAATGCATAGGGTCAGTGAGAAATTCTGGATTATTGTACTGATGATTGTCAGAAGTTTTCCAGGACAAAACTGGATGTTGACAGTTTACAAATGCCTTTTGTTCTTTATTTCACAGATAACAACGTAACTGTGACCAAAACTGATCTGAAGGAATTTGAAGCACCAGCTGGGAAGGCGTACAAGTGTAACAACGAGGGCAGCCTGCCCCTGGATGAAGCTGGGGCCTTGCTAAACCTGGCCGATGTGAAGGTCCAGGCCTTTGGGTACAACAACACCTTTGGTGATGGTAAGAAAAACTACAGTTGTACCATTTTCACGGATGAAAATATTGTGTGTGTGCACCTTAGCACCGGTAAACTTGGGGCTGTGCAGGTATATCTGATTTCTACCTGCACGGGTCCATGTACTTTTTTTTCTGCATTGACAAATAATGAACCCAACAATCTTATCGAGTAGGGATGACCTGCTGTGATTGGTTGAAAACATAAGCAGTATCAAAGCCAAGTTACACTATTACTGGATAGTATTATCATACTTCATCTCTGTTGAGGATGATTTACCTTACGTTGTGATATTTTAAACTTTCCAGTTAAGGAATGTGAGGCTGACATGACTACCACCCCTGCTGGCAATTCCACCATCAATCCCAACGCAACTACCATCATGCCAACCACCAAACCACCCCCCACCACACCCACACCCAAACCCGAGGTTCCCCCACAGAACAACTACACCCTGACCAGTGACGGAAAAGTCTGTCTCATGGCGCTCATGGCTCTGCAGATTGAGGCAAACTACACCAAGACTGACGGAAAGGTATGTATGATTTTAAAACATTCTTCCTTTGTTCTGATACAGTTTGTCACCTCAGGGTTTTCTTATCAGTGCTTTTGTTTGTGTGTTTGCTTGTAAAGAGGCAATGTTAGCAAGTTGAATACACAGCAACATGGACAAAAGCTATATGTAAGAATTATGACAGAGCAATCACAATATACACGTTTGCCATTGTTTTTTACATTATCCTTTACATATACCTTCAACAAACATGAATGGTGAATAAAAGGATGAAATTTTCTCCATGTTGTTTGATTCTAAGCATACAGTATTTTGACTTACCACTTGGGCAACACGTGACAAGGTTTATTTCTGATTGTGATGTGTGTAAATCTTGCTCCATTGTAGGAAGGGTCTGCGAAGTGGAATGTCCCAGCTAACCCGGCCGTGTCTGGAACCTGCGGGAACGACACGTCTGTCCTGACGCTGACATACGACGGGACCGCCTCCAACATCACCATCACCTTCACCAGGTCCGGCGCGAACGGCCTGCTGCAGGACGACGGCAAGTTCATGGCCTCCGCTATCGCTGTGGTCTACACGGAAACCTCCGCACGCTTCCCAGAAACCAACAGCAGTGGCGTCGGTAAGACAAACTGTGTATCTTGGTTGGTTGGTTTTCCTTCAATGCCCACGATCATGATAATGATCGTTCTGACATAATATTCACCTGAGTGAAGTGAGGAAAGTCATGTTATTGTTAAGTGCCTTTCCCAAGGTCATAAGGTTGGTGACTTGGCAGGATTCGAACTTGGGACCTCTGGGTTCTGAGCAGAATGCTCTGTCGTATATTTGTAGTACAAAGGTAGTAAATCTCTTGAATGTTTTGTCCCCACAGTGCGCACTGTGTCCAGCACCAACCTGACAGCGTTCGAGGGTTCCGTGGGCAGCTCCTACAAGTGCATGGCTGAACAGGACGTGACTCTGTCTGACACCGTCATGCTCATCGCCACAGACGTCCAGGTCCAGCCGTTTGGGCTGACTGATAACAACTTTGACACAGGTTTGTTCTTGGAAATGATATGTTCTTTCGTGGTTCTTCAATGTGTGCACTACAGCTACAGTGTACAATGTTTTAATCTCCAACCAAATTCGTTTGGAACATGGTTAAGTTTTCTGATTTACTTTTTTTTCTGACAGTACTCAGTCACAGACCATAGAGAAAATGTTACGATTTTCCACTCTAAAAACTCCTCTAGCTAGGACGTTAGTGTTTTGTAGTCAGCCAGTATTTGTTAGATTATAGTGTAGTGTACTTGCCATGAGTGAAAAGAAATTGCATGCTTACCCATTTGAGTGTAGTATATACTCTTCACACTATGTTTTTGAAGTAGAAAAAAAACGCTGTTTTCTTTCCCCCTTGTTCAGCTGAAGAGTGCCCTGCTGATAATGAGATCAGCAACATCGTGCCTATCGCCGTGGGCTGCGCCCTGGCCGGCCTGGTCGTCATCGTACTAATAGCGTACCTGATCGGACGGCGCAAGAGTCACAAAGGATACCAGCAGGTGTAACGGCCACAACGATGTACAAATTCCTCTTAATTATTCTGATGTTCTGATGAAGTTTCTGGCACTGTCTCCAAACAACAGGAGCTTTTGCTGTGTGTGGTTCACAACAACATTGAACTTGTCTTCAGTTACAGCTGGCCACTGTAGTAACTTTTCCAAAACACACTGTCTACTATGTCCATGACTCGGATGCCAACTACAAACTCTTATGATACCCTGCATTATTCCTGTAAAATACACCGGGCATAAGGTGATGCCTTGTTGTTGCTTCATGACTGTATATGTAACAATCTACCACACACTCCTCCTGTTGTTTGGAGACAAACCAGAGCAGTGCACCTGTCAGTGTAAATTTTACGAGGGGATGAGGGGGTGGTGAGGGGTTTGGACATCCCCTACGTGCCCCCAAGGGTTTGCAGTGACTGCTGCACGATGTGAAGGGGGATGCCAGAGGACTGTAAATACCAAATGATACTTTTCCTGGGCTTTTGATATGAAATGCTGCTACAGGAGCTAAAAAGCTGAGAGAAAAAAAAGGATAATTCAGAAATTCAAGAAAAAAAAGGCAATATTGATCCAGCAAAACTGGAGACAAGTTTTCTTGTGTACAGTTTTTGATAATTGCTGCTGTCAGTTGTGCCCTGAAATTCCTCATGAAAATCATTTGTGCTCATATAGAAAAAGTCAAGTGTCTTATAAGCAGGACTAAACAACTGACAGCTTCAAAGTACTAGTAAAAGTAGCAGATTCTGGAAGACATGATGAGATTTCGCCTTGGTGAAAGTCAAAAGTAATCTGTATGATTTTGTATATTAGAATTAGGAGATGGATCTAGTTTGCTAAGCATTGTCATTGACAAGAAAAACCACTTCTCTAGTCATCAAAGTGACTAGCAGGGTTTGGGCAACTTTCTCAAAGAAATACCAGGGGTGAATACAGGGGTAATATGGTATGATAGAACTGTGAAGTATTTGTAAATGACAGGATATCCACTTGTGCTGTTTCTAAATCCAGTGAAGGAAGGTTTAGTTGGTAGTTTCTTTGTAAACGTCAATGTCTCAAGCTAATAAAGAAATTTATCCAAATATGTGTTGAATTTATTACAGCATTTTGAAAATGCTAACAATGCAAAGTATCATATGTAGGGATGAGAAAGACTTGAATGTGATTGTAATGATAAAACAATGACTTAAAAGGCAAATGTGATAATACTTTGTATTGTTAATTTATGAAATATAAAGAAAACATTACAATTTACAAGGAAAGCACATCAATACTGCAAGTTATTAGAGAATTGTAGCAGTTTCAAATGATTACAATTTGATGTTTTAGTTGTATATTTTATGTCTTTACCATTCTCGTGATTATGCTCTGTAATAGTTGGTGACAAAACTTGAGTACTTCATTCAATTATAAACTGTAGTATTCATCTTGGCATGTAGAATCCTAGAAGCGCTTTAGAATTTTGGTAGTGAATCGTAATATGCTTTGTTGTTTACTTTGTCAATTTATGGGGATAGGTCTAAGATTATGTTATCGGAAGGGGTTACTATTAGGATTTCAACGTTTCATTGAATACCACAACTTAGGTACATTTATGCAGACTTCAGATGATATTGTTCTGTAATTATGCTTGTGTGAAAGTACCAAAGCTTCATTAACTCATCAGCTCGGCATTTCCTATGTCTACATATCCGGTATTGCTTGAAATTGTACGTGCAAAATATTGCCGTTTCAATATAGACTTGGGATGGTCACGTTTCTGTTTCATCCTTTTGCAGCATTTGTTTTTTTTACCTCAAGCAGTCTTTGCCTGTTTTCTCTTTTTTGGGGATATACAACATAACTGCAAAAGAGAAGGGTCTTACAGAAATCACTGTGTGCATGCACTGGGTATTGGCATTTTTGGTTCTTACTGGAAGCAGTCCGTACTACATGTAGCAAGGTGATGGATTAATGTGATCTCTTGATAAAGGGTAACTTGGCGGGAAGAAATTAAAGGAGAAAAAATCCAAAGAACAGTCTTCTGAAGTTGCTAGGAGACTCATACACGACACACTTAGTAAAGACAGAGTCAGTATCTTGATCAAGAGATTCCATTTATTTTCTGCCATCCTAGTAAATATTCTCTTTAGTATCACCGTACCCTAACTTTCCTCACACAGAATTCCTTGTTCGCTCATGTTCTGTGCCTTTACATTCAGACTAATTTTGGCTACATTGCTGAATCAGCTTAACTAATAAGTGCCCTAGCCTGGCATCTCTTTGTAGAACAGCCTTTTTTCAATGGCAAGGCCTCCTGCTATCCTCACTGGCTCAAGCAGAACCGTTATTTCTTGCTTCACAACTTTTTGTATCTCCTTTAATACTCTGCTTTTTTTTTTACCAAGCTAACATACATCATGTCTTAAACATGATCTCTATAGTCAGCTATTTTTTCTTATTTTACTCATATAAAAAATACAAGACATCAGCCTTACAAATCAGCCCATCAGGGTGATTTAGTATGGTGGCTAGTAGAGCCCTCAACTTGGCTCCAACTCTCTAAGGCAGTGCTTTGCCATAAACCTCTTGTCTCTTACAATATCAGGAATTTTCACATCGAATTTCCAGAGACTTCCCTACTAGAGGCCACAACTTGGCCCCAACTCCCTATGGCTGTACTTTGCCATTAATCAATTATCTCTTACAATGTGACAGTGGAATTTTCAGATTCCGCAAAGTACCCTAGTAGAGCCCTCAACTTGGCCCCAATTCTATACAGCTGCCATAGAACCTCGTCTCATACAGTGATTGGAATTTTTAAATTCCAGACTTCCCTACTAGAGCCCTCAACAAGTGGCTCCAACAACTATATGACTTACTTTGCCATACCTCTTAATCTCGTACAATGCAAACTCCTAGCCTGTGTTACAGTCAATGTGCGCATTCAGGATCTGATCAGATCACTAATAGATAATATGCAGCGCAATTTCTATGTCCCTTCTGCTACAATTCCCATTAAGGATGGAAGTTACTCCATGGTCCACTGTACCTCGTTGTGGATCTTCCCTAGTCCCCAAACTTCCAATGCTTTCCACGGCTCAAGTATCTAGATACAGTACTTGACCTGTGTGTTTCACACTTGTTTTATAGTTACTATGAAACGCATGAGCTTTCCTTACAGCTCAAGTATCCCATCTATCATTTTACATACTGTTTGATCTTCTTTACAGTATCACAGTATAAATTATACTGTAATACTGTAAAGAAGATCAAACAGTATGTAAAATGCAGCCTTACGCCTTAAAAGCTTGCCTGTCCAGTACATAAAGTGCTTAAACTTACAGAACAGTATACTGGGAAGTGTGCTGACCAAAACAAATGGTAAGATGGTAAAAGATACTGACAATACCACTTCATGTACATGCCACTATTACCAGTACAATGGATGTCTAATAATATACACAAACGTGATGACACCAAGGGACATGCAACGAAAGCAAAATGTTTTGCACATACATTTACAGCATGTGCTGACTGTACATACTACATACTGCATACTGGTAACATAAACAGTTATTTTTTTGGGTTTTTAGCTTTTTTTAATTTTTTCTTTGGAACAGAGGGCTTTAGTACACACTTGGCAATATGTCAAGCTTGTTGGTCTTTCCTGCCACTATGTTCCTTTTGTCTTTTTAGGTTACAGTTAACACAAATTTCTGTCCATGTACCTGACTGCATAGTTATTACACAAAATCTTTTAAACATGTCACATGATAACAATTAGAAGTGAATTAACAGTGTACCCCGGCAGATCTTAGCTTAGCGGCAGCGGATCTTGTTGCAGAAGCTGCGGCCCTTGCGCTGGATCCACTTCTTCAGTCTCTGCAGTTTGGACTTCTTCTGAGTGGAGGCAGAGCTCTGCAGGATCACCTCGCTGGCCTGTTCGTGGGCAGTGGACTCTCCGTGATGGTCATCCAGGTCCATCAGCTGAAAGGTCAGTGGAAATTTGTTGTGGTCAGTTTTAATGACAAGTGAGACACGAAGGGATTGTAGTTTTGTTTCAAGAAAGCTATTCTTCCAGTGGTTGGGAAAACATGGTACAATACGATGTGACTGGGTGAGTTAGTGAGTGATGAAACTGTGTTTCAGTCGATTTGTAACTTCCTTTCTTGGCATCTATGTAGGTTCACATCAGAAAATGTATAAGAAGCATGACAGTGCACATAAATACCTCACAGAAGCAGATGTTTGAAAAAAGATGTAGTGAGCACCATATTATGTTCCTGTACTTACCTCAGATACTGCTGTGGCAAATGAGTCAGTAGAAGACAGGCTGGTGGTGTCGCTGTGCATGCTGTCATCCTTAGCACCAGATCTAGACTTAGTGAACATCCAGGGCCACGTGAGCCAGAGGTTGTCCGGGTCGTCATAGAAGGGTGGATTTTCTCGGCCCGTCGCGAAGGAGAGTCGGTCGATGTCATCAGACATGGCTGACACTCTGTCAGCAGACATGGTGGACGCTCCCTCAGCAGCAGTGGATCTCTGCTTGTCCGTGTCAGTCGACATGGCCAACACTCTGTCAGCAGACATGGTGGATGCTCTCTCAGCAGCAGTGGATCTCTGCTTGTCTGTGTCAGTCGACATGGCCGACACTCCGTCAACGCTCTGGATCCCATACAGGCTGGACACGGCACGGCGAAGCTCGATGACCAGGCTCGTGTCAGAGGTGCACGTCTCTGCTGATGACGTGGTCACATCTACGCTGGCCCTCCTCCTGAAGACATGCACGAAAGAAAGTTCACAGTGTCAAAACAGTCTGCTCCAGACAAATACAAAATTCATGGCTCTGCCCCTGAGGCATTGCCAAAAAATATCCATCATTGATCAGTCATGTTCCTTCACAACCTAACATTTTACTAGATTGCTCACCTGTGGATTGCTTCTTGTGGCTGAGGAGCAGGTGGAATGATGTACCCCATCTTCTCCAGATGAGCCATAGTCTTACGGTACCTCTTGTGGAACTTTTCCGCCTTCTTGAATGCGCGCCGCAGTTCCTTCAACGCCTCACTGTAGTAAAGACAACACATTAGTAAAACTTATGTTACACCTGGGGAAGATCAACTCAGGAAAAATTGGTTAAACATGTTATCCTATGGCTTTATCTAGATAATGAACAATATTGCGCCTTCTTTGCAATTATTTTGCAATGTGTAGAAATTTCAGATGACTGTTATACTAAAATCACAAATACATTCATGTAGCAATCATTACAACAGTAGTTTGGACACACACAATGTTATATTCACTATATGCAACTATCCACCTACCCCCACTCCTTGTTGATGCGCTTGAACCCTGCCGTCTTTGAGTCGATCGAAGCTCGCATCAACTTCACAAGTCGTTCCAGCTCCTGTCTCATCTCCTGGAACAACAAAAGAGAATACAATGACTTTCATTCAGAACAAACTTTTCTTGGCATCTGATTGCTTGCTTGGCAAACTTTGAGTCATACAAATTTTATTTTCAAAACACAATAGAAATGGACAACACACTGTCTTCATAGAACAGAACAACAAACATATTTTACCTCTAGGTTCTCCTCAGAAGACACTGCAGTCGGCTCTGGGACTGTGGGGAGGGATGGAGTACGTCCCTCTGCTGCTGGCAGCTTGTCAGCAGTCTCACCACTGCCCGACACTCCGTCGGCGGTCTGGATCTGGTAGAGGCTGGACGCGGCACGGCGAAGCTCCATGACCAGACTCATGTCAGAGGTGCGCGTCTCTGCTGATGGCGTCACCGCATCCAAGCTTGCCCTCCTACATGAAGAAATGCAAAGTTCACAGTGTCCAAACAGATAGAAAATAGATAGAAAATTCATGGCTCTGCTCCTGAGGCGTCAATAAAAATATCCGTCATTGATCAGGTATGTTCCTTCACAACCCAAGTTTTTGATAGATTGCTCACCTGTGAGGTGCTTCTTGTGGCTGAGGAGCAGGGGGAATGATGTACCCCATCTTCTCCAGACGAGACATGGTCTTACGGTACCTCTTGTGGAACTTGTCGGCCTTCTTGAACGCACGACGCAGTTCCTTCAGTGCCTCACTGTAGTCATGACATGTCAGTACAACTCATGTTACACCCTGGGGAGGTGCAGCTCAGGAAAGAATGGTTAAACACACTTTAACCTGTGACCATCTAGGTGATAAACATGATTCATCCTTATTAGGACAATTTGCAAAGTACCATGTGTAGACCTTTTACAGATGACTGTAATGCTAAGATCACAGATGCACTAATATACCAATCATTGCCACAGCTCTCCAGGTACAATCTTGTCTCAATGAAGAAATCTCCTGGCTCCTACTTACTTCCACTCCTTGTTGATGCGCTTGAACCCTGCCGTCTTTGAGTCAATTGAAGCTCTGAGCAGCTTCACAAGCCGTTCCAGCTCCTGTCTCATCTCCTGCAACAAAAAGAAAAAATACAATGCAGGTCGACTTTCACTCAGAACAAACTTTTTTTGGCATTTGATAGTTTGGTTGAAAGATTGCTTGGTTGACTCAGGACATGGTTTCAAATTTTGAGTCGTACAAATTTTATTTTCAAAATACAATTGTAATAGACAATACACTGTCTTCATAGAAAAAACAATGCACTGTATTCATAGAAAAAACAACATATTTTACCTCTAGTTTCTCCTCAGAAGACATATCAGTTACCTCTGCAGCCATGGGGACTGATGGAGTACCTCTCTCTGCTGCTGACAGCTCCTCAGTCTCACCACTGTCCACACCACGGATGGACGCAGCCTCCGCATCACGGAACTCCTCCTCAACTTCATCCAGCAGTTCATCAACCCTGGCGGCTGTCTCCACCAGCACTGCCGTACTCTTACTCTCACCATCTCCTGCCTCCAGCTGTGAGATGCATCAAGTTTTGTTTCTGTAGGTTCTTGTACATCTTATTAGTGAGTATAACATGTAAAGTGTTTGAGATAAATCTATAACAAACTGCTGTAGATGTATTGCACCTATTGTGTCACTTTCATAAGTGTGTACATGGTGCATTTATTTAGCACCAGGGACAGGTCCCTTCAGCTGTGTGAATGGTGTGTTCAGCACCAAGGACAGGTCCTTTTAGCTGTGTAAATGTTGAGTTCAGCACCAAGGACAGGCTCGTACTTCTATGAAGTACAGTGCACATAATACAGAGCAGAAAAAAAGAAGAGTCTAGTGTTATCTAATTCTTATAGAACACTAAAATCATTCTAAATAGTTACTTTAGGAGAAAGACTAAAAAATCTTCAAACGTTTAAATCTTCAAACGTTCATGGTGCTTCCATGTCCTTTATGTCCCCGTGAACATTAAACACCACAAACACATCCTTTTAATGTTTTGTCCTCTACTGGGCCTTCTATTCTTGAATAAGTTCACAGTATATATTGCCAAAGGGAAACAATCTAAATGATGATACTACTGACCTTCTCCTTCCCATCTCCTTTGTCTCCACCACTCAGCAGGTCCAAACTACGAACAATCGGCACCCTCTTCATAAAATCCTGTAGTAAACAAAGGTAATAACAGCACTCAGAACATGACGAACATGTAACATTTTTTTTCTATCTTTCATTTTGAGGCAGCCGCCTTCAACTAGCTGAAGATTCTGCTGCCTTTTTGTGGCTAATATGAGATGGGGTTCGCCAGGCCTCCATCCAGGAAAGTCGTGTAAAGTGCATTTCCCAAGGGCACATGATAGGTGACATGGCAGGGTTCGAACTCGGGACCTCTTGGTTCCAAGCAGAACACTCTGCCATTACGCCACACGTATGTATACAAGGAATCATAGTATTAATTTAACATCATTGTAACACTGTGTACATCATGCTAGAATACTTCAACCATTTAAATGATATGACATAAGTTAATAAAAAAAGTATAGCAGAACATCCAAGTATAGAAACATAACATTTAACAGATCATTTAACAAATCTGTCAAAGCTATCGAAGACGAAGTCAATCCTACAAGTATAACAGTACATACAACCATAATGTTAACAGTAATAAGTCTGATCAAATGTAACAGTTCTTGCTTTAAGTCATCAATGCTGACAAATATCTTCGTTACATTGAAGAACACGTTTACGTAGCAGTCATTTAGTTAAAGAATCTAACTAAAAAGTTTAAGTAGTTATTGGTGATCTAGTATCTAACATTAGAAGGTTAAATCTTCTAATGTCATACAAAGAACTCCTTGTATAGTGTACAGTATACAGTATATTGATAAGTATTACAGAACATACAGCCATAATGTTAACAGTAAGTAACATGTCTCTTAAAACAGTTGCTAATAGACTTATTAATGCTAACAATATCGTTACAGTTAAGAACAAAAGTTGCGTATCAGATAAACTAAGTTAGGCCATGTTGATTTGATTATATGGATGACATCCGCGCGCGCATGAATTTTCGGCCGTTTCCAAAAAAAAAAGTTTTCAACCATACTGTAAATCGAACAAAACAGTTGCAAAATGAGCAAAGACATACCGTAAGTTGCAAAAAATGATACCACTGTCTTAGAATGCCAAAATCAAACCAAAAAAGACGAAAATGTAAAGAAATGAATTTGAAGACTAGATTATTCGCCAAACCATACTCCGTTCAACCTTCAAAACCACGTAGATTTCATAATGAAAACAACTTTTTTTTTTAGCCAAACTTTTTTTTTATTCGCACGCTCGCATCAATTTTGGGGTTCCCAGAGGATGTCATCCATATAATCAAATCAACATGGCCTTATTTACTAAAAAAAAGTTAAGTAGTGGTGATCTAGTATCTGACTTTAAAGTACATTTTAGAAGCTTGAATCTTCTAACTACATACAGTACTTCTTGTATATTACACCGTATACAGTGCATGTATATTGACTCTTTTTTTGTTGTTGTCTGTTCTGTAACAGTTACAAGTTTTCCTGCTCACCTTGAGTCCCAGCCATGGCTCGCTGCTGACCGTGGGCCTGCCCTGGTCCACCTCGGGGGAACCGTCCGGTCCTCCCGCAGACTGAGCCTTTCTCACGATAGCTGTATCCTCCATCTTTACTTCGGTGGAATACTCGTCCACGTTCTGAGCAGGCATACACCGGTGTTACTGGTGTCCATGGGCGAACCATTGGCAAGTTTTTGTTCAGTGTTCACCCCCCCCCTCCTTCAACACCAAGTCTACAGTCCATCCTCACACAGTCGTTCTCTCCAACAATTCTGCTTTTTATCAACGTATCGGTGCTTCCCATATCACACATTTTGCCCCTTAATTCCCTTTTTGACTGACGTCTGTCGTAGTATCCTTTCATAATCCCTCTAAACTTGTAAAAACGTCTCAAATCGCAAAAAAAAAGCCCGTTCGGCAGCGTTTGTTGAAGCCTATGTTCTTAGAAAGCTACCCAACGCATGCGCACGTGGTTCCATATTCCCGGCATGCACCGCGGCTAATTACCAAAAGTTTGCAACTATGACGTCACATTGGCTACTTCGCTTTTTGTTACTTGACGTAAACTCAAGACCTAGTGCAATTTGACCCCACTAACTACGTAATACGTGCAGTATACAAGTATCTGTATATTTCTCCTCAGTTAAAACTATTAGAATGTTAACTCTACGATAACTATCAACAGTTCTAAGCACAGAATAACTTAAACGTATTCAAAAATTATAAAATCATCCTTACTTTGTTGGTAAAAATGGTTCAAAAAAGAGTTCAAAAGTACTTACCGTATAATCTCGAATTGAATGAAGGTTTAGGCGAAAACCAAACCTTTTCTTCCGCGAATAAGCGACTCGATAAGTTCTCTAACCAAGAGCGGTTACTTGCGTACCGTCTTTTGTAGAGAATTTTCAATAATAAGCGAAAAACTGACGAAAATCTTGGAGCGCACAAGATGACGTCTGTACCTCAGGACTATATGCACTGAGATGGACTTTTCTATTGTGCGTCGTTCTGAGCATGCGCTGTTCGAGCTACTGTATTGTGTGGCGTTCGACTGTTTTATGACGTTATAAAGGTTTAATGGAAAAATACAGGGCAGCGCAGCAAAATTTTAGGATTTTTCTGCTAAAAAAAAGTGTGCATACATCAATCTAGAGCATTCCGTGTGATACAGAATCGCCCCCAATCACTTAGAATTGATCATCCATAGCATTTGAATGTCCCTGGGCTCCCGTTGACCATTATAACAAATGTTAACGAATAAAGATTTTACTATAATATACCGAACAGTATACAAGTTTCGTATTCCAAAAGTGCTAATACAATATTGCAGCTCGCTCTTTTGTTAAAAAAGACTTCCTTGCCAGGCTTAATCCTAGCCTGGGCACCATCCTATTTGTATGCCGGGGCTCCCATAGCCCCCCTGAGATATATTTATACAATGTATTAATGTATAATGTATGTAATATATTTTTATAATGGGAACCCCGGCATACAAATACACGTAGAATGGCACCCAGGCTAGCTTAATCCGAGTTGGTCGTTCTAATACATGTAACGTCACCACCTTGCGGTTAGAATATACACTGCAAGCCAAACAAGTGACTAGCCAGTGACGGTATTTGATTAAACTTTGTTCGCAAGTAACCCCCATACGCAAGCGAAACATGGCGTGGCTGGCATGGCTAACCATCGTAGTTATTTTATCGTCCACTGTTAAAAGTGAGTAGTAGAAAGTTAGACACGACAATGTCTGTTGCCTTTTTCGGCTAGAATTCGAAGGTCATAACTTGAATGGACTATTTGTGTTGTGTGGACGACGCGGTTTGTAGGGCTAAAGTTGACCAAAGTCCATCCATTGACAACATCACATGAATATCGGCAAATAGGATTGGGTGCAAATTGTGTGTGTGTAAAGGGTGCCTCAGGGGGAAGGGGGAGGGGGGCAGTGGTAACGCAGGATTTCACTCTCAGTATGCATATGTATGCTGTATCATCGTCAGGTAGATATACTGTATACATGTAGATTACTGCAAACTTGTCTGCCTTCCAGACCAATAGTTTAAAGTCACTGTATGTGGTCTAACTGTGATCATTGATAGACCGACGTTTGTACAGGTACATAGAGTTCTGTCAGGACTAACAAAACACCAGATCCAGTAACTAATAAATAGTCTTGTTCTTGTGATATCATGTGCTAGGTACACACTTATAAAGTATGGATGAACGTACGTATGTCATGCATTACGGGTTATATTCATCCATATTTCTCGAGTCCTGTATTCCAAGACAAATTGTCATCATTCGAATCGATATATACATGACGATATGTATGTATGTATGTATGTATGTACAGTTTTAGGACATAAAGGCTATCAAGTTTATTTCTAAAACGTTCCAGGTCATGAGTGGGTCCCAGCCCGCCCCCCAGTCGGCCATTTTGCGGTCACTGACGCTGAGAACACCACCTGTCTACTCATGACGGTCGGGATGACGTTTCACGTGCCGTATGTTAAGAACGACTCCAAGAACACCGAGGTTCGCGACAGTTACTGTCTTACAGTGTTGATTGCTGTTAGTTTCCCCTTACACATCAAAGTTTTAGGAAACTTTACTGATAACTGTTGCTTCTGTCATAGCTTTGTCCATTTCCCCACCACCTCCCATAAGGTAGCAAGAAATAGAAGAAAGGAAATGAGATAAACTTGTCTAGGACCTTTCTTGGACCTTTGACCTAACTTCCTGTTAGTGTCTCCGACGACGTGCCTAGCATGTGGTAAAAACTACGGTAACACAATCAAATACACAAATAGACAAACCCAAACGTGAATGGTCAGTATACAATTTACAATGTATAATCAGCACGTAACTACAATTTTGCACCATTTCCAACACATATTTATACAGAAGACGTGTTTCTCCCTTTCCATCCTACAGGAAGTCGCCAGCTATTATCTACCTGCCGACGCTGACGTCACGGGTTCATGTGAGGACACGGCGGCGTCCATCACGCTGTCCTGGGGGGAAGGCTTCAACGTCACCGTCAGCTTCCAACGGAACGACACGATGTTCTACGGGTCGGACATCACCACGGGATACGTACTGAACCGGGACGTGTTCCCGGATTGCAAGGACGATGGTGATATAGATTTTTATCTTGTAGTCTTCGGCGAGTGTAAAATGTCCTCGATGGCCAAATGACTTTATCTCCAAGCAGACTTTCGGTGGCCGCAAGATAGTATCAAATTGGATAGACAGTATCCATTAGCCAGACAGTATCCATTTACAACCTAAAATAATGGATACTGCCTGGCCAATTTGATACTGTGTTGCGGCCACTGAAAGATCTGCTTGGAGCCTAGCGGACTTGGGATCCAGGGGTCACGGGTTCGATTCCTGCCTAGACATTCTGTCCTTGGAAAAGTCACTTTTCAGAACTTTCCTTACTCCACACAGGTGCATGGGTACATGGGACTGTGGTGGTTGAAGAAGAGGAATGAGCTTCGCCTTCCAATGCTATGTCCTTACACACTACCCATTTACCTCTTGCGTTTTACGTCAAACAGGAGAGACAAGAGTCCAGAGCGGGCCTCCTCACGACGTGCACGCCATGCCGGGCCGGTCCTACCTGTGTGACGTCGCCGTGAACGTCACCGTGGGGAACGTCACCGTCACGTTCTCAGACCTACAGGTGCAGCCGTTCCTGGTCAAGGGCGGCAACTTCAGTAAAGGTGAAGTTCACGGTATCTCTGTACATCTCCACGTGGTAGACCTTACATGTACATCCATAGCACAAGCGTTGAAGGTCTCTAATGGGTACTAGTTCCCCGTATATCGGAATGATTTTTGGTCTGTGATTTTTGGCTTGTGACTCAACCCGTGGTCTTAAGATGGCATAAAGTGCGCCAGGATTTGAATGAGTCGGGCGTCATTTACAATACTTACTTATTTCTATTTTATTTAGCCAGGGTAGCCCAACTCAGTGTAAGACGACACTGCTTTACACTGTTGCCCTTGAAATGTTTGTTTCGTCACCAGTACCATTTCGTCACCAGTAGTCAGAAACCGTGCTCTCCGTTCACAAGATATAATGATCGACAGATGACAACAATGACAATATGTGCAGTTTTTGTTTATCCAACATTGTGCATGTTTCCCAGCCGAGGAATGTGCGGCAGATATGGCCACCACTCCCAGCGCCCATACCATTCCGGTAAAAACAACCGTGCACACTACCCCTATCCCTTTCCCCGTCCCGAAACCCAGCCAGAACAACTACACACTAACAGACATCACGGGCAAGGTCTGTTTCATGGCGCTCATGGCGGTTCAGATACAGGTCAACTACACCAGGACAACTGGCAAGGTACTGCGGGTTGTTAGTTTTCCTTTTATCAATGCATATGGTTTCACAGTTAAAAGCTCAACGTTCATTGGTATAGCCTGGGTGCCAAACCCATAGCACACAGGACACAAATCATCTCAGTGAGCTCACTGAGATACTTTGTGTCCAGTGTGCTATGGATTTGGAACCCAGGCTATCATTGGTATGGTTTTAGGTACGGCCTCAAGTGGGGGAAGGGGAAGATCTGAGTAGGGACCATGGTATATGTGGTCAGAAGAATCCGGTCAGAACTGTATAGTATGACAGTAAAATTGACATTACTGTGTATTCTGGTATTGTACAAGTGATACCACTGACTATTGGGTCAGCACTGTTTAGCATGACTGTAAAATGAAAAAAAGGGCTTCTGCGGTAACATTTAGGTTTATACCATGATGGCGTGTTTCCTTTTCTTTTCTATCTAACACCTGCTCCATCAACTTTTCCGCAAAACTACGATAACTGTCGATATTGGGATAATTTGTCGGGAACCATGTTTGTGTTTCTTTACAAAGACTGGTTCAGCCGTTTGGGACGTCCCAAAGAACACCAATGCGACAGGGGCGTGTGGGAACGACACCGCATCCTTACAGCTAGTGTTCGACGGAGGCCTGACCAACCTCACCGTGATCTTCACGGCCACGACAGGCATGGACGACCTTACAGATGTTGACACAGACAGCGGTTTTAAGGCGTCTGAGATGTTTCTGGAATACGTGGAAACTGAGGCTCGCTTCCCTGGCAGTGTTAATAACGGTAACATTTTTTTTTTTTCATTTTAAAGTCTATGTTTGAATAGCCTGGATGCCAGACCAATAGCTCGCTAGGCCGAGATTTAGCCAGCGTTCGGGCCACCGTCAGGGGGGCTGTTGTATAATTTTCTTGGGGAAATGTTGACCCTGGAGCCGCGGAACTGGCCTGTGTAGGCCATGGAAGAAATCTAACACTCAGGATAATGTTTGAATGGCTGAATTGTATTTTGATATTCAATGTACATGTATCTTACAATGTAAGATATCATTGTGAGAAAACACAACACCATGATGCATAGCAAGTACACTGTACATGTACTATATACATGTAACCACAGTTACCATTGCCAGACTTGTACTCGGCGTTTTTCCCGTCTGGCATGTTAGGAACGAGCCAAACCGTTGAGAAGAAGAACCTGGCGGTATTCCAGTGCACCACGGGAATGTCGTACAAGTGTAACACCCGACAGACGGTCATGCTGAGTCATGACGTCACACTGAGGTTCGAGGATGTTCACCTTCAGCCGTTTCAGGTGAAGGGCGGCCATTTTGACCCTGGTGAGTTTTCTGTTTGACCTTGGGAACACATCAGGATATATGTAGTCTTAGATTTCATTGTTGTCTCGGTTAATTGTACTTCATATCGCCAGATCCGATTGCCGATTTGTTGGGCCCCGGTGACTCTACTAGCTACTAATCTAAAAAAAAAAATAGAAAAAGCTAAGTTTTAATTTTCTATCAAACAGTTCATGATAACTTTTGACATATATTGCACTACAAGTGTAAAGATACAACTTCTGGGGAATATATTTTGTTGAGTTTGGGAATGCATACATTGTAGCAACATATGCCATGGTACATGTGCAGTGCAATGTAAACCAGTCAGATTTGACCCAGACGGTCACCGAAACGTCGTGGCTGAATAAAATTCTTGGTTGTGTAAAAACAATCCTCTTTATTCATGTTAATAATTCTATATCTTATATCTTCTTCCTTCACTCTCACCAGTTAAGGAGTGTACAGCGGACAAGGTGACCACCCCAGGACCGTCCAACATGACCACGCCCATGACTGCCATAACAACGCCTCCCCCGCCACGCCCAGTTCATGACCCCATCACCCTGAACTTCACGCTGACGGACGACGAGAACAAGATCTGTTTCATGGCGCTCATGGGTGTGCAGATAGAGGTCAACTACACTACTCACGACACTGAGAAGGTGTGTGGTGACAAACACTTGCCATGTTTTGTGAACTAATAGTTTGACATACTGAACGATTAGGTGTCGGAAGAATTTACCACTTTCGAATACTTCAGCAAAATCTATCAGGTGGAAAAGGGACACCTTGCTGCGTTTTCTCTGCTTCTTCTGAGTCCTAACAATGACCTCAATGACCTGAACCAGACTGTCTGTTGCCATGGTAACTAGTGTTGGGTTACAACATTAGAAGCATATCTTCTTCTGCAACTTTGTTACCATTAAAGTTGCAAATCTTGCACGGTTTCACAGAAAAGCACGGCCCGCTGGAATGTGCCCAACAGCGTGACTGTGACCGGGGAGTGTTCCAACACGACAGCGACCCTGACCTTGACCTTCGACGGCGAACTGACAGTCGTGACGATGACCTTCAGGAACCAGAGTGGGAAGGGCGGCACGGTCAACAAGTTCATGGTGTCTGACATCGACCTTCAGTACGTGACGGACAAGTCTCACTTCCCTGATGCCCAACCTGCGGAACTGGGTAAGATTCCGATATCGAGCTAGCAGATTCTCTGTAGTAGCGTTAGAACCGGGTGAAAGTTACATCCTATACTTTACTTCTACTTCGAACTGAATGTCAATTATTCTGTTCTGGTCACAGCGTCTTACAAATTATGCGATCACATTTCTTTCAGTCTTTCTCCCATAGTCTTAATCTACAAGAGGGTTTTTTTTGCTCTTCATATGTTGTCTATCATATTTCGTCTTATTTTCACACCTAAAGACGTTTCAAACAACGTTTTCTAACAACACTTATATTCCGCATGTGTAGGTAAACATATTAACATCTCGAAACACAACCTGGCGGTCTTCAAAGGAGAGCTTGGCAGCTCCTACCTGTGTAAGAAGGGCGACAACGTCACTTTGAACCAAAACGTCACCTTGAGGATGATTGAAGTCCAAGTGCAACCGTTTGGCCTGACTAGCAACAAGTTCGATCAAGGTATGCATCAATCTGACATGTTTCTTGTTCCTTTTGTGTCGCGTATTACACTTGTTACGTTTACCTTTGCATTGTTCCCAAACATATTGGTTTTGCTCTGTTTCTTCTTCATCTTATTCTCCAAACAAATAAGGTCAATGACCTAAACCAGACGTCTGTCACCATGGTAACTAGTGATAGGTTACATCATGTTGCAGTTTTATAGTAGGAGGGATTTAGACTCCTGTCCCCATATACTAGTATATGAAAGTTTCTGAGTAAGAATTAACAGAGAAGACCATATGCGAATGTAAACCTTTGCTTTGCAAATTTTACCTTTCTAGTTTATCTATTTTCGTTTGTCTTGGACAGGGCAGATTTGATCTCGTATCATCTATTATCTCAATGAACCAAACCAAGGAGCTGTCGAGAAACTTGAACATGAAAATCTGTTTTTTCAGCTGAAGTTTGTGAAGCCGATAATGACGTCTCTACCCTACGTCCAATCATCGTCGGGTGTGCGATCGCAGGGGTTGACGTGTTGATGCTGCTGTATTATGGGATAGGTCGCCGCATGAGAAGGAACAAAAACACTCGATAGGAATGTGATATATAGTATACTAGTATTGCACGGTGTTACAATTATAAGATCAACTAGCAAAACGTGGCAACAGTACTTTAGATTCAAGTCAGTCTTTTATTGATCAAAAAGCAGTAGAAACAAAGAAAATGTATGATAAGACATAACCAAACAAGTCATCAGTACTTTACCCTGTACTTTCTTAGGCTACACCAATTCTATTTGTTGCTTCTCGGAATCGCCCTTCCGGGTGAAATGAAAAACGACGTCGACAACAGTTCCAAATCATTTAGAAAATTTTTATCCAGGAATTTAATAATTGCAAATTCCCGAATAAGTTTATTAAACTTTTCGAAATTTGGAGGGTCTCAGACGAAAATTTGGTGTAAACAAATGTCAAATATGCAATCGAAAATATTTCAACTGAGTGAAGAATGGTGTGAAAAAAGTATGGGAGCTTTATTTTCAATAAATGGTGCGTTTTTTCAAAATTGTTTAGGATGCACGTAAACTAAAATGACAGAAATATTGATGAAAAAGGCCCGTATTCAGCCACTCGTAAAAGTCATTCTAGGAATATTTGTCTTAAAATGAACAGATGCAAGACTAAAACGGTTCTTAAATGATAAATTCGTGATACCTAGGTAGTCGAGGCACGCCTCAATGTCAAGAACAAGAGCAGGATAGATCTTAAGTAAAAACACCATAAGAGCCCATCGCGTTTCCCAACTCGCGAAAAGGCCAAATCTGGGAATGAAAGACGCTTCCTTAGCGAGATACGCGCCTCGTCGGAACGGGGGCTCGAAAACGGGGGTATGATAGGGGATGAATATCCGCTTTTTCAATTTTAGAAAAATTAAACTTATGACATTTTTCGACGTCCTTGTTCTCAGAGTATATTTCTTACGGTCTCTTTTCTATTCCTGCAAAATGCCTTCCATCAAATTTGCTTTATTCTCGAGTTATACGTCAAAACGTGATTTTACGATCAGCTGATCGCTTGCAGAAGTGGTCACAACCTTTGCAGAAGTGAAGTTTTCGCTGTCGATCTCATTACCATATGAATGAAAACCAAGCAGATGAGAGGCGTATACTATAGCAATCACCATCATAGTCACGTATCCCCCTCCTGGATAGCCGTGGCGACTCTTGATTCGGGCTTACATTGCATTACCCTCTTGTCTGAGGGTAATGCAATGTAAGCCCGAATCAAGAGTCGCCACGGCTACCTCCTGGACTACTTTTACGAGTAATTGAGCTTCTGCCATTTTTATTGTTTTCACGCAGCTGATTTGTCCTTCACGCCATCCTTAACCAAGTTAGTTTCTTACTCAGCTGAAATATTTTCGATTGTGTGATAGGTATTTATATTTCAACTATCTCGGTTCGATGTGCAATGAACGTTTATGTCGTGATTACTACACTTAAATATGTCTCCTCTACCCTCTACTCTAAACCCTGTATACTCACTCACACAATGTACAAATCCTGCACTAGCCTGTCCATATTATCACTTTCCTATTCAAGTATACAGACAAGAAACACATCACAAACGACAACGTTCATTGGTGAGAAAGTTTACTTTCATTTAGATTTTTATTTTGATCTCAATAACTTTACTCACATTCTTGCCGATGCATTAAGCACTTATAATAAACCAATACATGTACATATCTTCATCACTATGAGTTGTAATGTATTTGAAGTGTACTATAACTTAGGTGGAAAAATAACACTACTCAAATATATGACAGGTTTATATATAACACAAGGTCAGCCACAAAAGTAACTGTTACTCTAATCCACACCAATATTCTTTAGGACAATTCCTTATGCCCTTTCATTTATTATAACTTTCTTCCATACCATGACTCTTGTATTGCAACATCTCTATGACTGCTCCCTTATACACTTACAACTAATCAGAACAGTATGGTACCAGTATGGTTAGTACTTTAGCATTTGATGCCTTCTTAGTATGCCTGGATTACTAGGCTGAGTATGTTGAACAATAGCCAGATACTGATAGTTAGAAACATTGTGAATTTTTTATTTCATTACATTTTCAACCAAATCACTGCTACCAGAGGGAAGAGAAACTGACTGAACAATTTAGTCTGTCTATAAGCTTATTCACACTACCACTATTTGTTATTCTACAGAGATTGTACATGTAATTCACTTGTGTTTAACGGCCTGTTATTACATAGGGGCAAGACACTTGCATAAATGCAGCATTAGCAGGGTTTGGAATACAAGTAAACTTGGAGTTGTGCAGGTATTTCTGATGTCTACCTGCATCTTACCTACTGAGTATGTAAGCATAGGTCAATTTTTGTTTAGAGCTTGTTACCAACTGCATGTGAAATGCAAAATAAAGAATTGAAAAAAATTCTTAACACTATAAGGTTTTTTTTTCAACAACCGGTGGGTTTTTACATCTGAAAGATTCTTTTACGGTATATAGTTTCTTGCCAACATGATGAAATTATTCACGGTTGGTTTCCTAACAGTTTGATACCTCATAAGACATATTTTCCAGCAGAATACTTATTTGCTTCTCTTCTAAGTCCGCATCATAGAAGTGCCAGTACATGTATAGTGCAGGGTTCTCACTAGACTGTTTGAGCATAGGGGTCCCAGACACTTTGATTTGGACCGTCTATGCTCATCCATGCTGAAATACAGTGTTTCTTCTAAGAGAGAGCCTTCTGACCTACTTTAGAATGAAGCTATAACCAAAGAATTAGTCCAGGCAGTGGTGTCTCAGAGTTTTGACATTTTGGGGGGAGAATACCAGACCCCCTACTGTAGTCATGTCTTTGGGACAATTTGTCCTTCTGTACCTGACCCCTACGCTGTGAAAAAAATTCTGGTGAGAACCCTGCAATGTATTTCAGGCCCTGACTTGTACCCATGTGTCCCAGGCTTCACTCCTGAGGTCCTGGTGGTTCTACTGCCTCTGCTAACCGAACCACGTTCTGTGCCTGCAGCAAGGACGGCTTGTCAATCATCTTACCCTCATACACAAACGCCCCCTGGAGAAAGCAGACGGAATAGCATGATTATAAGGCAGAGAGAACAGTACACAACTTTGAAAGATTCAAGGTAGTCCGGTGTATTACAGAAGGACATTCAAAGTGCTTATTTCTTAGAACAAAGTTTTTACTAAATTAGGTTTTTAAGTACCCAGTACCCACACAGATTGAGTTGAGTTTATTGAAATACCCTTGAGCACCTTCTAGGGCTAATCTTTCAGGCCTCAAAATAGCATAAAATGACGTCATCTAAAATTACTATAAACCAAGGACATTTTCCTATACAATGTTCTTGTATAAATACACATAAAAATCTAAAATCCTTTCACTACCATTCTATCTGTGAACTGTTTGGCAGTGGATACGGTCTTTACATGACATGGTAGAGCATTACAGAGCTTCATAAACTTATACACAAACATTTTCATGCAAATAATCATTCAAACTGCTGTAACAGCCAGTGTGCCTACCTTCCCCTCCTGTTGGTGTTGTTGAAATGCCTGAATGAGCCCACGTGCCCAGACTACTCTCTCAGGACTGGGGGAGAATGCCTGCTGGACAATCGGCACCTGCAGGGGGTGGATCACCTGTTTACCTGGAGAAACAAACAACAAACAATAACAGTAAACAAGTCACAGACATGTCATCAAGTTTATGGTTGGTAAAATTGGTGTAAAATATATGGGTTGAGATTATACCAAGCTTATGTACATGCTTTGCACCCTTCACATATTGATTTTGAACAGCCAGGACCATGTACATTTACATACCTGTAAAGCCCATCTTGGCTCCCTCCTCTGCCTGTCTTCTCAAGCTCTCTGTATCTGAGGAAAAAAAACATTAACTTAAAATTTCTAGGAGAAAACATTTGCCCTGGTTCCTTGGTCAGATTGTTCATGTAAATGTCCAAATAGAAAAGGAGAGTCAAAATCACTTTGCCTTAGATATCTAATCATCTTTCACCAAGATATCTAATCATCTTTCACCAACCTTTAAAATCTATGGACACAAGGTCAATGGCCTGTATTCCAAAGGCCTTTGCTGTGACAACGACCTTCTGTCTGGCATACATCAGCTCCTTAGCATCACTGGTCCTACTGGCACCTGCAATGATAAAAAAAGGAAAAAGTAAACAACATTAATCTAGGAACACCTAGGTTATTGGGACAGTAACAATTTAGAGCTACACTGAAATGACAGTCCTATGGCCCAGCAACACAACTGTAGCTGTTCCTAATGCTGAAATGACAATCCCACTAAGACTAGTATAGTTGTCCTTGGTGCTGAAATGACAGTCCCACTAACAAAAATACAGCTGTATACCTAGTGCTGAAATGACAGTCCCACTAACACAGGTGTACCTGTCCCTGGTGCTGAAATGTATGTTTGAATAGGAAGAACTCTCAGAAAAAAAACACCCACCTATATCAGCACAGAAGTCATCCGACCCGAATGTTACAGCAGCTAGCCTGAAGGGAGACATGTCCACCAGGTTCCCAGCCTCCTGTAGAACAGCCTGGAGGTTCATCAGGCCTCTTGCACTCTCCACCATGGTGATCAGGTTAAAGATGGGGTTAGCCTCTATCTCTGCTACCGCAGCATTTAGGTTTGCAGCAAACTGTGTCCAAACAGCACATATGGACACGTGGTCAAGTTAGCTCCCAAAGATATGCTATCAACTTTACAAAGGAATGTTATCAGCTTCACAAGGGAAAATTTATTAAGCTCTGAATCAGTGATTTACAATGAATTGACCCTCATTACCATCCATACAAACCTCAGTAATGTATTGCTTAGGTTCTTATTTACTTACTCAAAAATTCTACAAAACTGATGATACTGACTGACATACATTTAAGGGTACTGGTTACAGTATAATGTCAGGACAAGACTGAACAGGTATATGTTATGTAATCTACAAGCAGCTGTGGTTCATCCTGTAAATTCCATTGTGGTAGGAAATATAATAAGGGCTTATAACCTACATCTGTTCACTACACCTGTGTATATAATGAGTGTCTGACCTGTTGAAGTTCCTCTACACTGTCCACTTTAGGCAGCATGATTCCCGATGGCAGGTTGTTGGCTTGTAGAATGGCCAACAGGTCCTGTTAGCAACAAGTCAGGCAAGAGAAAAACATACAGTGAGGTTGTGTGGCATGACCACAGATCATTTGGCTCAGAACAGGTTCCAGGTTCGAATCCTGCCAATTCACCTTCCTTGCGACCTTGGGAAAGGCAGTTTACACAACTTTCCTCACTTCACTCAGGTGACAATGAGTATGACAGAATGATCATGGGCATTAAAGGAAAACAAACAAACAAACAGAAAAATTTGGTCAGGGCTAGGAGAGAAAAAAATAGTAGCGTACATGTTGGGTGACTGACACAGCCATGGTTTAAACTAACAAAATCTTGGTTAAGGGACAGGGTCACCAACCATTGGCCTACACACACTACTTAGTTTGCAACTTGAATATGGGGCTAGATATTAAATGGAAACTACAAGACAGAACATACATCATCAGCCAGCTCACTGTCCACAGAGTTGACTCTAACCACACACTCTGTCCTGCCAAAGTCAACCTCATCCAGCATTCTTGTTATTGTAGCTCTGGCCTCATCCTAGGAGATAGAGAAAGAATGCCAACCTTTGTTTACCTCCAATCATTTTAATGAAACCAAAGTAAAACTAACTTAAGTATAAGATTTGTTTTACATGCAAGCATTTTAATATATTATGTTCATCTCTTGTGCCAGATTATTAATCATATTGTACTTACAATATAAATACTACCAGGCTTTCAATATAAGACTTTCCGTCCAAAATTTGATGCACTAACTTCTTGTGTTGAAACAATGTTTTAGCTTTGTACTTGTACAACCAAGTTAACACAGATACTTTCATGATAAAAATTATTAGCAAAAGGAAGTGAACTCAATGACTTCCTCTTGCAGGACAAACCAGAGATATTTAAGTAGAAAACCTTCTTGTTAGCTGCCACACCATCTTCACAGTCCAACACTGCACAGTCCACACCCAGGGTGGCAATCTTGTGGATTTTCCTCTCATCGTTGCCTGGGACATACATGAGCGCCCTTCTGGGCCTGTAGGGTGGCTGTTCCTGTGCCGTACAGTAGGGGCGCAGGCTGGAGGATACTCTGGTGAAGGTACGGGACAGCACCCTGCAATGGAAAACAGCACAGCTACAGTCAGACCTGTACATGTGTACACTTCTACATACGAGCGATCATATTAATTTTGTTTTCATCAATTATTTTAGGCATATGCAAATTACTGGTGGGCTAAGGTACAGGGCAGCACTCTGCTATGAAATACACCACAATTACAGTCAAACCTGTACATGTGCCAACCTTTTTAAAGTGCCACCTGGCCATTACATACAACTTTTTCAAATAAATTGAGTGGCCACTAGTCTATATACAGGTTTCACTGTAGATACAACATTCAACCATCTCCATCGCTACCATGTGACATCTGCTTGGAGATTTAATAGCTGATATATAACCTGTTAGTGTTAGGCCATGTTGATCGATTTGATTATATGGATGACATCCTCCGGGAACCCCAAAATTGATGCGCGCGTGCGAATAAAAAAAAGTTTTGACAAAAAAAAAGTTAAGTTTTACTATT